AGCCAGAGCCCCTATATGTGTCGGGAGTCTGGGTGTAGTCAGATTACTCGGGGTTTTGGAGGGGGGTGTGGGCAGCAGCCGATTAATATTTCTGTTTTTAATGGGGGTTCGTGTGAGTGCCTGTGTCGGGAGAGGTATGCTTATGGGCCGCCGTTGCCTGCTGTTGTTTTGGGGGTTGGGCGGGGTGGGGGTTGTTGTTTTAGATGAGTTAGACTGTGTCTTCCTGTTTGATAGTGTCCGGTGGATTGGAGGTGTCATTAGGTTGCAGATGGTAGGTTTGTTAATTTTACATGTAGAGGTCGCAGTAGTTCTATCATCAGTTTAAGTCTTTTTATTCATAACTTAATACAGGACGACCAACATAGGAAATATAATGATGTCAATGCTACACGAGTATTTCTAGCATGGCTAGGCTAGAGAGGTACAAAATTGTCGGGATTATGGCGGGGGGAACTAGAAGTGGATGGCCTTGGAGTAGGTGGCCATGGCGGCCTCCTTGAAGGCTTCGGAGAGGGTAGGGTGGGCGTGACACGTGCGGGCAATGTCCTCGCAAGAAGCACCATATTCGACGGCAAGAGTGGCCTCGGCGATCATCTCACCGGCGCCAGGGCCGATGATGTGCACACCGAGAATGCGGTCGGTCTCGGAATCGGCGATGAACTTGACAACACCCTCAGTGTCGAGGTTGGTCTTAGCACGAGAGTTGGCGCTGAAGGGGAAGGTACCGACGCGGTACTTGATGCCGGCTTCCTTGACCTCGCCCTCGTTCTGGCCAACCCAGGCGACTTCGGGGTGGGTGTACATAACGCTAGGGATGGCGGCGTAGTTGACGTGGCCGTAACCCTTCTTGATGTACTCGATGGCGGCAACGGCCTCCTCCTCAGCCTTGTGGGCAAGCATGGGACCGAAAGTGCAGTCACCGATAACACGGATGTGGCTGGCCTTGGTGCGGTATTCCTGGTCGATCACCAGGCGGCCCCGGTCATCCTTCTCGAGACCGGCGTTCTCAAGTCCGAGACCCTCAGTGTAAGGTCGGCGGCCGATGGCGACAAGAACGACATCAGCATCCAGGGTCTCCTCCTTGCCACCCTTGGCAGACTCCACGGAGAGCGCGATGGTAGCACCGCTGTCGTCACCCTTGGTAACCTTGGTGCCGGTCTTGAACTTGATGCCCTGCTTGCCGAGGATCTTCTGGGCCTGCTTGGCGATGTCGGCGTCCATACCGGGACCACCAATCTGGTTCAGGAACTCAACGACGGTAACCTGGGATCCGAGACGGGACCAGACGGAGGCCTTATGATAAATTAGCATCAGATAGCCAGTATAGCACAGTGGAAGCTAGAAAAAGCTTACCATCTCCAGACCAATGATACCACCACCGATAACAACCATCTTCTTAGGAACCTCCTTCAGAGAAAGAGCACCAGTGCTGGTGATGATTCTCTTCTCGTCGATGTTCAGGCCGGGGAAAGGAGTAGCCTCGCTACCAGTAGCGATGATGATGTTCTTTCCGCGGAGAGTCTGCTCACCACCCTCGAGCAGGTTGACCTTGACGGTGTTCTCGTCAACGAGCGCACCGGTACCCTTGACGTAGTCGACGCCGTTCTTCTTGAGCAGGAACTCAATACCCTTGGTCAGACCATCGACAGAGGTGTCCTTGGCGGCCATCATCTGGTCGAGGTTCAATTTGACGTCACCGACCTCGATACCGCGTTTTTTCGTGTCATGGAGGACCTGGTGGTAGAGATGGGAGTTGTTCAAAAGCGATTTCGATGGGATGCAGCCGACGTTGAGGCAGGTACCTCCGAGACGGCCACGCTTCTCGATACACACGGCCTGCGTCGGAAAGGAAATTAATCAGCGAATACTTCAACAGGGTCGATTGAGAGAGCAGAATTGCTGAAATCGCACCTTGAGACCCTCCTGGCCGGCTTTAATGGCAGCAACGTATCCAGCGACACCACCACCGATGATAACGACATCGTGTTCACCTATACCGAGCGCATCCCGTTTGTTAGCTGCTGGTGTTTCGGGAGCCCGGGGTACCTCTCCAACAGAGCTCGCAGAGGTCGGGAAAGTCGCAACTTACCGGATTCTGAGGCGTAACCGCGAGTAGAGCGTAGGATAGGGAAGTAGGGCGCGGGAACAACGTGCGAGGGGACAGGGCGAGCAGAACGGACAGCAGCCCGCGGCGTCGTCCGCGGCAGTAGACTTCGGAACATGGCGAGAAAGGTGGAAGGGAGAACGGAGAAGAGTAAAAGTGATTAAAAATAATCCAGACAATCGAACCTCCAACAAAGCAGATTAGGAGGAACGGGGAAGCGAATGGCAGGGGAGAGAGGTGATCGTTGATCGCGGAAAAAGGATGTTGAAGCTTTGAAAATGGCGCAGAGGTTCAAAACTGCCAGCAAAAGGCTGACGGGCCGGTATCGATACCGTAATTCCCGCGTATGTAATCATCCTCAACCACTCAGCGCCGGCTTGGTTCGGCTCACCGGAATAGCTCGTTCTATACAGCGAGGATATAGAGAACACGAATTAATTCAGACAGCTGGATTCACATTGTCTGTCTCGAGCAGTAGCTATTATTTGCTGCTTTTCGAATGGTGGAAGCTCTGTTCTCAACATGTATCCTCACATACAGCGATACCCGGCCACGCGGAACTCTCCGTCGAGTGGATAAGAATAAACCCAATCAGGAATCCATCGCTGCCTCAGTTTATACCGACTCTATGTGTTGAGTGAGATCTCTTCCGAATTCTGGGGATTCAGACTAAGAGCGACAATCCTGCACCAATGGCACTCCGTCTCCGACAGCAAGCTCTTTGCTTTGGGGTTCGTTGGATCTCCGCAGCCGTGAGTATCCGCGGGTAACGCAAAACAGCATTACGGTGGCTACCATCGGCGCCTCGTGCCATCGGAGTTGGGGTCTTGGAAGTTGTCGACTCCGCGGGGTCTAGAATTATTGGTTTTTGTGCCCGTGGAGTTGTGTTTTTCGTGTGTTGTTGCTTGGCTATGGCAGTTGGGTCTTGTGGTCAGTAAATATGTTTCTGAGGCCTTGGGGGAAACATGTTTTTACAATCTCGCCGCCCGAACTTCAACAGAAATCTCCTCTGTATGGTTGAGCTCAATTATAAAACGTGCCGATGTTCACGAACTTTTTATACATAGGAACTTGATAAGTAGAAGATCAGAGACAGATATTCAGCTTTTGACAAGCATTGCTCACCATTTTATTTATAATTTGCGCTACAACAGTGCCATGAAAAACATCCATACTGTGTTCTGGAGTCTATATACGGCTGTAGGCGACACTAGAATGCTGTGCCTAAAGATGCCCAGGATGGACAACACCCCAGAATTGGCTGGTGGTAAATATCCATTACGTGGCGTTGATGGTGCCAAAGGTGTTTCTCAAATGTCCAGACAATATTATGCCATCCCACGGAGCAACTTCAGTCATGACTGTGCAGCAAGCTTCCAGACATACCGTCCCAAGTCTGCAAGCCATGTCCTGGCCACATGCTGATGCCATTGAGAAGCTTTTGCCGAAAATTTTCATTTTGACCATATGCTTTCCGGATTTTTGTAAAACCCACGGCGAAAGGGTTTGACAGTGTTGCACCCAGACATGTCAAGGTGCCTTGTGTCGTGTATTTGAACAACGGTTTGGGCTGACCAAACTCCCGGCTGCGATGGGCGAGTACCGGGGGCTGATACTGAGATTTCTGCATACTGCATCAAGCATGGCTTCGCAGATTGATGGAACGTCCTGTGAGCTGCGTGGAAGCAGAGTTGTTTTTCTTCAACCCTTGAGTAGTATAGTGTCCTGATCAATTAATAAAGGGCTGTTGAAAGGCAGCCTGAATCATGTTTCGTGGGCGCCTAGATTAGTGACGGCAAGGGAAGGGCTCTTTCTTATAGAAATGCAACGGTCCGCGCCTTAGTAGGCCATCATATCTGGAAGCCTGGTAGACAATTGTTCAACTGGCTAAACCCCACCTATGTCGCGTGATGCCATTTAAAGAGAATACCGAACATGCGAGCCGTAGAAGCAACAAGCGGATAGAGAAATAGTGAAAATTATTAAATGCTGGAGGAGGGAAAGAAGAGGGAAGAATGGTCCACAGCGTCGTGAGAAACCGGGTAAATGGGCCGCCTGACCAATTTAACCGAACCTTATCAGGTCGACAGCTTTCAACTCTCAACCTTCCGACTCTACTACGTTCCCACGCTGAATGATGGATAGGGGTATAAGAATAGATTCTGACAACGAATTAATTATATTATCTGATTCTATTCTGATTGAGCTCACCATCCCTGATACTTTTCATCAACTCAAAAGGGAAAGTCGGAGGTAATCCGTGAAATTGGCCACTGCCCGCAAAATGGATCCCCAGACTCCCCCCAGGCCCCCACAGAAGCCCCCAGAGCAAAAGCCGGACAACACTCGGACAGAGATTTGCCAATCAGTCTGGGTAGACCCTTTCCCGGCATTTCGCTTCGGCCATGGCGTCCTCTGAAGATCGGACCATGAACGGCCATTTCGCCGTAGAGGCCGTCTTGGTCCCGACGGATTGCCGTTTTTCGGCTCGTGCGGCGCTTTCCCCTCCCTCAGTCTCCAAGAGTCGACGCGACTTCGCCGACAGTGGAGTTATCGTGCCATCTCATGCTTCGTGGTGGTGGAGAATCCGGGCCTCGATTGACAGTCACTTTTCCTTCTCTGTGCCTTTCACAGTCACTTTTAGCCGGGATGTAACCAAATGTGTACGGCCCGACCATGGTCTGCATGACCTCCGCGACCCTGATTTTGTCATTCGTCCCTGTCCATCGCTATGTAGACTTCGAGGTCTAAATATTTAAATACTGGTGCAACCCCACAGATGTCAACACACTTCTCCCCCGCGTGTGCTTCCCCGGCTTGTGTCAGTCTTTGCCTAGGCTTTTTCTCTTAACGTGTTTCCCCTCTCTAGTCGATACCCACACCACCTGCTGTCACCATGAGTGACAAGATATCCTCGTGGAATGTCGTCCACAAGTTCGAGAAGCGCAGTCTTCTCATTGCCATAAACTGCGTGGCCGGGCTGTCCATCCTGTTTTTCGGGTACGACCAGGGTATGATGGCTGGAGTGAATAACTCCAAGGACTATATCGACCTCATGGGTTTTGGGTACACGGAAATGAAAGACGGCCTGCCCTCTCCCGTCGTCACTGATAGCCTGCTCCAAGGCGGGATTGTCAGTGTTTATTATCTAGGCACACTTTTCGGTGCCTTGCTTGGTGGTTGGACTGGAGACAAGGTCGGTAGAATCAAGACAATTGCCTCTGGTGCACTTTGGGCCATGCTCGGAGCTGCTCTGCAATGCTCGGCCCAGAACCACAACTGGATGATTTGCGGTAAGTTATGTCTTAGCACCGTGCCTCTTTCTCTTGCTAACGGGGCTCAGCACGCTTCATCAACGGAATTGGGACTGGAATTCTCAACGCTATTGTGCCCGTGTGGGCAACCGAGACTGCAGAACATACTAGCCGTGGCCAGTTCATTGCAATTGAGTTCACCTTGAACATCTTTGGTGTTGTTCTCGCATACTGGCTTGAATTGTAAGGGACCTTTCTCAAGTTCTCGGGTCATTCAAAACGTGTCCTAACGTGGAAACAGTGGCTTATCCTTCATCGACGGCGGCGAATCCGCTTTCCGCTGGCGTTTCCCAATCGCCTTTCAGATTATCTTCTTGATTGTCTTATTCGCAGCCGTTTGGTTCTTCCCTGAATCCCCACGTTGGTTGGTCAAAGTTGGTCGCGAGCAGGAAGCGCGTTATATCCTGGGCAGGTTGCGCGGCAGCAATGATGAAGATGCCATACGAGCGGAGGCCGAGTTCCAAGATATCCTCGGCGTCGCTGAGATGGAGAAGTCCATGGGCCACAGCACCTCCTACCTTGCCATGCTATTTGGCTACAAGACTGGAAAGCTACACCTCGGCCGCCGAGTTCAGCTTGTAGTCTGGCTGCAAATTATGCAGGAGTGGGTTGGTATTGCTGGTGTTACTGTTTGTGAGTCACATTTCAATAATACTAAAAGGATCAGCTAAAGCCTAATACTGATTGCTCTAGACGCACCGACCATTTTCAGCATCGCCGGATTTGACACAGTAAAGAGTCAGTGGATCAGCGGTTTGAACAACATTTTTTACATGGTATGTCTCCAGACCAGATCACAATGCACTACTTCTTACTGACAGATCAGTTCGCGACCGTGGTCTGTGTATTTACCCTGGACCGAATTGGCCGCCGCTGGACATTGTACTGGGGAGCAACAGGCCAGGGCATCGCCATGTTCCTCGCCGGAGGTTTCTCACGTCTTTCGATCAATGCGCGTGAAGCAGGAAACGCAGCGCGGGCAGAATCATTCGGTGCTGCCGCAGCCTCTATGGTCTTCATTTTCACCGCAATCTTCGGCGCTACCTGGCTTACAACACCCTGGGTCTATCCCGCAGAAATCTACCCATTAGCCGTGCGTGCAAAGGGCAACGCCTTTGGTGTTGTAGGCTGGAGTATAGGAAACGGCTGGCTGGTGAGTGCCTCAACCCATAGTTTCAAGTATGCCCTTCATATGGATCGGTGCGCTGACATGTATATGCGTCTAGACCCTCCTCTGCCCCGTAATGTTCGGTGCCATCGGCGAAAAGACCCTGTACGTCTTCGCCGCTAGCAACGTAATCGCCATCCCAATGGTCTGGGCATTCTACCCAGAAAGCAACCAGCGAACACTAGAGGACATGGACCTACTATTCGCGGCTGATACGCCGTGGGTGTGGGATGCAGAGAAGACATTTGCCCGTCTGAAGGCCGAGAACCCGGGCTATGTTGAGACTGCGGCGCGGAAAAACAGCCTTCTGGATGAGGAGGCTGCTAAGTCGGTCACGCTGGAGCAGCGCGAGAATGCGGCCTAACGATGAGATTGCTTCCTGGTAGAATGGGGCGGAACATGTGATGTTACTAGACACGCGTATCTAGAGAGCAAAGTGAGCAGTGATCAGTGATCCTTGTCAAGGCAGTGCCCAATTTCGGCGCCAGGTTGTCCATGTGACGTTGTTGCCTCTTATTTATGAGGCTGAGTTATCTCGTATTAAACCCCGGCCAAGGCAATCGTAGGAACTAGGAAGACGTTCATGAGACTCTAGTAGTCTAGTGTACTGTGTAGGGTTGAATCATGCGGGGGAAAACGGATAAATGGAAAGCGGATAAAACCCCCGCAATCTCCGACAAACTGTGGCTGGTGTAATATCACTAGCCACACTAATATCCATCACCGAATAGCGAATACACCAGCCACATAAGTGAAGCGACAAGGCAGAGTAGTGAGGATACACAGTGAGAAATGAGAATATAAGCCAAATAAGAAAATACACTCGAGAAGACCCCTACAGCACCATAGAATAGTGAACATAAGTAGTAGAAGTGAAAAGCCTGGCGCCACACAAAAGGAAGATACGTGGCGGAATCGGAGTATATTTAATCCGAACCGCCTCCCAGCTCCCAACACCGAAAGCACAGCTGGCATTAGCATCACGACCAACGCTATCTCAAAAAACCTACCACTCCGTTCAATTCTTCTTCTCTTCCCACTACTCAATTGATTGCACTTTTCTGTTGTGTCGTGTTTTAGCCACCATGTCCGACCAAGTCCAGGAATTACTCAACATCCCCCAGGAGTTCTTGAGGGATGGCATGCAGTTTGTCAACCGCAGCCAGAAGCGTACGTCTCCTATCCCATGTGGTCTCACGCGATCATTATCATCATAACCTTGCTACTTTGTGTCTCTTGTCATTTGTCCTGGAGGAGAGCTAACGTCTCGCAGCCGACAAGCGCGAATTCATCAAGATCAGCCAGGCCGTCGGCACCGGCTTCCTGATCATGGGTTTCATCGGGTACATTGTTAAGCTGAGTATGTTGACCCCGGTTCCTGCAACTTTTCCTTGCCAGGTGCTAATTAGTTTAGTCCACATTCCCGTGAACAACGTCCTTGTCGGTGGCGCTTAATTTCCGACTTCGATACCATTATTATTGCCGGTGGTGAGAAAGGGAGTTGAGGGATCGAATTGTCGATCGGCATCATACCGGTCGGCTGGTCGATTTGGATCACCGCAACGAAAAGAATGAAGGGAGGAAAGAAGGAATTGTATACCCACATCGCATCGCATCGCAGCTCATCTTACCGTGGAACGTGCATTGTACAAAGTCGGCTCGCGACAGCCGCCGAACACAACCGGTCGAGGAAGAGGAACGAGATCTGCAGCATCGCATACTACATACATACTTTACTTGTATTGTATGGGGATTGAACCAGGGCGGCGTTAGTGCTACTGCTGTTTTTGTAACTTGAGTCTTTTTTTTAAACTTCGCATTTGTCCTTAATATATCCACTGCTCGAGTCATGAATCGGGATCCATTGAGTGCATTGTTCGCTGAGTCTTAAGAAGCTACCTCGGAGGATTCGCTCTACCCCCCACGCTTGTAGAAATGCCCATTGCTGATCAGCGCAACGTGCCGCTGGGCTGCGGTGCGATGGCTTGGAGGATCGAGTCTGGACTCGAGGCTACCCGGTCTAGAGGAGGAAAGACGTTTCAGTTGGAGGTGTGAGTCGATCTGCCATTCAGGGGTACAGTAGAGCATGCGTATAGTATTCATTTGAAATTAACTCTCAATAATTGATCCTGGGCTCCGGTTGCACTGCAACAGTTGCAACAGGCACTCGTGCACGGGACAAGCCAGATGCGAACCTGAACGTCAAGGAACGCAGAGTCCCCAAGGCGGCGGGCGCTTCCATGACTTCCATTTTGTTCGGGCCGGCAATCCGATCTGCGCCTGTAAATCGCTCGTCAATCGCTCTTAAATAAAAGAAACACGGCGATTGGCCAATTCCAGAACAACAAGGCCTCACTGTCAGCGCCAGCCAGCAGTCAAGTACAAATCCTGCGAAAATCACCCCCAGCCTCTTTATCTCTCTCTCCGTCCTGCTCCACCGTTCCATCTACCTGAGACTTTGTCTTTTCTGCATTTCTGTCACGATCCCTTACGGCAACCACACCAGGAACCATCCTATCAGTGACACCACGCCACGCTCTGAACCATCTCCGGCTGGACCTTGGTTGGATCCCTTATCTCCCATTCTACCTAAATTAGTCCCAGCCAGTCTAGAGCCCAATCAAGCAGGCAATCAACGGATCCTTCATCCTCATCTGCATCACATCCTGGTTCCAGAGGAAGAAACCGCGTCACACCCCCAAAACAGAAACAGACTAGAAGGCCGCCCGCAGCAGCGCTAGAACCCCGTCCAGCTTCCACCGCCCCACTGCTGGAGACCAACCTTCGCTCTCACGCCCACGGTCCCCTCGATCCAGCGAATCTCAATCCGCAGCCAAGGCCTTCCACCTGCAAGGCTGCACATCGGGTCTGCAGTTGTTTGCCCAAAGCCAACATGGCGCCAGGTTCGCTTCCACTTGCAACTGCACCTGCTGCTTCTCCTGCTCCACATTCTGGCCCCCACGGCAAGTCGGCCTTGGCTGACCTCGAGAACTTCTCAGATCCTTGCTCGGGTCTGCATCCTGGCTTGGACTTGGACTCGGTGTGGGGAGACGGTCGCGCGCTACGGAGTCTCCACAGGGAAAGGGCAGAAGATCATGACGCCATTCCTGATCCTGGCGAGTTCCATGGGCGTAATAGCAATAATACAACCTCGGCGTCGCAGTCGCAGTCGCAATCGCAACTGTATCCACAGGAACAAGGAGTAGTCCACAGCACTAGGGGAGATCCAGGTTCAGGTCCAGATCCAGGAACCACAACCGCCCTAGCAGAACACCAAACAATGAAACCCAAAGAAAGAGAAAGCGAAAAAGAAAAAGAACTCGGAACAAGCACAAGCACAACAAAAGAATCCACTGCAACCACAACCACACCCTCAGCCTCCACCAAAACCCAAAATCTAAATCAAAATGCGCCGACGTATCTGAAACTAACAAAGAAAATCCACCAACACCCCACCCTGACCCCCCTCCGCAAATCACTCTACGTGCTGCTCCTCTCTGTGCCTCCAGGCCAATGGACCACGTACGCTGCGCTGGCTCGACACCTAGGATCCAGCGCTAGGGCCGTCGGAACGGCAATGCGCTTGAACCCCTTTGCGCCGGACGTGCCGTGTCATCGGGTCTTGAGCGTTGATGGCGGGCTGGGTGGGTATATGGGGACGAGCCCGGCAAGGGGAAAGGGGGCAGGGTTCAAAGGGAAGGGAAATTTGGAGAGGAAGAGAGCTATGCTTGAGGGAGAGGGGGTGAAGTTTGATGAGAGGGGGCGGGCGATGGGGAAGGTTTTTGTTGATTTTAAGTCGTAGTATCGATCTACTTTACTAAAAGTGAGCTTTGATTTGGGTATATTTGTGATTGTTGCATTGTATTGTGTTGAAGAATAAATTGCAAATTGCAGTGCAATGTGCAGAGTGCACGCAAATCAGATGCCAGGTATCTCCAACGCCGACCGTCTATAGTGTATAACATGACATGTCAAAAGAAGAATGAAGAACGAGAGATAGAACAAAAGAAGTGAAGTAAAGTAAAAGAGAAACTAGAAGATAGTCTCGCGAGTCTCATCGTCTCATAACGCCGTGGAGTCCATGTCCAACAAGTCAAGTCCCATGCCGCATTAGTCGTCAACCATGAGAAAATGGAAAGAAAAAAAAAAAAAAAAAAAAGAAGCAGTATGGTATATAAAACAAAACGGGGTCTCAAGAAGAAGTCAAAGTATAGGCACATAGTAATAGTAAATCATGGTGAAGCGCATTTAAGCGACCTTCAGACGCTTTGCTGCACGACGCTTGGGAACGTCCATGTGGTGGTACGAGCGCAAGTGCTCGACCAAGTGGTCACGGCGAGGGAAGCCATTGCTATCCTTGCGCGAGCAGTCTGGGACAGGGCAGTTCTGGAAGACCGGGTAGTGGACGGTCGTCTGGTGTCGCTTCAGGTCGGCTGGGCGGGTGAAGCTCTTGCCGCAGTCGTCGCAGGCGTATGGTTTGGCAGGCCTAGTGTAGTACAGTTAGAATTGTGTTTCTTTTTTTTTCTTTTCGAACTGGAGGAGGTATACCTGGAGATGGGCTCATGGCTGATGTCAACAGGAGAGAACATGGATTGTTCAACTGGCATTGATGTTGGTGAGAACCCGGATGTTGCGCTCATGGGGAACGAGGTGGGCGTGTCCATCAAAGGCAGGGGCTCGGGTGTGTGCGTGAACGCTGGATTGAATGTCGGAGACATGTACTCGAAGTAAGGGCCGCTGTCCAGCGACGAGGGTTCGAACGCTGGCTGGCTAAGAGGGTAGTCGATGACGCTTCCCGGGCCTGTGCTGGTGCCGCCGCTCAGAAAGTACATATCCGGATAATTCAGGCTGTCATCACTCAAGCCAGAGTAGGATGAATTGGAAGAGTCGAAGGAGTAAGCAGAATAGGATGAGGAGGAGGGCTCCATTGGAGGGCAGGGAATAGGCTGGGACTGCGAAGGTCAGTACTGTGTAGCATAAGGAAGAGAAGCAAGGCGTACCATTGTTGGTTGAAAGGGCATCTTGAGTATTGGATCGTCCACGATGACCTGACAGGAAGGAAGCTACGTTGTGTTGAATCTGGGGAATGGAAGCATGGGGGGTGGGCAAGTTGGGGAGATGAAGCAGGTGACCGGGTGCAGGGAGGGCTTTTATAATGGGATTTAGGAGGGCTTGGGTGAATCGAGGACTCGTGGAAGTCATCAAGACGGTTTCGCACATGCATTAGCCCCAGCGACTAGGCCCGCCGTCAGGTTAGCGATACGAACACATCCTGGCCGAATATCAGGTGAGCAAGTGGCCGGCTCAGGCAAAAGATGGCCATGCATGCCGACTCCGCGCAGATACTGGACAAAAGAGCCCACACAGCCACCCCAGCCGAGCCGTGCGATTGGCACAGGGCGAACGAGGGATCCTTGCTAGCGTCTTTGTGCAGGCTAGCGTCAGCGCTAGAAAAAGGATCGAAGCCTTGGAACCTTCTGCCAGCCTTCTAGCGTGCTTCTGCACCAATGGCAGCGGCTGCAACTGCCCAGTGGCCGCCCACACGGGCCGATGAGTTGGAAGGAGAATCCGGACTGGCTGTTTGGCGTTGAGTGACTGGGCCCTTTGCGGTTGCATTGTTGTACTCCAGGGTTGACGTCGTCATAGCGATCCCCCACACTGTCTACTGCGTGGGCTGTGTAAGTCGGGAAGCCGGGAACTCAGGATGCTCGAGGGAGCCCAGAGGGTGGCAAGACGAGGGATGGAGGCATGAGGCTCGAGTTGTCGCCAATCAGCCTCGTCTTGCCAGGTTACCGACTCTCGCACTTCAAGGTTTCCAAGTACGGACGAGGGCGCTGAAGCCTGAGGGTGAACGTGCGGGATCGTCATTCGCTGCAGGCACTTGGACCTTGGGTCTTTTGCCCTTTGGTCGGAGGGCCCCGATGGACCAAAGTACGCACTACGCAAGAATACGAGTCATTAGAGCATCTTCAGACGCTCTTCACACGACTGTTGAAGCGCCGGGCCCTGCGTGCAGTCGGCACGATTTCCGCGGCGGGGCGTTGAGGATCCGCACCAGGAGCGCCAGCCTTGTAAATTGAAGCGTCATCGCGATTGATGATGAAATGCGGAATGATGGAGGGAGGAACCGGGTCGACTAACTCGAGTTGACTGCGCGGTTCATCGGGAGGCATGGAGGGTGTGGGCGTGCGCGGACGAGCGGTCTGGAGGAGGCTGACAAGGCAGACTCTCGCGGAGAAAATACCTCAGGGACCGCTTGCTACTCGCTAGGCCGAGTTGCTTTGCTCGTTCATGATCACTTTCCCAGTTCTCTGATCTTGCTCAAGCGATCCTTCTTGCTCGTCGCGCTAAACGAAAATCCCTCACCAAACCTCGATGAGGCAACAATACAGCGTCGACAAATATGATGATCGGACTAGTGTAGCTTCACCAGCGTTCGAGATGGACTCTCGATCCTATTTTTACCCAGGTTATTCTTGTCTAGCACGCGCGATTTCTTTTGTTCTCTTTATTCTCTGTTCTCTTATTTTCCCGGTTTTTTTCTATTCGGGTTTTTAATTATTATTCCACTTTACCCGATTTATTATTTTATTTTTTTCTTATTTTTCTTGTCTTTGTCCTCGCCGATCAGGGCCCTTCACCCTTCACAGCCACCATCAATGCCTCCTCGATCCTGGCTTTCATATTGCATTCACCACGAGGCCCGTGTTGCTTCGCTGTGTCTGTGTAACAGTCTACAAGAACCCCCCTGTCACTCTACGCCGGATGCCCAAAGTACTCTGCAGGCATACGCTTTTCGTCCTTTTCGTCCTCTGGGAAATGGGCATGTTTCTATTTCAATTGGTTAACCAAGCAGCAGCTCAAGACATGGCTGCATGTCCATCAGCCGCCACTAAAGAACAGCGTTGAACTCCCTGTCCCGCAGACCCATTCATAACACCTGTTCCTGGACCCATCGAGATACATACAGTAATAAGGAAAAGAAAGAAGAAAAAAAAGAAAACCGTCAGCTTCCGTCTCACTTGCAGCGAAGGCAAGATCAGACCCTTTTCTCCCACCGAACAACAATCAGGATGGAAAAGTTTCCCTTTCGATGTCTGCTTCTGACTAGACAGGTGACCCCGATCAAACCCAATCGCCATCCGAAGGAGGGGAAATAAATGCAGGGGGTGGGAGTACAAGGTGAAGACTACAACTCGTCCTCCAGGTACTTGTAGACAAACTTGAAATCTGCCTTGCGTCGGTTCATCCTGCAGCCTCTGTTAGAAAATAAAAAAAAAAAAAAAAAAAGAAAGAAAGAAAGAAATGGGAAAACGAAAAGAAGGAGGAGGGGAAGCTGAGACAGCCAGACGCAAACAGGTGAATCCAAAACTTACCAAGTACTCTCGTAGTCGAAGAAGCGATATGTGCCTTGCTCGAACTCCTCTGTTATCGTCTTGGGTTCCTCATGTCGCTGGAACCATGTCTGGTACTGTTTGTGGAACCTCCAGCTCTGGTTCTTCAACGCCTTTGCCGACAAGTACTGCTGATAGGAACCCTGGCGATAATAGAACAAATAAAACAGGGTGTCTGTGTCGATCCGCCCTGTTTCATAGAGACGAGGGTCGTCCAAGATGGCAAGTGGCTCTTGCGGGTAGTAGAGAGGCGTGTTGTACGGGTTCTGGGGCTTGTAGTGACGCGGCTTTTCCGAGTCTCCAGGTTCGGGGCAATTGGCTGCGGAGGCCGTGAGAAGGCGCTGCACTGAAGGTGGCTGGCTTGAGGGGTTGGCCGATGCGCGACTTTTGGTAACTTCAAACGAATGGATCAAATCTTGCAGACCAGGGGGCAGGTGGTAGATAGACTCTTCTCCATCTTCCCGTTGCTGATTCTCTTTACCAGACTGCTCTCCGTTGGCAGCGGCTTGTGGTTTCGTGGTGGCAGTTTCTGCCTTGTCCATCGCAGGTGTCGTCGGCACCGTATTCGACGCGCTGACGGCAGCTGGAACCTTGGGACTGAAAGCAGGCGTCCGCGAACGGCCCTCCTCTGCAACTATCGCTGCTGTAGGTGTGGCCTTCGACACGGGCTGTGCTAGTGACACGACAGGTGAGGCGGTAGAGGAAGTTTTCGAGGCGGGCACTGCAGCTGGGAAGGCGGGACTAGCACCTGGTGGAGGAGGCAGCGGGGCGATGCCAACGCCGTTTTTATCGCTTGCAGCAGCTGCTGCTGCTGCAGACGCATACTTGAGCGTTTCACCAGGCAGGCGCGTGGGAGGAGGTGCAGGTTTCATGCCAGATGTCGAGCTACTGGAACTGGACGGGTGCAGAGCTGCCAGAACTGGAAGAGGGGATTTCATCTGAGCAGAAGGCCTGCGGTTGCTCGTGGCAGTGACTTCGGGTTTGGGCTTGGGTTTTGGTTCAATCTCTTCATCCTGCATCGACTGAGCATCTTGCGACGATACTTTGTCGTTGTCACCGCCTCCGAATGGTGCTTCGGCGTCGTCGCCAATATTCAGATCGTCGTACAGCGTCTCATCCTCCCCAGAGTAGTCAACATTGTTACCATCCTCCACGTAGTATTTGATGCTCTCTTTGAGATCTGCCACCGGGGCCGTTTCGATGTTTCCATTCTGGAGTGATCGTAGCAATAGTTCCAGCTTATTTACGTGCCATTTGTGACGTTCAATGAAGTGTGCAAGGTCTGCCAAACGGTTGTTTTTGGCAACGTCCTTTTTATTTTTCTTCATCGACATTTGGAGCGACTCCTCTTCTGCCTCCATCGCCTCTATTTTCTGTTGCAGCTCATCAACCATGTTGGACAGAAAATCGCAGGTCTCAACCTTTTCTTTGTCTTTCGGATCGAGTCGTGACGCCGCAGATAGGCCTTCTTTGGAATATGCTTTCGTCTTCATCTCCTTCTCGACAGCCTTGAACTGCTCCATGCACTACAGTATGCTCCGTCAGTATCGATATGCAAAAAGCCAACCCTGCAGGTCCTGTGGATCTCACAGTCTCAATGGCCCTTCGCTGCTCAAGCAGCGGCCCCTTATCCTTGACCTCATTTCCAGACGCCCATGACTTGATCTGATCACGATATCGTTGAAGCTTCTTGATCTCTCGTTTCAGGTTCTCCTCGAGCTTGTCACGTTGTGTGGGATTGTTAGCGACACGGATCTTCTCGTAGATGCCTTCGAACGTCTGGATACCCTCCGCGACTTTCTTGAAGGTCTTGTCTATCTCCTGCTGCGTCTTGCGGGACGTCATCGCCGCTGTCTGTTGCTCATGCGAACCGCGGTGCCAAGAGATGAAATTCCGCTGCTATCGCTCGAAGGGAGATCGGGGTCGTTTCAAAAACGGTCGGATTGAAGTCGGAACCCGAGGGAAGGAATGTCTGTGTTGCCCGGCAATTTTGCACTTCAAAAGTGTCTGTTGTGACAGTAATAAAAAGCCTCCGCTAGCCTGTGAATGTCAATTACTCTTTCCGGTGGGCCACGAAGCTGGGGATGTCGCCAAGAGTAGAAGGCGGTCACTTTTGGAAAATACTGCCCACAGCCTTGCCCAGCTGGGCTTTGCGCGGGGAAGTTTCTCGGACTGTTCACTGCTATTCCGTTGACCTGGTTTTAATTATTGTCTAAGCTGGATTTATACTGCTTCCTATTATATAACTGAATTGCCTGTGGAGCTGTATTGTTTATTCAGGGTTGGTGGTTCTCGCTACACAGTGGCTCGTCTCCGCCCATGACCGCCGGCTAATGTATGGCATCTCAACAACAGCAACAAACGGCAAGACTATTTGACCAACATTATGAAAGGTCAGCAAACAACATTGTGTTACACTGCCTCATACTAATTCCTGTGCAGCTGTTATCCAGCGGGTTAAATCCGCCTCCGTCACCGTCGATGGCCAGCTTATCTCCAAGATTGGACGGGGACTCCTTGTGCTCGCGGGAGTTGGCCGGGAAGACACAGAAAAAGACATAGACACAATGATCAACCGGATATTGAAGGCGAAGCTATTCCCGGCCGAGACAGACAAACAGGCAAGTGGATTGCATTGGATTCTGAACTAGGCTAACCAGGCCGGTCGCAACAGTGGAAAAGGAATATCCAGGATATCGATGGCGAAGTACTTTGTGGTATGATTACTGATTTTTTTGCCCTCCTTTCATAGCGCCAACTAAAATCTCTAGTTTCTCAATTTACCCTTTTTGGCCAATTGAAGAAAGGCAAACAACCCGATTTCCACGAAGCTGCCAATGCCGAAACGGCACGCAAGCTATACGACTACTTCTATAAGCGCCTCGGCGAGAACTACAAACCTGAACGGATTAAGAACGGTGTCTTCCAGGCGATGATGGATGTCGAGCTTATCAATGATGGGCCGGTGGGTGTAGACTACCGCAGTGAGGATGGGGCGGTTAGCTCTCACTTCTCCAGTGGATTTCTCAAATTCTAATAAGGGCAAGGCTGACTGTATTTTCTCTTTAGGTTACTATCGAGGTCGACACACAATTACCGAAGAGAGAAAAAAGCGCCGATGACAAAGACTCGGATTCAAAGAAGACAGGAACCGTGGAGTTCAAGCTCCCCGCAGAGCTTTTAGAGTAGACGCAGAGTACCGACGGACTCAGGCCATTATGATACCCTTATGACTGTACATATAGACAGCGTGCATTTATAGAACCATGTCCGGAGCCAGCCACAGGAGGCTAATAGTAATCAAAATACTAAGTCGACATGATCCACTGCATCTCAGCGATCATTTTAGCTTGATTTAATTAGAAACACCCACTACAGTTAGACAGGTAATAAAAGAAAATAACAATAGCGCTGAGCCCCTCATCTTCGGTAGCTAGCCCCCCTGTTTGGGATTAACGATTGGATTCACAGCTTGCAAAAGTTGGGGTTCGTAGCGCGAGTCATGGAAGGTGATGGAACTCTCTGAAGCATCGGAGCTGGCCATCTCCAGCCCACTTTGGCCTCTCTTTTCCCCCTCCAGGCTTTAATAACTTCCCTCTCTCGTCACCCCTTTGGTCGCCTATCATTTGTCCCTACTTCCGTCTTCTCCGTTTATACCAGCGTTTCTACAATACCCTTCTCTATCCCCACAACCATGGCTGAATCCCAGCGTATGTCTTCCAGACTTCCCCGCTTTGCGATCCAACAAATTCCAGTCCGTTAACAGAACTCAACCTAAGGTCGTTTTCGCGTCTTCTTTGACATCCAAATCGGCCAGCAGAAAGCCGGTCGCGTTGCTCTTGAATTGGTAGGTCTTGTGCCTAAGCTGACTCTCATGACTGTCTTTGCTAATTGCCCCGCTTCATAGTTCAATGATGGTACTGTCCACGGCCCGTACAGCGGTTTTTCGTTCCCTTTCTGACCAGATTCTAGTCGTCCCCAAGACCGCAGAGAATTTCCGAGCACTTTGTACTGGCGAGAAGGGAGAAGGAAACCAGGGCAAGCCCCTGCATTTCAAGGGTATGGCGAGTCTCTACACCAATAGCTATTCAGAAACCTAACCAGTATCTCCTGTTAGGTTCGATCTTCCACCGAGTTATCAAGCAATTCATGATTCAGGGTGGTGACTTCACTGCTTTCAACGGCACTGGCGGCGAGTCGATCTATGGCGAAAAGTTCCCCGACGAGAATTTCGAGCTGAAGCATGACCGTCCCTTCCTCCTTTCCATGGCTAACTCTGGCCCCGGCACAAACGGCAGCCAGTTCTTCATTACTACCGTTCCTACTCCTCACCTAGACGGCAAACATGTGGTTTTTGGTGAAGTGCTCAACGGCAAGAGCGTGGTCCGCAAGATCGAGAATTTGCCAACTCAGGCCGACAAGCCTCAATCTGACGTGACCATCGTGGACTGTGGTGAACTTACCGGGGACGAATATGAAAATGCGGACAAGCAGGTTCCCGATGCTACCGGTGACCCATACGAGGACTTCCCCGATGACCACCAGGGAGAGGAGCTGAGTGCTCCAGTGTGCTTCAAGATTGCTTCGGAGCTGAAGAATTTCGGAAACACGGCTTTTAAGAGCGGCGACATCAACTTGGGTCTTGAGAAGTACCAGAAGGGTCTACGCTATCTCAATGAATTTCCGGAGCCGGAGGAGGGAGATCCCAAGGAACTGGAGGCTCAGATCAAGTCTCTGCGATTCACCCTCCACTCGAATTCTTCTCTTCTCGCAAACAAATTGGGCCAGTTCAAGAACGCGAAAACCTGGGCTACGTACGCCTTGGAAGTTGCCGGTGCTGCTAGCGCAAAGGATGCGGACAAAGCGAAGGTCTACTATCGCCGCGCGGTGGCTCATACCGGACTCAAGGAAGAAGATGATGCTCTGAAGGACCTGGAGGCGGCTTCCAGCCTGGCTCCTAGCGATGCCGCGATCTCGGCCGAGACTGCTAGAGTCAAGAAGGCCATCAAAACCAGAGAGGCTCAGGAGAAGGCCACTGCTCGGAAGTTCTTCTCATAGACAAAATTTCTGTGGTTATGATTCATGAATCTTTCTCATTCCCCACATCCTCCAGCGCCAGTTATTTGCATAGAAAGTGACGATGTTCTCGGCTCCGAAAATGGGCCTCGCAATTCTGCTTTCTCCCGTATCTGGGCATGTGTGGTTTCAGTGTTCCCAAGCCTTTTACAGAACTTAGTTCGATAGCATGGAGAAATAGGCGCACAGTGTTACTTCTTGTACCGTCCGTTACATAGTGATATGTAGCCAAGGTTCTAAGCAATATAAGAATATCTCCTTGCATATGGCAGTACTATATCAGACCATACCAATGGATTCTCTAGAGGTGGGTATGATCCCTCAGTGTTAACCTTGCTAATATAGTGAATTGCTATAATGTTGTAGAGCAAAAGGGTCACTCTATCGTGAATGTCAGACGTAAACGTACTAGGGCATTGACACTGACAGATCTCCAACACGCGCTTGATGTTGAGCTCCACGAGCCATTTCTGGATGAGGAGAACCTACCGGAACCAAAAGACATGCTTGCTGCATGCGCCGGACTGGCAGCCTACGACGAGAGAAGCCATGTGATTCGCTTAGTCCACTGTACTACGCAAGAATACTTTGAACGGGCATGGTCTAGGTGGACACCGCAAACGCATTCCATTATTGGGAACAAATGTATCACATACTTGTCGTACCGTCCAAGACAATAGGCGATTTCTTCTCACGCCTGAAGAAATATCCACTTTTGGAGTACTCCGTCCAATCCCTGGCCTACCATTCTCTGCGACAGCCCGTGGATGAAGATATGATCCTGTGTCTGCTGAAAAACAATCAGAAGGTGTTATCATACAACTAGGTTGCCTACTATTTTCAAGGGAGGTCGGACTGGGATGACATACGTGAACCCACGGGCATTCGCTTAGCTGTAGAATTGGGCCTTGGGTTTGCTGTCGAGGTTATGTCAAAGACTACTACGTCAATTGACATTAAAAATGCAATTGGAGACACCCCCCTAATAGCTGCGATTGGAGGGGGACAAGAGGGCACCACTAAACGATAACAGCAGAGAAAAGACCGTGGAGCTTTTGCTCGGCAGCGGTGCACAAACCACTCAGGGACCGTATAATATGAGTGGAGACAAATATACAGAAGCATCTAGTGCTCATGAACATGAATCAGCACTATGGCTAGCCGTGCAAAAAAAGCACGAAGGCATTGTACGGCTACTGCTACAATATGGTTCTCCCGAGCTATACTCTACGCAAAGCACCAATTTGCTGGTGGAAACAGCTATCAACTCTAATCTCTCCGGCATTGTTCAGGTTCTTCTTGAGCACGTTAATGGGGGATATGTACTGGACAAATGTGCCGAGTTACATTTGTTCCAGGCAGCAAAGCTGGGGTTCGCGGAGGTGGTAGAGTTGCTTCTAAAGAAAGGAGTCAACATCCACTGCAAAATTGTTGAGATGTCACAATTGCACGGTAAACCGGTTTATGAATCGACTGGGAGTGAATGGGGAACGACACCACTGACAGTTGCCGCAAAAAATGTTAAGATTCTGTTAGAAAAGGGAGCTAGATGGGTCTTTAAAGGAGACCGTACCTCTCTGCTGGTTGACGCCGTTCAAATGGGCCATGCAAATATAGTGAAAATATTTTTTTTTTGGAGCAAGGTGCCGATTGCGAAACTCGGGACCAGGTTGATGAGTGGTCACTCCTATTATTGGCGGCCAGTGCTTGCCATGAAGAAGTGGTCCGAGTCTTGGTTGGCGCCGGGGCGAACCTCAATTGCAGAGCACAACGTCGGTCCATTTCAGCATCGTGTGGGTATGAGGGAATAGTCAAGGTCTTACTGGAATCTGAAGCAGACCCCAATATTCCTGATGACCATGGCGCAACCCCTCCACTCAGAGCAGCAGAATCCGGTCACAATAACATTATCCAAATTTTACTGCATCACGGAGCCGATGTCGATGCTGTGGACAGATCCAATCGAACGGCTGTATTTATTGCTGCTCTCAATGGGTACAGCATAGCTACTCGCACTTTGCTAATTCATGGCAGCAAGGCGATATATAGGGCGACATCCGCAGGCCGAAGCCCATTTTCTATCGCCAGTGAGCACCACCCATTTCATATATTACCGATATTTCCCTCCGAAATGGCTTCGTCGAATGAGATGAGATCATCACCAGGGGATAGATGCACAAAACAGACCTATCGGATGGGCCAGGGTCGGTGGGTGATAACGAAGCTGATACAATTGCTGCTGGTTATGCCCACTATCTTTGTAACGGATGTGATTTCTGGGTCACTGAGCTAGATGATCGTTAGCCGCTGTGGCATATACAAAGAGGCGCTTGACTTTATCCTCCTCTGTCCGGAATGCATTGCAAGTGGGATATACTGTCACGACAAGTTACACATGCTTGAAAGGGGAAAGTTCATACATGGGAATTGGGAAGCATCACAAATCATTCGGCCGTGGTACGGCAATGGAGGCTGTGGAAATGGGAATGGGGAATGGGATATAAATTATAGAAGCACTCATTATATAGAGATGGGTAGTGCACTAGATCAGAAAAGGAATGGAGTTGGCGCACGGGCCAGGACAGTGGTTCTACTGTGTAGAGCTGGGGGACTCAACATCGACACCTGTCAACCACAATTTAAGTCGTGCACGTTTACCATGATGTGATAGCTATTTATATCTCAGAATCTATCTCAATGCCGTCCTCAAGAGTAGGTCTTCTTCGGCCCTGAATGAAGTGAAACTCATTTACTATTAGACACCATTACGCGCGCCTCCCCGCAGCAATGCGCGTTCCCAGTTCGCCTCAACCCCACGGTTTCTGTTCTCGCAGAGACCAGTAGCTCGGCAAAAGCGGGCAGCGGACAGAGACAATATTCTTCCAAAAGATGATACAGGCCTGCCTCAAGAATCACATAGGGCTCTAACTCCTGCCCGTGATCCGCCGTCGCGCCGAAAGGAAGTGATTGAAGATTCCGGCAGCGATTTGGATCTAGATGAGGACTCCCACCAGAGGACTGACAACGGAGTCAGTCCCAGAGGCACCCCAGTTAGTCCACTGCCGGACACGAGCGAGCTAGATGCAGAGATTGAGGCCCTTTTTGGTCCCACGAGCAATCGCCCTAAACGACGCCGTGTCTCTGATTTAACAGCGCCCGCAACTCAAAGGAGAAAGCCATATGATACCATCGAGACTTCTCCTCCAGAGTCATCATCATTCGCAACGGATCCTCCTTCACCATCTCTGCCCTTTCGTGTGACTCCTCAGAAGACACCGCGACCTCCGGCAACACCTATAACTGGCAAATCGTCCGCCCGAGGTCACCCACGCTTCCTTATCTCTTCGTCATCTCAAGCACCACCAAAGCCGAAATTCTCGTTGCCTCGCTCTCCATCCCCAGAACAGGCGGATAATTCAAACGCTATTCCAACCCCGTTCTCTCCATCATCTCGTACACTCCGCCGCCGTGGCCGGCAGCGCTCATCCGGCCCAAGTTATCTTCCTGGCAGTATGGCAGCCGAAGTGCGCAGCTGGGTCCTAGAGATGGGAACAAAGCGAGAACAGCAAATTCAAGCTACCCTTGGTCGCCGCAACGAGGAAGATTCGCACTCGGTTAACACCAACAGGTATTCACTGATGCTTCGCATAAGTAATGTCCGTCAATCCGCTCTTAGCAGTTGCGGTCCACTGGCATTCTTACAGGGTCAAACTATGGCATCTCCCGAAGATTTCGATCCAGGAAACAATGTTACGAAAAATGTCTTACTCATAGGATTCCCTCGTTTGCGCGCAGGTGAGATGCGGACCTCCTCCCGTGTACCTGGCCTCGAAGCGGGAGATGTAGTAGGTGTCCTTCGGGGATTAGTCTGGGAATTGGGGGTGAAGAGTGATACAAATCATATACCCGATCATGAGCAGATCCTACGCCGTGAGAGTGAACGATCTCCGGGATTGGGGAAGTGGCTTGTAGGGATGGAATGGGAGGTTATATCGCCTACATAGTATACCGTCATTTCGTCATTTCGTTATTGACTCGAGCGTTTACAAGCGAACCCAAGTTATATGATATCCTGACGAACAACATATTTAGCCTGAAATCCTTTCCTTGTTTTTCCAGAAAAAATATATATATATATACTTCGTGGCAAGTCTATCAATAAATATATGTACAATGCAGTCCCTTTTTAAAGACCCAAAATCACATTCAAACCATACGCCTGGCTCTAAAACCCCAAATATAAGAAAACGGGTATACAGTCGAGTGGAATCACAGCGCACCCTCATCAGCCTCCACAACCTTCAACGCATCAACAGCAACCCTCACTCCCCATTTCACCATGGCCTGCTCCTTCTCGGAAGCAACAATGTCTGTCTTTGCGACAACCTTTTTCAAGAAATATATACACCCCTTAACAATCTGCGGTGTGTCACGAGTCCGCATGAAGATCTCCACGAGAGGTTTTTCATCGAGAGCTGGTTCTTCTTCGTCCTTTGACTTCGATTTCGATTTGGATTTCTTCTTCTTCTTTTGTTTCTGTGATTGTTGGACAATGCTTATCATGAGGAGCTCGACAAATGTCTTTGTCTTTGGTTGCAGGTATGCAAAGTTAAGTGTTTTCAGGATTCCAAGTGTGAGTGCGCCATCCGCGATAAGGGAGGCGTACATCTTTGCAAGGTTGACGATCGCCTTCATGGACAGCGGATTTTCTTCGTCTTCACCCTGCAGACCAGCTTCGTCTTCGTCATCTTCGTCAAGATCCCCCGTTTCACCCATGCGCTTGAAGACGTTCCATAACGTGAACATGAATGAGACTTTAATGCGGCGGCCTAATTCCCCGCAGAGTCGGCGCGCGATTAGCGTGTAGTAAGGGTTATGGGCGTCTTCTTCCATGGCGCAGTGTGTGAGGACGCGAGGGATCTCGAACTCCTGCGCCCGTTTGAGGCGGAGTTTGAGGAGGCGAACGTGTGCATCCTGGTAGTCTGTTGCGGACATGATAGCGACGAAGATGGAGCGGCGGACATCGGTATTCATGCGGTGTGCTTTGGCGATGGAGCCGAAGTCTGGTTCACCATCGCTGTCATCTTCCATCGCGGCGCCGGCTTGGTTGCTTAGAGGGAGGCCAGAGAGTTCCTGCCGGGCGGACTCGAGAGGGTCTTCTCTCCAGCTGGCACCGACAAGCCACCATTTGCCCTTTTTGGAGGAGTTGTGGATGTCGTTTCTGGAGATACTGATAGGTTCGGAGGCACGAATGACGCGCGAGTTGTTGAGGGAGCCGAGGATTTTGCGCATCTTGGTAATATGTTCTGAGGCGACGGTCGAGATAGCTCCAGATTTGACGCGGTTGTTTTTCAAGTCTGTGATTGTGTCGATCATGAATTTTGTTCGGACGGAGAGAGAGGCCTCGCCGGCTTTTGCAACAGCTGGCTGGATGAGGAGGACAATGTCTTTGAGCGATGACGGGTCATCTTGTCGAAGTTGAGGGCCGGAGTCTGATTGAGTAGTCAGTTATTTAAGTCACGCTGATTGTTTATAAAGGCGAACGTACTTCGGATGACCTTGAGAAGGAGCTCTGTATTGTCCTCGTTAATATCTTGCAGAAACAGCCGAATATAATCAAATATCAAAGTGCTTCCGACAACGTGGAAATTGTAGAGCTGTGATAAAAGGGAGATCAAGTTGATAGTCTCTTTCCCTTCAAACTTGCCCCTTTCATCTCCACTTGCATCAAATGTTTCCACAATCTTTTGAACAATCTCTGCCCCGAAATCCATACCCATGATCTTGTATATGGCTGCGATGAAACCCGCATGCAGTATAATGAATGTATCATTAAGAGCAGATCTCTCACAGATGAGTTGGAAGAGTAGAGATATTAGTGTAGAGGTTACGTTTTGGCGAGGGTACTCGCGATAGAGCTTCTCAAATTCCGCCAGAATGGAAACGAGGTTCGCCTCGGACAGCTTGTTTAGCTGACCTTGCGCTTGTCTCCTCAGTCTGGTTAGAGACTCAGACTCAGAGTTCGATGCTGCTCGTAGTGACGGCGGAATATATTTCGCCGGCTGGCTCTCTGTCGGGACGGGCGCGATATAAGGGTTTTCTCGCTTCTTTGGCGCTGTCTCCTCTTCTTCGCTTTCTGCATCCTCTCCTAGTAGATCCATGTCCTCGTCTTCGTCTTCGTCCTCGTCAACATCATCGAAGTCTTCTAGGTCCTCGTCGCTCATTTGGTCACTATCAGACTCTTCAGGCTCGTCAACAGACAGGCCTTGTGCCTTTCTTCGCTTATTCCGCAACCAATCGTCCGCCTCTCGTTTGCGTTTCCGGCCTTCGTCCGCAGATCCTTCATCCAGTTCACCCAGCAAATCGTCCAATCCATCATCCGCGAAAGCTTTGGGGGTCTTGCCCTTTTTCAATCCAAGCTTTTTCTCAAGCGCGGCAATCTCCGCATCGTCTTGCTCCAATTTGTCTTGCACTGCTTTGGATACCTTCTTGCGCGGAGCATTGTCCGCTGCCTTCTCCTCTCGATCGCTAGCGTCATCTCCAGATTCTAAATCCCGTACGGCCTTGGGTTTCTTCGAGGTCGAGCTGGGCTTTTCCTTCTTCTGCTTCGCAGCCTTCAACTTTGCCATGACATCTCCCTCCTCTTCATCAGATCCGCCTTCGAAATCAGCCCCGTCATCAAAGCCATCAAAGTCACCATCGTCGTCATCGTCGTCATCGCCATAGCCCCGGCCGCCAGTATTCCTCTTCAGGCCTGGTCCTCGCCCTTTCCCCGCCCGCTCGTCTCGCCGACGATCCTTCCGAGAAGCTTGCTCGTTCCGCTTATTCTTCTGCTCGCCGAAGCGGTCTCGGATCCCGAGCTCTTGTCGGAGGCCTCGAGGTAAAGACGTTGTATTATGCCTAGGACGAGGCATTTTTTGGTGATTATCTGAGTTGATTGATCTCCAGAAAAAAGAGCGGAGCTATAAAAAAATATCAAAATATGGCCAGAATTTGATGGCGGAGCGGAAGGCGGTGAGGCTGAGGCTCGGAGATTATTCCCCCACAGTGGACAACTGAAGACGACAAAAGGTGTTGGGAAACAATTGCGTCTCGATAAGCAAAGATAATTCTCCAGAAAAAATGCCGGCGCCTCTTGGACATGAAGAGGTATGTTATTTTGGTGCCATATTATTCGCCTATATGATACAGTGTTGCTAACAATCTCGCCACCAGTTCTTCAACTCCCTCACAACTCTCCTCACAAATACCTCCCAAAAGACTAAGGGCTCGGTTTACCTAACCCAGAAACCGCTGTTGAACTCTTCATCCTCAGACACCGACAAACTAAACCAACCGTCAATCCTGATCCGCGCGTCAGACGGGAACACAAACTCCAAAAATCCAAAGACGCACCCTGAGGTCAAAGACAAGAAGAAAAGCAAATCGAAGCTCTCGACAGTTGTTCAACAAAGCGAGCTCGAGACGTTCTATGCGCGATATGCGGAGGTCTGTAAAGCAGGGATGACAGGGCTTAAAAAGCGAGATCGGAAGTTGAAGAAGGCAAAAGCCAAGGGTGGTGCAGGGAAGGTTGTGAAGGGTTGATTTTGTTTTTTTTACGAGAGGGAATCTGTCAGAACTGCATTCATGGCGTTTGGGACTGTTTCTTTTCCTTTTTTTTTTTTTTTTTTTTTTTTTTTTTTTTTGTGGTATACCAGGCTGTTAGCATCCGCCACGCCGAGCTGGTTATGGCCTTGCAGAATGTTTGATAAATATTATAAACCGCTTTTTGTCTAGAGTTGCGATCCTTGAGCTAAAGGATCTCTAATCAAAAAGATGGCAAATGTTATATCATATGGTCATTAATATCGGAACTAGTTAGGTATGCTAAAATACAGGTGAACTTGTCTAGAAATACAGGCAAGAAGAGAAGCGCACTATGCAGGGTATACAAAAGCAGAAATCCAAAGATGATGATCATGACGAGGCGTTATCATGGAAGCGGGAAGCAAGGAGGGAAGAATTGCGCCGGTCAAGGGGTGAAGGGAAACAGTCAAATGCTGGAAGGAGTTCAAGATCTAACCAGAATCCGAACCGAGGTGACTCTGATCTGAAACCGACGGCTTTCTTGGGAACTCCGGTGCAAGTGGAAGATCGTAATCATCCACAGCCTCATTGGAATAAGAGGCCTGGCGCTCGAGTTTGCGGTGAAAGTCTCCGACAGGGGAGTCAACCCCCGGACCTATGACAATCCGTGCCGCAATATGGATCAAGACTATGAGCAGTTGAATAGGTGGTACTAAAACCAGTGTAGCTGTCTTCTGAATTAACGAGGCAGCATCATGTTTCTCTGTGTTGGCGAGGATTAGCGTAGCTGCCGGGGGCATTGGTGATATTTCCCTCTCTCGTGACGCTTTTGAGCGGCGGCGGAATTCAGTGCTCATGGTAGTAAGGTTCGGGTTTGAATCGTTAGACTTTGCGCTGTTAATGCTGGAGAATGATCCCGGTGTTCGGGGCAATATAAAGTTCTGTTCGGGGCTTAAGCTTTGTACAGGGGTGAACATCTGGTCTGTGCTTTTCTCTCTATTGAACGGCGGTTTCAGGGTATCTTGACTTTCAAACTCCTCTCTATCCGACGGTTCCTGCACTTCTTGGAGCTTATCTTGCGCCAAATGTTTATCGTCTGGTGATGTAGGAGATGGGGGTGTCAAATAGGGTTCTGGCGTAATATCCATTGAGTGGAACGAGTCAACACTTGACGAAAGTGGCAACTCCGGTTCATCCTGAGACTCAGGCGTGTCTTCAAACCTCCCCAGCAAGGTCTGGAAGCTTTGCTGTACCTCACTCACTGATCGCCTTGGCATAGTCGATTCGGGTATATTGATGGGCTCTGGCAATTGCTCGTGATCATCCGGAATTGTCTCCAGTTTCGTATTACTACCTCTCGGGGTGAAGCCACTGCCGTCGGTGGCAGTCTCGTCTGTATCCTCGCCTGCACTGAGTGAATCTGGCGTGGCAATTCCTTTTAAATCAAGGGGCTCCTGACAGTACGTCGGCTGTATAGGAGCACTTTCTCTTCGTCCTTTGGGGCGCCATGCTTTCTTGCGTCGGGGAACTTTCGCCTCCTCAGGAATTTCAACCGTGAACCCACGTTTAAAAGGGCACGGTGTGACTTCGTAGCGGAGGATCTTTGGTAAAGCCTCTTTCATTTCAGTAACAAGCTCTTTGTCATCCTCGGTTTCGTTCGGCAACTCGATCCGGTAGTATGTGAGGGGGCGGATGCGCAAAACAAACGTGGATTCCCTGTCCACGCACCAACACTGAGAGTTCTTTAGGATCGCGTGGACCACGCTTCCACATTTCAGGAACACGGTCGATCCATATACCTTCTCCAACCTCAGTGGCGCGAACGCGACCGTTCGCTCTGTTGGGGATCGCCACGGCAGGGTCTCGATGGTATCAACAGGGTAGTCAAAGTCGGACGGCGCAGTACTGGAGGGAATCGGCACTATAGATCTAGGGGAAAAGTGAACGACTTTTGCCGATGGGTGGTAAAAGATATCATTCTCGGATGGTTTGAACGAGTCGGATTTGCGTTGGATGGATGGGTTCAGGTTGGTAGGAAGCGTAAACGACCGTCGGGGAGGTGGCGCTTCAAAAATGTCGGACATGATCGCTCATGGGGGTTCGAGAAAAACAAAGATTACATTGATGTGGGAAATGATGAAGGAGCGAGGAGAGAAGAATGAAGGAAAGATGCTCCGCTCAGCTGGGGGCAACAATGTTGTGGCTATGGTAAGGAGCGAAGAGCCATTCTCGGACGAGCTCTGGGCAGTATCACGGGTCAAAGGTCAAAGAGAGGCAAATGATGCCAGCGACAGCACTAGTGAAGGATAATGATAATCATCAGAGCGCATAGTACAAACCAAGCCCCCTTAGTGCCGCATATTGAATGCAGTCTATCTGCAGTTGATTCTGCGTCTGGGGTCGATTTGAGTGGGGCATTCCGGCCTTTAGATTCAGGTGTCGAACAATCATGTAAGCGCTCCAGGCCTGGCAGGCTGTCACGAATCTTTCTCTAACAAGCCACTTGCTCCAACCTCTGTTATTCTTTTATCTATTACTAAAGCTGAACTGTTTTCTGGCCACTTATATTTTGGCCTCGACTCTCGAAATGTCGAATTTTGAGCCGAATGCTGTTATCCGCGGCTTCCAGCTGACCGTGGTTGGCAGTAAGTCATCCAGCCCACTTGATGAAACAATACTGACCTTGCAAGCTGTTCGTGCCTTAATAAATCCAAGGCTGTTCAAATACGATCATTTCCGACAGGCAGCTCTTGCCATAGGCATTGGGATCATCATCCAACTTATCATCCAGATCCCGGTATGATCCATTATGATACGCAGCAGCGGCGAGTTACTGATATGTACCTTTCAGATTGTCGCAGTCAGGTTGCTCATCTGGACCAGCTCATGGGTTGTTAATCTGGAGGATGCCACCTGGGATGACAGTCTTCTCAGTGGCTTTGACTTCCTGAACAAGTCCGTCTTGCAGGTCCCATTCCTGCTCATGACGTTACTGAGATACATCACTCCCACTCTCGATGAAATGTAAGTACTCTAGAAGCTGAGAAGCAGTAATTAACGATGCACTGACTGGTGTAGCTTCATGGAATCCTTAAACTGGGTTGATACTACCTATGTCCAGAAGCATAAGACCGACGACCCCAAAACTCTGCGCGCCATGTACTATCCAAATCTAGTCCAATATTCGACCAAAGTCGAAAAGGGCCAGTCCAAGCCGGTCTTGGAAGCTCTTGTGGCATTCGCCAAGAGATATGGACGCAAGGTTGGCATGCTTTTAGGAATCTATCTCGCCTCTCTCACACCTGTCGTGGGCCGCTTCGTGATGCCCGCAGCCTCGTTCTATACCTTCCGCAATGCGGTTGGAACTACGCCGGCTGCCGCCATTTTTGGGTCCGGAATCATCCTTCCCAAGCACTATCTCGTCACTTTCCTACACAGTTATTTTGCTTCTCGCAGTTTGATGCGAGAATTGGTATGTGTCCAAGAATTCGTCGCCGGACGCCCGACTAACTCCACAATAGCTCGAACCATACTTCTCCCGTGTTCGATTCACCTCTGAGCAAAAGCGCCGCTGGTTCAAGGATCGCGAAGGGGTTCTATTTGGCTTCGCGTTTGCGTTCACATTTGTCCTGAAAATCCCCATCATCGGAGTCCTCATGTATGGCGTAGCCGAGGCTTCCACCGCGTATCTTGTCACCAAAATCACCGACCCGCCACCCAGTCCCGCTCAAAGCGAAGGCTTCGCAGAAACCCAAGTTATGTGGAAGAATAAGCACGACTTCCTGGAGTTGTCCCTTGATAAGCTTGACAAACTGAACGTGGCCGCCCATGAGCAGGACACACCAAAGCCCGAGACCCCCGGGCGGAAATTCGCCTAGACTCGTCTACTGCTCTAAAAGCCTGTTTCCCAATCCAGCTGCCTGTTCCGGCATTGACTACAATTGCCGGTTTTGATAACACTCTTGATAGTAGACGATAGCATAATAAAAATAAATGATTGGTACGAAGATGAGGGGAAGGCGTATCTGGTGAGGGGCACGTAGTATCTACCGTACTTATACTACCTCAGACGTCCCAGCCTGCACTTCCTACAATTCTCCGTCAAAATTCATCAAGAGTAAACCATTATGGGCATCAAAGGCATCCGAACCGCTCTCAAAGTAGACCTGGACAAACCTGCTCGGGAACAAAAGGGTCTTCACGTAAGTTTTAGCTGTACGTCGCATCTAAACTCAGCTGACTAGTATAGAACCGATGGCATCCGGATGGTACGCTTCCCTTATTATTTATTGAATAAATCTCACAAACCAAGTCCCTAGCTACGGAGCGATCGCAAACAATGAAGTCGTCAAGATCGAATGTCTAGACTGGACCGGAGGACAGATCAAGAACAACGACTCTGCCGATGACATCAAGAATGTCGACTTGACACAGATCCACTACCTCTCAGGTCCATTTGACATCGAGACGGCTGAGCCTGGCGACGTCCTCCTTGTTGAGATTCAGGACGTCCAACCCTTCGAGGACCAACCGTGGGGGTTCACAGGTGTCTTTACACAAGAGAACGGTGGAGGGTTTCTCGATGAGATTTACCCAAACGCGTCAGTTTTCTTTCTTTAGGTACAAGCCGCAGCTCTTAGCTAACGTAACCAGTGCCAAAGCCATTTGGGACTTTGAGGGCATCTTCTGCTCCTCCAGGCACATCCCTCATGTGCGCTTCGCGGGCCTTATCCATCCTGGTATTCTAGGTTGCGCTCCGTCGGACGAAGTCCTGGCTGAATGGAACCGGCGCGAGGGTGAACTGATCGCAACCAATTCCACTAGTCGTGATGTTGCAAAGCCCCCAGAACCACTGAACACTCACGCTGGTAACGCAGATGAGGCGCTAAAGGCGAAGATTGGGCGCGAGGGGGCGCGGACTATTCCGGTATAATTCTTCCTTGTCCACCTTATTACCTCCATTCTCACCAAAACAAATTATATAGGGCCGCCCCGAACACGGAGGCAACTGCGACATAAAGAACCTCTCTCGAGGCTCCAAAGTATACCTCCCTGTTCATGTTCCCGGCGCCAAATTCTCTGTCGGGGATCTTCACTTCTCACAGGGCGATGGGGAGATATCCTTCTGCGGAGCAATCGAGATGGCCGGCGTGATTACCATCAAATTTACTGTAATCAAGGACGGCATGGCCAAGATGGCAATGAAGTCACCCATATTCCATCCTGGCCCAGTTGGACCACAATTTGGACCCGGCAGATACCTCACTTTTGAGGGCTTCTCGGTCGATGAGAAGGGCAAGCAGCACTATCTCGATGCGACGGTTGCTTACCGTCAAACCTGTCTCAGGGTTATCGAATACCTGCGTCGGTATGGATACAGTGATTATCAGATATATCTGCTGCTCAGCTGTGCGCCGGTGCAGGGGCATATCGCCGGTCTGGTGGATATTCCCAATGCCTGTACAACACTGGGCGTGCCCATGGATATCTTTGATTTCGATATCCGGCCCGAAACAGATGTGGTCAAGCAGGATATGGGAAGCTGTGCTTTTACTTCTGCTTAGAGTTCTAACTGATAACTGCAGCATCAATCCACTAATTCTAATCGTTGAATTCATATCCATTCTATTCAATGTTATGTACACATTTAATCATATCCACATCATGCCAACTTGTTTACACGCGTAGACCTAACTCAATCAGTCTATGCAACCCTTTTCCTGTACCAGAGAGACAGTAGGATCAAGAACCTACGCAAGTCCAAAATACTCCGCAAACCTTTCCTCCGCCTCCTTCACACAGTCAAACCCATAGATCTCCTTTTGCACGTCCGCATCTGCCCATTTGTCCGGCACAGGGCCCTTTCCAGCCTTTAGTGCTGCAAACTGCTTATCGCGCTCCTCCTTCGCTGCTCCATCACCCAGATGCAGTGCCCGCCCACTCGCAGCCGCCAACTCAACAAGCGCATATGCTCGGTCCTTCCTCACCTTCTCGTAAGCCTTCAATGCTTTGTGGATGCTCTCCGGGTCCGTGGCAGGTAACTTTGAAAGCACCACTGCAAGAACAGCCCCATCCTCAATTGCCTGTGCCGCACCCTGAGCTAGATGCGGCAGAGTCGGGTGGCAAGCGTCACCAACCAGGGCCGTCGACTGATGAACCCACGTAGGCAACGGCTCATGCGTTCGCAACTTCCACTCGCAAACCTCACCCTCAGGAACATAATTCAGCATACGCTGCACAAGCGGGCAGAAATCCGCAAAGACACCGAGCATGGCGCTTTTCGACCCTTTCGTCGTGTAGGTGGCATTCGTCGCAGCTGCGAAGTTGCTATCCGGCTGCGTCGTGCTCAGATTGTAGATGGTGTTGTTGGAAACCGGGTACGCGATGATATGGCGCTTCTCACCGATCCAACGTGTGACCTTCGTGCTGTTGATTAGGGCCAGCAGTTCTGGGTCCTCGCGGATTTGGTCTTTGTGGATCATGATTCGGTATGCTGCTTGTTGCGTGTCCTTGACGTCGGAGGTGATGCTTAGATCGCTGAGCATGGCGACGCGGACAAGCGATTTGATTCCGTCGGCGCCGAGGAGGACATCTGCGATGCTGGTGTATGGCTGCTTAGAGGTGTCGCGTGGTGTCACTGTGAATGAAGGCTTCGGGCCGAAGGATAGGACTTCAGAGACAGAGGTCGCGAAGTGGAAGGTAATTTTGTCCGAGTGTTTTAGGCAGCCCTGGTAGAGCCCGTTTGCGAGGGAGTAGCGATGGCCGACCATGTGCTTGTATCCGTATGTGGATTCGATATAATGGAGGTCAACGTGGGCGAGCTCGGTGTCGGAAGCGCCGACTTTCTTAATTGTTAGCCAGCGCAGTCTGCGTACGAGATTAAGATAAGCGACAAACCTCGCACACTCGTCTCCTCAATATTCACGGCCTCGGCCTCAATTCCCTTCCATACACCCAGATGATCCAAGACCCGGGCCATGTTAGGCGCGAGCTGGATACCCGCGCCGACGAATCCAAGGTCTGACGCAGTCTCATAGACATCGATATTCTTAAACCCTTTTTCAGCGAGCGCGAGCGCAGCCGTGAGACCGCCCATTCCTGTACTCATTCTTTAGTATTTCCTTCACAAAGGCAGTTAAGTGTATGTGAGGCAGAAAACGTACCAGCGCCCAGAATGGCTATCTTCAAATCTTGCGGTGCCATTTTCTGGGATTCAGTTATTAATTGTGAATTAATTTAGGTTGAATATTCTCCAAACCCCAGTTGAAGGGTGAGGAGCAGATGTTGTATCCAATATATTCGAGCGGCGGAACAGAAATTAGCCGCAGTCTCCTCTTCCCCACGCGTCCCACAATCCGCACGTATGGGGGGCTTAGTGGCAATTCAATTGAGGGGCCATGGAGAAGACATCCATAGGGGAGAAAGCTTGGTATAATAGGATTCGATTTGGAGTTTTGCTGGATTAGATGTGGGTTCGGCGGATAAAATAAATCCAACATTCATGGCCTGCATATGCACCCCACATCAAGTACATAGCACCATAGTAAAGCACATGTTCACGAAGTGCTCGGACGGTAGTTGAATATAAGAATAGTAGTATGTAGATGTATTATGTTAAATATGATAGGCAACTATAATACATGAAAATATTTCAACCTCGTTCTTCAATGTACCCCATCCCTTGTCCAGTTATAATGGCGCTATTGCAAGCGTAGGTACCGCTTACAGGCTGTCACCAAAGATACCAACGACGTTGCCGACGGGATTAGCAAGCTCAGGCGCGAGACCCTTAACGACACGGGCAACCTGAGGCGCCAGACGAATGAGAACAAGTCCAGTCCCCTCGCCGAGCACAGCAAGGAATCCGTCAGCGCGAGGCCCAAGTTTCTGAATAATCTTGGTAGCCTCGATGCCAGTGGCAATGACAGTGCCGACAGGGGTTTCGAAGTGGAGGTTAGCGATAGCCTTGCCAAGAGCACCAGGTATCTGAACGGGAAGGCTGTTTCCATCGAGTCCATGGACGTCAAAGTGGTCGAGCTGGTCACGCTTGATGTTTAAGCCAAGGGACTTGACAACCTGGCCGACAGGGTTGGTAACAGCATCGAGGCCGAGAGTGGCACCAGCTCCGCGCAGGAGGTCAGCAATCTCGGGAGAGAGCCGGACGAGGAGGATGTGGGAATCTTCGCCAACAATAGTGAGGATGCAGTCGATGATAGGTCCGAGGTCGGCAATAAGGTCACCAATAGAAGCAGCGTCACCAACGATCTCACCCACAGACTCGCTGAGGCTCACACGGCCGGAGAGGAGATTGTAAACGTCTTCGTTGACCTGGACGAGGAAGTCCTCGCCATCAGCGCCAGTGACCGTGAGAAGGCGGTTGACTTGAGGTGCAAGATCCTGGACAAGGTGCCCAGTGCCATGGCAGCGACCGTTCTCGCAGTCTCCGGGTGTCGGAACGGGGGTTGGAGGGGCGGTAGTAGTGCTCGTCTCCCCAGGAACAGTGGCCGTGGAGGTAGCGGTGATGGTGTTAGTGGAGCTCCAGGTAGCAGTGCTAGTCTCCTCGGGGACGGTGGCAGTGGCCGTGGCCGTGTTGGTGTCAGTAGGAGTAGGCTCGACAAGGGTGCCACCAGTAGAGGCGGGCAAGGTGAGAGTGAGAGTTTCCTCCACGCAAGTGCAATCATCATGCCGGGCATTGAGGACAACAGGGCTGGCCACGGTGCAGGCAGCCCAGGTCAGGGCAGTAATCAGAGAAGCCTTCATCTTGGGTATCTATCAAACGCTGATCGTAGATGAAGGGAAATAAAAGGGCAAATAAAAACAGATAAAAGAATAGACTTGGGTCAGAACAGTCGTCAAAAGAGTGACAAGAGGTGGGAAACAAGCTGTTTGCGCGAATGAATGATCGAAGCAGAGAGGCCAGACAGAGAAGCTTCAGGCCGATACTTATACTCTTCAGCGTCCCGGCCCCTTACACTTCCATGGTCATTGACCAGGTCCAGGCTCTCGATAGGGAGGTGCGCCCCGCCGCGACAGAGCTGTCGACTCCGTAGTCTACTCCATGTTCCAAGTCATTTGGCAAGACTAACCAGGAGCCACCACTCCCCGGCAGCTTGCACCAAAGAGAACAACCCCAGCAGGAGGAGCACTCACATCCGAGTCTCCTTTGATTCAAACCTTTGTTCCTGAGTCAGGCAACCTATCATGGTTGCAGCACCGGTGGGCCTCTGTCAGATTTCAACCTCACACATGCAAGCTCTCGTATTTGAGTTTCCGGCCTGAGTTACCCGTGAGCAGCCGGATGATAGCAAGGAACCCAAGGTCTTTCAACGACGATAAGGACCACTCACATGGCAGTCAGTACGGGTCCACCGCCGCTCAGTGCCTAGTCTGGCGGCAAATGGCGCATGGACACCGTTGTTTTATCTCCAAAAAAGGAATAGCAGGGTTCAACTGGTGGTACAGCTGGACATATCCAAATCTTAAGCTTGAGTTCCTTTGTGTCGAGGATCTGCGCCGGAGCAACGACTATTGATAAGTGGCGTGTAGTTGATCGGGGATTGGCTGGCACTGGCCCCGGACTGGCAGGCACTTTGGCCGTTCGCCCGTCGAAGTTTTGCGACTCATCAAATTTCAATGCCCAACCTGGTGAGCGACCGACCTCTGTGCTCTCCGGGGATTAAACATCACGTTGCTCGTTTTATCGTGTCACTTGTTAATCTCCTAGATTTTATTTTATTTTATTTTGGACTTGGGCCTCGCGAGCGCGGCGATTCTTCACAAAAGTTGGCAGCGGGTGGGAAGCGGCCGAGTCTGAGTAGTCTAGCCCCTGTTCTAAGCTCAGAAGTTTGAAGATGCCTTGTTTTCCCCAGAAATGGCGTAAAGTTAACGCAGGAGTAAAAAGTAAACTAGTGGAGATGAAAGGCACTTAGTGCGGGATCTGCTGTGTCGTCTCAAGAAGTCCTCGGCATTTCTTCACAAAAGCAGCCATTGAGAGTCATAGAGCAAGAGTGTGTGTGGGCCTAGCCTTGCGAGGAGGGGGAGGCCCTCTCCCTGGGCCCCAGTACCTTGGGCCATCGCCGTTAGGTTGTGAAAAGTCGCGGCACTGGGGATTATTATAGTCATCCACAGTGCCCATCGGCCACATGGGAATCATGCAAATTTCGTGGTCACCGCAGCCGCTACAGTCCTTCCAAGTAGTCCAAGCGAGATAATTCATAAGACTCTGGACATGGCCGACCACAGAATCATACTCTGTGTAGCTCAGTGCTTCCAGTAGCGTCCCACAGACAGTGCGCGATACTGAAAGCACCGCATCGGCTGCGGTAGTCGTGGTGGGTATTGAGCTTCTCACAAACTGCTTTGAACACCTCTCCACCTCGATGGATGTATTCCGTTGGTCATAGTCAATGAACGGAGTAACAATATCCTCGATTTCATCCTGCAGCTGCTGGAGCGTCGAGGCCTGGCCTGACACCAGGAACCGTAATCGGGCCCCGTAGCGCTCTACGACCATGTCCGCCACAACTTGCCAATTGGCTGATGGCCCGCCAGCCTCATGGTTCATAATCAATGCGTCCAGGTCCTGCTGCATGGGCTCCAACTCATCTACAGCAAGATGTTCCAGTCGGGGGTGAGCATTCTTTCCGTTCGCAAACAAATCCAGCCCGTAATCAAACGCAGTGACAAAATGGTCGTAATTTAGGGTCACCCTTTCTCCACCAATATTCCAATATCGAGATGCCACTGCAGGAAGCCACATGCGTCCAGCATGCATCCCAATATCACTTCCTGGCTTGCCCCCGCTTGGTCGGACCCGAACCACCTGCTGCACCTCGAGGTTGGAAAAGTCACAAAGGATGATCTCAAAGCCCGCTTCCATGCGAAGCAGCCCGTCCAAGCGTCCATTCCACTTGTCTTTAACCATGCGGCAGAAGAGTTGGGCCCCTTGTCGCTCGTTCGACATGCCATCTCTACCATCCTTTAGTTTATCCTGATACAGGATTCGGTCTTGGGTATCCATTGTGCCATTAGCCGTCTTGCCGGCTGACATCCCATCGACGTACAGCAAACGGAGATCCCGAGCTGCCACAAATGTATGCAGGTATCCGTCCTCTGCCTCTGCCTGCGTCGGCTGTCCCATGACCTGTTGCGGTTGGTCTTGCAATGGCGGTGGCGGACCTGGGCTTCCAGGTTCTGGGCCTCCCGACCCCCCATCCCCAGGTGGAGGATTATGAGGAAATGGATGAGTGAAAACAAGAGCGTGTTCGGCTTCAAAAGCCAGCCATTCAGGCCCTTGGACGGGATCTGAGAGCCAATCGCCATGGTAAAGCTGAGTCCCTTCCGGCACCGTAGCCAGGAAAAAGGACATGCCATTATGGTTCAACGACGATCCCCATTGTCGCATAGAAGAGTGAATGGAGTTGAAAATATGGTTCGCATTTGGAGGAAATGAATATGAAACTGTGTTTGTGATGAGAGCCGCAATGCAAAACTGTAGCCTAGTTCGGTATCCCGACATTATGGAAGAAGTACCAATGTTTGAACATACGCTGGGACGCCGACTCAGAAGATCAGATAAGGACGATCTCCGAGTCGAGCCGTCCCACAGCTTCATATAAGTAAACCGAGTGGGGGGACAGCCGGACTGGATGCCGCGTCATCGGCCGAGTTGTGTACACTATTTTAGAATCTCGGAATTAGTTTTCGAGTGGGATGGCGATATCGGAACTAACCTGTCAGTCATCGCGCATGAGAACGGTGCAGACGGAATAGAAGAACTCCGACAAAAGGATGGCAAGATCGTGGAGTCTGGAGACGGCTGTCACTGCTCTGATAGTCTGAAGATCCTTTGTGGAGAGTGTACAATTCTGCATTGATGTAAAAAGTAAAAAGCCCCTATGAGGCTCGTGGGGCTGCGTACACAGTGAATTCCTTTCTCCACTCTCCAACTCTCACTCTACAACCAACTACGTACAAACTAAAGCGCCAGCCATCGTCCCATCGCGCCATCTTCTAACCGTCTCATCTCACTCGCAGAGTGGGAAAATAAATATGCGCCCCCTCCTCCTAACATTCGACGCGTTCAACACACTCTTCCATCCCCGCCAACCCGTCCCAGTCCAATACGCCGCCGCCGCCTCATCATTCAACGTCAACGTCTCTCCCTCCGCCCTCCAGTCCGCGTTCCGCGTGGCCTTCAAAACACAATCTACATCGCATCCAAACTACGGCCGTGATCTCGCTCTCCGTGGTGAATATGCTGGCCCACCACAATGGTGGGGAGACGTGATCCGTGGAAGCTTCGCACGCGCCCTTTCCGAGTCAGACGCTAACAAACCCCCAGCTCGGGAAACGGAGGGAAATAAATATGAGGTTCCCGACGCACTTATTCAGGATCTACTCGATCGGTTTGCAAGTGCAAGGGCTTATAAATTGTACGATGATGTGGGACCCTTCTTTCGGAAAGTAAGAGCGCAATTAGAGGCAAGTCAAAGGGGGAGAAAGGTAGTTGTCGGCGTTGTTTCAAACTCGGATGACCGCATATCGTCTGTCCTGGAATCGTTGGGTGTTTCAGTGCGTGATGCGAGGGCGGGCGAGGAGAAGACGAAACAGGGTCATGATTTACCGGGGTTTGAGGGCGAGAGGGAGAAGGCTACGCAGGCGAAAAGCGGTTCTAGTACCTTACAAGCCCAGGAAAGGAAGGATCTCGACTTCATCCTTACCAGCTACCAGGTGGGTGCGGAGAAGCCAGATCCCTTGGTTTGGGATGTGGCGCTGCGCACGGCGCGGCAGTTGCATGCTGAATCTGAGACTGGTGGTGATGCAGGGGACTGGGAGCGTATTCACGTAGGTGACGATTACGGCAAGGACTATTGTGGTGCAATGGATGCTGGGTGGAAGGCGTATTATCTTCCTCGTGAAGATGCTGAAGCAGGTATTCCTGTGCCTGAGGGTACGAAGACGATCAATTCGTTGTTAGATCTTCTACCAGAGTTGGAGGGCAAGTGAACTTAGGTAATGAGTCCATAGATGTAGATACAAGTGTAAATATACCATCAACAATTCGAAGACAACCCAAGGTATGTGTGTACGCCTATCCTAACGCCAGCTTAAACAAAACGCTCAATTCGTCAATTCTTCAATCCCACTGCCCCGTTCCGCCCAGAGCTCCCAGTCCGTTGCCCGCATGCTTGTTCAGTAGTGCAGTAATGTTGGATCCGCGGTTGCGGTGTTGCGTCCGTAGCTGCTTCTCGCGCTCTCGTTCGCGCGCTGCAGTATAGTAGTTGACCGAGCCCTTCTTGGCTACTGACACACCAGGAGCCTTGGTAACCCCACGGGATGATTCAGAAGCAGAACTAGACGAAGATGTCGTGGTCTTTCGCAAGATCGGTGGCTTGAATCCGAAAGAAGTAGCCTTGTCGCTGGCAGCACCTGCGTGGAAAGCGAGTCGGGTGTTGGAGGAAGCAGATGTCGCAGAATTCGACGATGCTTGTCGAAGCAGAGCAAGGCGGTCCACAACTGGCCCTCGTGTACGGCGTGGATGGCTGAAGCCTACAGATGCTTCCCGTTCTCGACTGGTCACTGAGAGTTCCTCAGCTTCGTTGTCGTTGACATGCTGCTCGCCCTCATCGTCCTCGACTGAAGCATCCTCGTGGAATGAATCATATTCAGGTCGCTCGGTCAGGAAGGAGAGGGTGTCGCGGATTTCGGCAAGAGAGGCTGGCTTCTTCGACATCGCGCTGGCAGGTTTCCGGCGGAGGTGAGGTGGAGGTCGGTTGTTGGCATCCTCAGCAGCAGGTTCCAATGGCCTCTTTCTCTTGCTGCTTTCTCCCTCTCTTCCAGTACCGGTCTGCGCCTCTGCAGCTACATCTTGTGATGAGGGTTCATCCTGGGTAGAGCCCTCTTGCTCGTGGCCCAAGAAATCAAGGCCAACATCGTCGTCATCGTCGCGATCTTCAATAGCCTTGAAGAAGGCCGCCTTCTTAGGGTTCTCAGCTAGTTCCCCGACCTTTCCATCGGCAAGAAGAGCATTGCGCATTCGGGCAAACTCTCTTTGCTTCTGTCGTCGACGTGCCAACATCTCGTCATCCGAATCATCCAGGTCGAAGTCATCGTCATTCCCCCGTCGTCGGCGAAGTGCGCCTGTTGTGATGTCCTTCAACAGCTTTGCCACGTCTTTTTCGTCGGCATCTCTTTGGTGAAGCCTGTACGAGAGTCAGTAATGCATCGGGGTATAAAAGATATGTGGACATACGCATTCAGAGCAGCCAGCTGTTTCGCATCGACCCTTTCCCGGCTATTGTCATTGATCATTTCTCGGTCAAGTGCATTCTCTTCATCGTCCGCGTCGTCGTCACTGCCGCCTCCGAGGCCAGCATATTCATCATCAGATTCTTCGGCAGCTTCCTCCACCACATCTTTTGCTTTGCTCTTCTTGCGGTCAAACAGCTCGGCCTGCTTCTTAGATTTCTTCGAGGCTGTCTTCATCACGTCGAATGCACTCGCATCAATTTCAAAATCACCCTCCTCTTGTTCATCTTCCTCCTCTTGTTCATCTTCCTCCTCTTGTTCCTCAACAGCAGACAGTTGTGGTGCTTTTCCACGTCTCAAATTCTTCATGCCCCTCGCAACAACTGGAGATTGGTTCCGATCCACAATAACTGTCTCAATAGTTGATTGCGGAGTACCCATAAATCTCTTGTTGGGATCGAATGGTGAGAGAACGAACCCAGCATCCTGGGTTGGATCAGGGATCTGGGACATCTGAGATACACTTCGAGCAGCAGGGGATTCGGGGACTCGAGAATCAGCCCGCCAATATCCGAATGGCTCCGTAGATGCACCGCGAGGCTCCTGGCTGTCTTTGATGATGGATGGAGAGTTCGGCACCTTCTGTGGGCTCATTGCGACAGGTTCGGGGAATGATAGAGGGATAGTTGGAGGGCCTTCGTAGCTCATATCTTGGCTCATGCCCTGGCTCATGTCCTGGCTTGGAGCCAAGGTGCCTGCAAAAGCCTGCGTTAAGCTCATTGTGGCTTCGGAGGGTTTGACCGGGATGCTTGGGCGCTCCACTGAATTCACAAAGGGGTTGATCGGTTTGGCGGGTGTCTTCGGTGCCTGGTCTGCCTCCTCGTCCTCATCATCGCTAACAACTCGAGTACGTCTCTTGCGTCGTTGAGTTGGTACTTCCATTGCCTCCAGTGGGGGTTTAGCTGCAGCCTCATCTTCGGACTCATCATCGTCATCTAGTTCACCAGCTTCTGAGTCAATTAGGTTCTCTTTTTTGTCAGCTTCAGCCCCCTCGTCCTCCTCCTCCTCGTCCTCCATTTCTTCGTCATCCATTTCCTCGTCCTCCTCAGGGTCTGCGTCACCCTCACCCTCACCCTCACCTCCATCTTCCGAACCTGACAGTTCAAAATCGCTATCGTCGTCGTCGTCGTCGTCGTCGTCACCGTTTTCACGTTTGGCTGCTGCGCGTTCCTGCTTTGCAATTTCTTCGCCTTCTTGTCGCGCTTTTTCCACGAGATTCTCCACTTCGTCTTCAAAGGCAGCACGTTCAGCGGCAGTCTCAATGACAATACCTTTGGCTCTAAGCTCTTCTATTCTTTCTTTTCGCTCTTTCCCTGCTTGTTGTTTCGCTTGATACAGTAGATTTGCGGAAAGCTCGGCCGAGTTCATCGTAGATTTCCGAGAGGGGGATGTCAGCTGTGCAAGGGCTTTCAACGTGAACATAGATGGAGGTTCTTGGACGTTCCGTGCTGGGAGGTTCTCAAATGCTGCAATTCGTCTGCATTTAGCAGGTGAGGTGATGATTTCTAGGTCATCGTCCGAAGAATCGTCCTTTTGATGCCGAGCCACCTGTTCACGAGACAGTCGAACACGGGCGGGTGCTACTCTGACCGGCAGCTTTTCTTTCTTGACGTTGGATAACTCGGTACTTAATTTGCTAGTCTCGTTCTCCGTTACCTTTCTGGGCGATTTTTGAGCTTCCCTTGTTGCCGAGCTCATGAGCTCGTCAAGTGTTGGCAAGATCTCCTCCTGCTCCTGCTGCTGCTGTATCTTAGTTGAATCATCCGCTGGTGAAATAACGGGAGAAGTTTGAGGCGTTTCTTTGTCCTTGTGCGCCTCAACGTCTGAGGAATTCTGAGACTCTGCGGTTGTCGAGGAGTTCTCGCCAGGGTGCTCCGGCGCAGTCTGTCCCTGAGGTTGCATAAAGTTGAACCGAGCAAAGAAACTCTCCTTCGTAATTTTCTTCTTCGTCTTAGCCTCATGGGCCAATTGCATATTCCTGCTCATTCTCTGCGTCTCGCGACTCATCTCCTCCAGTGCCTTCTTTCCGGCTTTCCGGGCAGGGCGCGGCTGTTTGGCTGCTTTCTTTCGACCAGAGTTGCCGTCATCTTCACTCTCGCCATCGGTAAACAGGTTAGAGTTGTCTATTGTTTCTCGTTCCTCGGCCTTTGCCGCCCTCTTCTCCGCTTCAATCCGCTCTTTCTCCTCACGCTCCTTGCGCTTCTTTGCAACGAGTTCAAGAAAACGGTGGTTATGCTTTGGTGCCCCCTCCTCATCTGCCGAATTGGGCGCTTCTCTCTGTTCACCATCGCCCTTCTGCGACTTGGTGGGGGAAGACATGAACAACGGAGAATACGAGCGCGCGCGGGACAGCGACCTAATCGAATCTCCATCTTCATCACGCGTCACCACATTCTGAGCTCTCCGGCGCGGTCCAGCCGCAGGGAGATCATCGTCGGACGAAGCAGCCTCACCATCGGCTGAATCGGGACGCGTATCGTTCCGCCCTTCTTTCTCAGATCGGAAGGTCTTAGAAACCCGCTCGAACGCAGATTCTGCGGGGGCTTGTATGGTCGATTTTTCGTGGTTATCGGTAGCACCACCCTGCAGACGCGCAGCCATACGGCCTCTAGGCACTATAATGTCCTCATCTTCGTCTTCCTCGTCAGCATGGTCCGAACCCACCGCGAACGCTCGCGTCGTCAGGTTTGTGTTAGTTTTAGGTGGTGAATTGGAGGAATCCGCGTTCTTGTTTTGCTTGACGGCATTTTCGGTTTCGGAATCTGAGTCGCTATCGAAGGCCGCAAGCATAGCCTTGATCTTTCTCCCAGGAGTGAGCATCTCCGGCGAGTTGGCTGCCGCGGACGCGGACCGCGTCGACCGTGGGGTGGATGGGGCCGACATTATGAAAGGTCAGGTTTGGTAGAAATCAAAAATGGGTATTAATTGAATTACAGGGTCATCTTATAAGTTCAATGGAGGGCATAAATTAGAGGAAGGTAGGTATGCGGTTGGAGGCTGTCACTTTGTTCCACTTCCACCGCTACAAATCCAGGGCGGAGAATCCACCACGGACGCGCCGCGAGCGCGTCGCTATCGCACGTGATGTCTCTTATCTTCTCATAACCTCAGGCATCCAATCTTCAACATGGGGAGGGAACCTTTGCCCTCGTTTACCTCTGAATGCGAAAAGTATAGCCAAAATAGTAGTATTTTCTTTTTATAATAATACAGAGAAGACGCAGTAAGCTCTAACGCCGGGGAAAAACCATCCCTTAACAAATATAGGAAGCGTCAAAAACCGCTGCGCCTCATGCTTCACCGTCTAAGTCACTATTGGTATTCGAAATAAGCCGTATAAAAGGGGTAATAGAAAAACAGATAGGAATATATTTTCGTGTGTTCAGGTTTTTCAGATCTCGATATCAATTTCAAGGTCCAGAGCTGCAATGTTTTCATCGTCCATGTTGCGATGGCGGATCTTTGCACCTCCTTGGGATTGCTTGTTCTGCGAACTAGACGGCGTGCCGCCAGGCGTGTTAGCTTTCGGCGTACCGGAAGCAGGTGTTACGCTAGGACTATGGTTATCCTCAGCTTTAGGTGTTGACCCATTGACATCGTGGTGAGTTTTTGCGAGAGTTTTGACACGGAGGAAAGGGTTGATGGCCGTAGAATCTCCGCGTGCAGCGGCCGCTGCGGCTTTCCGGCTAGCCTTCCGCTCTTCTAATTGTGCACGGCGAACGTTCTCGTAGTTGAGCTTTTGGTTCCGCAGGTTCAATTGGGCCAAACGTTCATGCTCGGAAAGTTTTTCTGCACGAGGTTTGGCACTGGATCCGAATGCGAGTCTAGGGGCTTGGTTGGCGAGTTCGCGTTGCAGTCTCTCTACCTCATCATTATCACCAATTTCTTGTGCAAGTTTCAATTTCTTCTCAATGTCGACTCGTTTGAAGAACGTCGTCTTAGAGTCTAAAGACCCTTGCTTGCGTAGTTTCTCGTTCAACTCCTCATTGGTAAATTTGTGGTTGATTAAACGATTGATGTCCATTACTTTCTTAGTAAGCTGGGACTGAGTCGGCATCTTGCAATCTTCAACAGTCATAACCTGTCGGTATCTATTGAATTCGGCCTATAGAGTAATCAGTTGAGGGTCAAAGAGCGAGCCATCGCAACAACGTACATCTGTGAAGTGAGAGTCGGAGCAAGCAATGAACGGAAACGCGCGCGTGGTTTTTCCATGCGCTAGGACAGCGTACTGGTCAGTAGTAAATGACCGACCATTCGCACCCTCCAAGGCATATTTTTTCCCTTCCTCGATTTCTAGGAGAGTCAGCGGCTTCCGGCATATAATTGGCAATAAGAACTTACTTGTAATCAATGCAAGCCGATACTCGTTGACACCGCTACTGTTTGGTCCAACATTGAGACGGACATAACACCCAGTCACGGCAGCTTCGAAGCCAGGATAGAAGCAAACCTGCGCAAAGTTTGTTCTGCCTATACGCACCCGTTGAAAATCGCGGATATCGGCTGGAGGATCATCTTTAGGTGGTGTTGGTGAGCGTTCACGGTCGTCCCATTCCACCTCGCTGTCTCCTTCTGCATCATCGTCTGAGACCCGTGATCTCGACTTAAGGTCCTTTGTCGTAGGGTCCCGGCGGCGTAATTCGTCACGCTTGCCTTTCTGCTCTCGCTGCCGCTTGTACGCCTCGATTGCCTCTGAAGCCTCGCCGACCTTTCGACCTCCAAGCGTTGTCTTTTGCCGGGAGCTCTTGCGGTTGCCTTCGTCCAGACTTGCAGAACTTGCTTTGCGCTTATTTTTCTTTGCTTTGCGAGCCTCTTCTTTCTCTCGTGAAGCCAACAGGCGGCGGAGGGCGAGATCCTGGTTGTGGCGGTCTACCTCTTGCGCACGCTCGGATAGAAGCTGTTCCCTCTGAATCTCGGGCATCGCCATGATATCTTTCTTGTCCTGTGCCGAATGGTACAGCTTCTCGTAGGGATACAGCGGGCCTTCATCTTCAACCCCTGCATCTGAACCCTCGGAGTCAGATGCTGCCTCTGATTCAGACATGCTAGCTGAGTTGAGAGAATCGGCGGATCTGGTATTAGGACAGGTTCCGTTAGTTCAAGTCCAGGAAAACATAAACATTTCATGCGGGGTGTCGCTAATGAGTCTAAACGTACATTTCTCCATCTTCCTCCTCATCATCACCTCTCCGCGACTTTCGGGGACGACGAACGGTTTTCGCAGTGCCTTTTCGGGCCATTGCTGACGTTGGTTCCGGGGATCGTGGTGAGGTAGAGCGAGCCGGAGATGCAGGAGAGAGCTTGCGAGGAGGGCTAGAGGTCTCTTCGTCTGAGGCGTCATCACCCGCCAGGGCGAGCAACTCAGCGTCAAGATCATCAGCCATTGTGAATGTGTTGCGGTCGAAAAGCCAGCCGGCTATTTAGCGTGTTGTGTTACGAATCACGTTTCGAAGGGCACAATGCCTTTGCAGCCAGGTGAACGTGGTGAATCTGGGTGAAAAATTCCCTCTTCGACTCGAGACAGAAACGCAAAAATGAACGAAGCGCCCCTGAGCAGCTGTCGCAAAGAGTGTAAAGGGTCGTCGGTGGCGAGACTCGAGCGAGAGCAAGAAACTGAGAGAACACGTATACAAAGACACGAACAATTAAAGCAGAAATCGTAAATATACCGTATAGCAGCAGACAGTGCTGGTGCGCGAAAAAAAATAGGTGGTGAGAGTGGCGGGTTGAAAGACTGAGGTCCGAAGTGACTGCCAGAATTCACTCTTGGACGATTATTGGGCCCAGAATGACGTCCGGTCCAGGGATGGCGCGCCGAGCCGAACTCGACTCTTGAGGCGCGCGGCTGTCTCTTCTGCATCAGCCTACTCCGGCTTCGGTCTCTTGCTTGCTTTCCTCATCATTATTCTTATTCACGGCTACACAGAGTATATGTATTCTTTTACAGCGGCTCGGAGGTGCTATTCGCCCTCATGCTGTAGACCAGCAGCTCCTCTGTTGCTAGATTTTCTCGCACCATCCGCTCCCCGCCGTCAATATCACGCAACACCAATCTACAGATCCGCCGAATCCCAATCAAGTCCCGAATCCCGAAAGCCGAAGTATGTCCTGAACAAAAAGCAACGAGAGTTCCTCGATAGCGCGCTGCGAGTCAACCAGGCTGGCGAATTAGCTGCAACGCTAATTTATACCGCCCAAACGCCGCAAGTCGTCCGTTCGCACCCACACCTCCGACCGTTGATGAAGCACATGTACGACCAGGAGGAGGGCCACCTCACTACATTCAATGAGAAAATTGCCAAGCATCGAGTACGCCCAACAGCGATGTACCCGGTATGGGAAACCGCGGCTACTTTTCTGGGCTGGTCGACGGGTGTCATGGGACGAGAGGCAGCGATGGCCTGTACTGAAGCTGTGGAAACAGAAATCGGCTCGCATTACAACGAGCAAGTCCGGGAAATTCTGTCATGGGAGGCTGAGGCGCACAGTCGTGGAGAGGAGCTGGACGATGAGTTGAAGGAAATGCTTACGACTTTTCGAAGAATCCGGGATGAGGAGCTCGAGCATCTAGACCATGCTGTTGAGAACGATTCCAAGGAGGCACGGCCTTACGACCCCCTTGTCAATGTAATCCGACTCGGGTGCAGAGCGGCCATCAAGATTAGCGAAAAGGTATGATTGTCAGAATGGGTCCTGAAAAGGTTACCAACATTGTATATTATAGACCTCCTGTACCATAGAGGATTCTTTCTTGGAGCTTAAGCGGATTGTCACTGTTTTGAACAGGTATCTATTTTTTGATCTAGCAAGCATGGGTATATATGTAAACAATCATCCTGCCTCTAATTCTGATGGTTCTTCTCCAAGTAATCGAGGAAGTTCTTCGAGAATCGCGCCACCTGCTGGTAGACCTCCTCAAAGCCATTTGCCCCGCCATAGTAAGGGTCCTGGACTACCTCTCCACCACCGGTACGTTCATGTAAGGAGCCCCCAGGTCCATAGTCACCAAAAAGACGCACCTCCGCAACTTTAGCGCCAGCCTCAACGCTCGCAGCTACTGAAGCAGCGGTTGCGGCCCTGGTGCCTTTGCCACGGGCCACACGCGAAGCCGTGTTTCCTGATGAGGATAGAACAGAATTACGCAAATCCAACAGGTCTTCCAGGTTATATTTATCCATGGCGAACAGGTAGTCAAAATTGAGGAAATCCTCAAGAGTGACCTTCCGGGCGGCGTGGTTGTAGTTCCTGATATTGTGACGACGGAGCGTAGACATGGTGCGTGAATCAGACGGTTCACCAGCATGGTATGCTCCTGTGCCAGCAGAATCGATATCGCTGATTAGAGGGTGGTTGGCAGCAACGTTGCGAAAGACGCCTTCTGCCATGGGAGAACGGCCTGGTGTCGCATGAGTTTTAGGTATAGCGCAAATGAGGGGGGAAAGGGTCGTCATACAGATATTGCCGAGGCAGACAAACAGAACGCTGACCGGCTGGCCATTGGAAGAATTTGGTGCCGTCATTTTATTGCTTTGTCTATATGGACCTTGGAACTATAAATTCCTTTGATGGTGAATGCTTGAAGGAGGCGGGGTTTTAGCCCCGGTCTTTATCGATAGACTCGGAGCCTGAGGCAGCAACTATTTTCCGCGGTCGCCACTGCATCAAAAAATCCGAACCTTTCTCCGATGGACCATGGTCGCTCTCGACAATACTGAAGGGTCAGGCAAATAAGTGAAAGTGACTAAAAATTGGACTCTACGGCCAGTAAACCCGTCAGATGAGTCTAGGGTTGCCCGAGCGGGCACTTGAATATACGGTGTACTGAACTCAGCCTTGTCAGCGGCGACGTACTACTACTTACTCTGGAGCCTTTCCTGTTAACGACTGCTGGGTGGATATTCACAAATGGCGTTGTTCTCTCAAGGCTACGGAAAATTAACGATACCCCGCTTATTCATCTCGAATGACGACTGAAGCGTACGACAACATACGACAGGCAAGTCAGACAGCTGCAGGCTACAGTATTAGTTAAAAAAAGAACTGCAGGGACAGCCGGACCAAAGATCAATGAAGATAGAAGGCGAATCATGTGCACAGGAAAGGCCACCGCCACGATTCTGTGGCGGTGCAGCCTCCTGACAAGCTACGCTGGAGTCAGTGGTTGGCCCAGCGACAGCGTGGGGCTCCTGACTGTCTGAACCGATCCTTGGTGCGCCAATTCGACGGCCTTTCCATGGATGGTCGCTGATATTCATTATTGGGTGGATTGAGATTGTTTCAGGGGATTCTGTTTCACAAACAGTTCAAAAGGACTTGGTGGCATCCTCGCCTCCTGAAGCACATGTGAGGCGGCGACAGATCCGAGTGTAGTCGCAGTGATGAGATCCTCGTGAACCTCAAAGCCGAACCCCCAAGGCGATGACGATAGTGGATAGACAACTATTTTGAGATCAAGATTAAGATCCTTGTTCTGCCCCAGATCAAATACTAGGCACCTTTGAATGCCTGTGGCGCGGCACTCCACTGCCCTTGGCGCTCGTTTCCACGGCCCCCGTCAGTCAAACAACCTGCAAATCCGCCGCGCCCTCCTCCAGCTTCATCATCATCTTTTATTTCTTTACTCCTCCATATATCCTGCAAAATCACGATATTTCCATCTTCAATAAATACCGGTTACACTAGCCCCACTCCCTTACCTCTCTCATTTCTGAGACTCCGCCGAGAAGCCGGGGGTTTAAGCTTCATAAGCCATCCAAGCGCTTTGTCGCATTCCGACTTTCTCCTCCAAGAGGAACCTCGAAGGGGTCGCCCACTATTGGATCCGGCTGATCGCTCAATATAGCCGGCCGCCATCATGTCCTATAATCGCTTGGGTTAGTACACCATTAGTCTCCTTTTCTTCGTGCTGCAGTGTTGCTTGGTTATTCTGCTTGTGATCGCATTGCGCGGCTCCCCTTCATTCTCGGCATCAAATTTCCCTTCTGAAACTCTAGCTTCCGAGGAGTTGCACAGCACCCTTGGAGGGGCCAATTCGTACTAGTATTATAGCGCGAGCCCCGGGCCCTGCTTCATTTACATAACAGCTGTTCAAGGCCTCGAGCTTTCGCGGGTGTTGTTCCTTGTCCACTATCACTGTTGTTCGTGCACATATCCACTGCAACAATTCGTTGACATCCGAGCTTAGGAGACCCCTATGGGGACGACGGCCACGACGCACGTTCGCCCATTATGCAGCACAGCAACCTAAGCAATCGATCACCCTCTCCCGGGCGCCCTCTAGATAGCTACCAGCTCTCTGATGGCCCGTATGGCCCTCACGACCACCTACAAATGCCCTCGAGTGATAGATTGATGGAACAGCCTACAGTAAGTTAACCCCAGCACCCTAAACATGTCTGTGATGAAACTGAACCTCGGTCCTCGAAAGTTCTCCGTCGAGAGACTGCCTCAATCATACAACCGCAACGACTCTTACGAGTCCCGACACCCCTCAAACTATCCGGGCTACGAGTACTCTGTAGATCCTGAAGCACACCATGACGCTTACTATACCCAACCATACCAACCGACAGTTAGTCCGGGCCATGATGATTATGATCTAGGAAACTACTCTGGGCCCCAGCATTCTTATCACGATGATGAACCAATACTCCAACAGGACGACCCTTTCCGCGCGCAAAACCCATACAGCGATGATTACCAAGAGGACATGACCATTGCCCCTACACCGAGTCCTGCTCCAATCCGGCGATGGAAGACCGTCAAGGAAGTTCAATTGTTCCAGGGTAACCTTGTGCTCGACTGTCCTATTGCACCGAAACTGCTCAACCAGATCCCCCACTCCGAGAACTCTCAGCGTGACGAATTCACACATATGCGTTACTCCGCCGCGACTTGTGATCCAGCGGATTTCTTTGAGGAGCGCTTCACCCTGCGTCAAAAGCTTTTCGCCAAACCACGACACACAGAGCTCTTCATTGTCGTTACCATGTACAATGAGGATGACTTCCTTTTCGCGAGAACGATGGTCGGTGTTTTCAAGAACATCGAGCACATGTGTTCGAGAACTCGAAGCAAAACCTGGGGCAAGGACGCCTGGAAGAAGATTGTGGTCTGTGTCATTAGTGATGGTCGTGCCAAAATCAACCCGCGAACTCGTGCAGTGATGGCCGGTCTGGGTTGTTATCAGGACGGTATTGCAAAGCAGCAAGTCAACGGCAAGGATGTCACGGCGCACATTTACGAGTACACAACGCAGGTCGGCATGGAGTTAAAGGGATCTCAGGTCCATCTTAAACCTCGCTCTGGAGTCCCCGTGCAAATGATTTTCTGTCTCAAGGAGAAAAACCAGAAGAAAATCAACTCGCATCGCTGGTTTTTCCAGGCTTTCGGTCGTGTCCTTGATCCCAACATCTGTGTCTTGCTGGATGCTGGTACCCAGCCGGGTAAGGACTCGATCTATCGTCTGTGGAAGGCTTTCGATGTTGAACCCATGTGCGGAGGAGCTTGCGGTGAGATCAAGGTCATGTTAAACCACGGGAAGAAGCTGTTCAATCCATTGGTCGCGGGGCAGAACTTCGAGTACAAGCTGAGTAACATTCTCGACAAGCCCTTGGAGTCAGCCTTCGGGTTTATTTCCGTGCTTCCAGGTGCCTTCTCGGCGTATCGCTATATAGCGCTGCAGAACGATAAAAACGGCCAGGGACCGCTAGAGCGGTACTTCCTCGGAGAGAAAATGCATGGTGCTAATGCCGGTATTTTCACCGCGAATATGTATCTGGCTGAGGATCGGATCTTGTGTTTCGAAATTGTCACCAAGCGCAATTGTCGCTGGCTACTCCAATACGTCAAATCATCAACCGGTGAAACTGATGTGCCGGACCAGATGGCTGAATTCATTATGCAACGTCGTCGGTGGCTGAACGGCAGTTTCTTCGCAGCCATCTATGCCATCACCCATTTCTATCAGCATTGGCGCAGCGACCACAGCGCCATCCGGAAGTTCATGTTACTCATTGAAACGATATACCAGTTGATCAATATGCTGTTCGCCTGGTTTGGTATTGTGAGTTTTCTGTTTTCTGATGCGTTTGAATCCACTAACCAATGGTAGGGTAACTTCTTCTTGGTCTTCCATATCCTTACAACTTATCTTGGCGAAAAGAATCTCCTGGGGACTGCTGGTGAAGTCCTGGGAGTAATATTTGAATGGCTCTACCTCGCGACTTTGGTGACTTGTTTTGTCTTGTCACTGGGTAATCGCCCCGGGGGCTCGAACAAGCTATACATGACGATGGTGTATTTCTGGGTCTTCATTATGATCTACCTCGCTTTTGCTGCAGTCTTCGTAACGGTGCGGTCGATTCAAGAGGAAGTTGCGGACAATTCCTTCACGTTCTCGACACTTTTCACCAACAGCACTTTCTTCTCTATAATTGTCTCGCTCGGTTCGACGTACGTTATGTGGTTTATTGCCTCGATCATCTTCTTGGATCCATGGCACATGTTTACTTGCGTAAGTCTCGACCCCTCTATGTCAGATCCGGACATCTCCTAACCCGCGCAGTTCATCCAATACATCCTTCTCACTCCCACATATATCAACGTCCTGAACATCTATGCATTCTGTAACACCCACGACATAACTTGGGGTACGAAAGGTGATGACAAGGCCGAAAAGCTGCCCTCGGCAAACACCAAGCCCGGCGGAAAGGTCGATGTCAACATCCCGCAAGACGATGGAGATCTCAACGCTCAATACGAAGCAGAACTCGTGAAGTTTTCCCAGAAACCTCCCAAGGAAGTCAAGAGCATCTCCGAAGAAGAACGCCAGGCCGATTACTATAAGGGTTTCCGATCTGGTGTCGTTCTCGTCTGGGTGTTTTGTAATTTCGCTCTGGGAGCTGTTGTGCTCAGTGCCGCGGGTTTAGATCGTTTCAGCGACGACCCTGAGAAGGCTGACCAGGAGAAGAACAACCGTTCTATGATTTACATGGCTGTTGTATTGTGGAGTGTGGCTGGTCTTTCGATATTCAAGTTCCTCGGTGCCATGTGGTACTTGGTTGTGCGAATGGTAAGTCCTCTAGCTTCCTTGTTCTACCAACAGACAGCTTATACTGACGTTCTCGCTAGTTCCGCGGCGTTTAATCTCTACCATTTTGTGTTACTATATCAACCTCCGAGCATTTACTGGCGGGTTGTTTCTCTCTCTCTGCAGGCTCAGCATGTCGCAACGATGATAAAGAAAACGGTTTACGGAGTGTGCTTTATCTTTGTTTGATTTTTGTCCTGGCCCGAGGCCGGATATAATCTTTATGTTTGTATGTAGACGACGTTGATACCTCGAAATGTACGATTTTCTCGATTTAGACTTGCTCTGTGTTTCTTTGGTTGGTGTAGTATACAACCTTTCTTTTGGCGGAGTCGGGGATCTTATAATCATGGACTATTGGCCTGCTAGTTTCCTTCTGGTTTCTTAGTTATATGTGTAATGTGAGCTCCATGCTTGGAGTTGGTGTTAATTAAATAACATTCTGATACCAGCAGCCCGACGAGGCAAGATGTAAAAAATATATATAACCAACGGGTGTGGAGAACTTTCCACAGTATCAATATAGAAAGAGTGCATGATTCTGGATTAAATGCGGTCATGCAGGGCCTATATAAACTTCTCCATTGCCACGACAAGTGAGCATTCCGTGTCACCCTATGGTGAATACTTTGTTTACTGTTCAAACAGTGAATGTTGACCTTGCCACTTTGACAATGATGCGGATGGAGTGGAGAACCACCCCTTAACCGGGATCGCCCATGTCGACATATACCGAGCCACGGAAAAGGAGTTGCCAAAGGGCCTGGACCCGTTTCAACAATCTGTAGGCCACAAGTTAGAAGCACTATAGTCACATAGTATCCCGAACTTAGTTAAGATGCAGGGTTATGGAACTGTCAAAGGGGTCTCGATGTAAGATCAAAAGTGGAACCCGAGTATAACAACTAGCATCATTGGTCTAGTGGTAGAATTCATCGTTGCCATCGATGAGGCCCGTGTTCGATTCACGGATGATGCATTCTTTCTTTTTTTTTTGCATGGAATTCTTAGACCATGGCAATAAATATTAATTAGTTAGGCAGTGTAAGATTTTTTTTTTGCGCCATTTTATCTGCAGATAAAGTTGTCCCTGTCTATATACCGAGTACCTTGGTCAAAATTATGATTTCGACTGAACACATATCGCAATGCCCCCCAGGACCAGCGCCATCCCCACCCAAGTCTCCCTTGCTATCATTTTTCGTTCCACATACCACTCCCCAAGGACCGTAAAGAGGAACGCACTCGAGTTCGCCAGCGGCACAGTTAAGGAGAGCTCTGTAGTACAATTAGTCAATTGAGTCCATTCACCACCCTCAGATGGCGCAAAAAGGGGAGTAAAGACGTACCATGTTTCCCAACTAGAAGGAAGAACCAAACGCTTCCCGTCAAATTGATAATCAGGGGAACCGAGTAAGCCGGTGTCCGAAGGAGATTTACGACCGTCCAAAACACCGAGACGATTTTTGTTCTTAGCCAGGAGGAAGACGTGGATTGAGGGCTCATCCAGGCCGGCTGGGGAGCTGTTGTTGAGGGAGGAGGTGGTGGCTGGTCCTCGTCGCTTTCGCTATCATCACTAGTACGGTTTTCATCTGTGGACCGTGTAGGTTGGAGTTCTGTCGGTTGTGAAGGTTGTTGTTGTTGCTCTTGTCGCTTCTGGAACTCTACCCCAGCTTTCCTAATGAACGGGGTGGTGAACCCCCATGCCACACCGACGAGCAGGAACGACAAAATGTAGTTAAATACCGGGGGTTGATCGGCAGGCGTGACGTCCGCGTCGGGGCCCATGGCGATTGAAACTGTTGTGACTTGTTGATTGTTGTACATTGAAGTTGGGTTGGCAAGTAGTTATCTCCGCATGTGTTCACGTGATACACGTCTTCTCCGACTCCGCATATACATCTGAACAGGCGATTTGACTCCATAGCCTGATACGCATTGTCTACGATTTACGAAAGCTATGAAAGTAGCTGCAGCTACATCCTTTGTCGAGTGGAAGATGTGAAAGTTGTGAGCATCCTGGAAGTGAAATTACCAAGTACAACTTCCTGGAGGTCTCCTTGCAGAGCGTAGCATATGCAGGAACATCGAGAGGAAGCACATTGTACATTGGCGAAGAACAAGAAGTGATGAATGGTTTCGAAATGAGGGGCTGCTCCCGGATATTTGGGCTGGAGGCCGGGTATCATGAGATCATGGACCATGGTCTATGCTGTCTGCTGATGGATTTGCGATATTGATTTGAAACAGTAGCTGCATTTTTCTTCGTGGTAAACAAACAAAAACTCGCTTTAATGTGTTTAGCTGGCTGCTCTGCCTCTGTCTAAAGGATCTCCCGAGCAGCGAATCCAGGGGCGCTGAATGCCTGAAATTGAAGCACAAAGGGGTGGTGGCACAAACAAAAGCGACGCCTCTGTCTGTGGCCTATCACCGAGGCCGGTGGCCGGTTTGGACCGTGCATCCCTCGACAGGGGGCGAGCCGTGAGGCGCCCGAGCGGGTTTCCCGTCAGACGCCCATTTTTTAATTTTTCCTGCCTTGCCATTTTGCAAACCGAAACGGGTGGTTCGAGTTGAGCGACTCGAACTTGAGCGGCTTGGACCTGAATTTAGATTCTCAGCCACCGGTGGGTTGGCTCATGGCTGGCCATCACTGCAGGTGGTTTAAATTGGAACGGGCCAGGGTGGCTTGAGCGTAACTGGATCGGGCTAGTTGCTTCCAGCTACCTTACTATTTTAAACAGGTTGGATATCGTGCTCGTGTCGAAATTAATTTTGACGGAAGGGAAACAATAATCACCCACGCAGGATAGCTAATCGAAAATGGACACATCGATAAACCTACTGGAGGCCAGCGATTCGGTTCTTCAACCCCTCCACGGTCCATTGCTCCGGTCCTCGACGTCGGTTGCGGAGATCGACATCATCACGTGGAAAATCGACCTGTTCCCTGATTACACCAGCCCCACCGCAACGGCGCAATAAGATGAGGAGGTGAAGAGTGGTCTCAGGTACCGCCTCCGCACAAGGGAGTCTCTCGAACTGATCGGGAGGGGAGAACCTCGAAGAATATCCATGAACCATGGATGGTTGGATTTTGGCAGATCCTCGCTTACTTCGGGCGACCAGGGGTTTCCCACATTTGGAAGAAGAATAAAAATATCGAGCGAAAGCTTGGAACCCCAGATCGAACGCCTGTTTAGGGAGCACATCGCACACATGGATCTTGTAGTGCGAAAACGTATCCTCCAGGCAGCATATGCAAGCGAGCCCTGGGGTCTGTTCCTGAATCTTAAACGGAGTAGTATCCACGATACATAAACTGGGGAGTCAGTGGAACCGTAGTATATTATTGATTGAGTAGCAACTATTGAGGCCCAAGACTTGGACGTTGGAGAGACAAATCTTCCCCGCTGGTTAGCAAGACGGGAGAATTTTGTTCTTTCGTTGCTTTTTCCTAATTGAAGCGAGTGCGAACAGTGACAGGCAGCGATTCCATTAATTGGGTCGGTGTCGTCCCCCTAACTCGGGACGGCCTTAAGTTAACTAACTGAACGGAGGGCTAGGTAGGTTATCTAAGCCAACTGAAACGCCTGCCCCTTCTCTTCCAGAGTTCCTCGCCAGTCGCCAGTCTTCAGCTCCCTAATCCTCATCCTGCTCGACCTCCTTCGTCCCTTTGCGATAGAGACTGACTGGCCTCTTGCCTCCTGATCGCTTTCTCCGTTCTTGTTTTCTTTCTATTGCTTTGGGGCGCTTTCGTTCTTTTCTCCGCTTTTCCACCCTTTATTGTTCTGCTACTATAGGCCGCCCATGCCCCTTGAAGGTTCGAGCCGACAATAGGAGTCCACCACAACTCCTTTCAACGTGACGCTGAGCGGTGGTCCAGGACTCGACGGAACTTGGATGGACACTGTCCAACGTCAACCCAAACGAAGAACCAGCGTCGCCCCAGTCACCGTTAGCGACGCCTGCCCGGTTCGCTAATAATAACTTTTAATCCCAACTCGCGCGTTCGCTGCGTCCTCCACTCCTTACACTTCCAGCCTGGCGCCCGTTCTCTTCGCTCTTTAATTAATATCTTTGTTTCGCCAATTTTAATTCACCTGAGTATTTTGAACGCCGACGGCACATGCTCGACTGGTTTTTGAGGGGGAATTGTCGGATTCATCTCTTACTAGCGAACCCAAGTCTGCCATTTCCACGAACTTTTATGATATAATTTTTTTACGATGGCATTCCTCTTTAAATCGAAGAAGAATAGTCAGCAGGCCACTGGCGGCCTGCCCCCGGCCACGAGAAACGTTCATACCTCTGAAGGAGCACCAGCGGGCTCTGGAGCCGTGCTGAACGGATCGAAAGATGGAGTGGCCACATCACAGACGCCGACGCCTACTAGTGGTAGCTTCAATAATTCTTTGAACTCGGTTGGCAGCACCAACAGCCCGGAGCAGCAGCAGCAGCGAGTACGACAGCGGGCGGAGTCCGAGTCTCAGGTTGGTAACCCAGTACTTCCAACATTTGGTACCACCGGCCGTTGAGCATCTCAGCGGAGTATCATTTATTTACAAATGTTGACGTTTCTAGGCTCATCGCTCCCAGCCGCCCACAGCGAGTAGTACCTCCCCAGGCTCCAGCCCAGGTGCATCCCTCTACCCGTGGTCGCAGCGCCGATTGAATTTCTCCTCGCCGCAAGCAAACCCTTTTCCACGATATGGCGCAGCAATCAACTCAGTGGCCTCGAAAGAAGGCGATGTATACATGATGGGTGGGTTAATAGATGGGTCAACTGTCAAGGGAGATCTTTGGATGATGGAAAGCAGCAGCGGGAACCTGTCATGCTTCCCAATTGCGACTGTTTCGGAAGGCCCAGGGCCTCGTGTTGGCCATGCAAGTCTATTAGTTGGAAACGCCTTCATCGTGTTCGGTGGTGATACCAAGGTGGATGAAAATGATACGCTGGATGACACACTCTACCTACTTAATACTTGTATGTGTCATACCCTTCGCTTTGCGAGCGGCAGATGATGGTAATTACTAACACTTACCGCTATAGCTTCGCGGCAATGGTCGCGCTCAATACCACCAGGTCCCCGACCTACCGGACGATATGGCCATACGCTAAATATTCTTGGTTCGAGGCTCTATGTTTTCGGAGGGCAGGTTGAAGGGTATTTCTTTAATGATTTGGTCGCCTTTGACCTAAATCAATTGCAGAATCCCGGTAATAAGTGGGAGTTCCTCATTAAAAATAGCCACGAAGGCGGCCCTTCACCCGGACAGATCCCACCTGCAAGAACCAACCACACGATTGTCAGTTTCAATGACAAGCTGTATTTGTACGTTTATGCCACCTTTGACTCTTGTTGATTTCATCGCTCACCCTTGGCAGGTTCGGAGGAACAAATGGATTACAATGGTTTAATGATGTTTGGTCGTATGACCCCCGTGCCAACAGCTGGACTCAGCTTGATTGCGTTGGATTCATCCCGACGCCTCGGGAGGGACATGCGGCTGCTCTCGTTAACGACGTTATGTATGTTTTTGGTGGCCGGACAGATGAAGGCATCGACCTTGGTGATCTAGCAGCGTTTCGTATAAGCACGCGACGATGGTACTCTTTCCAGAATATGGGCCCAGCACCATCGCCACGATCGGGACATAGCATGACAGCTTTTGGAAAGCAAATAATTGTCTTGGCCGGCGAGCCAAGCTCAGCCCCGAGAGATCCAGTGGAGCTTAGTATGACGTACATGCTTGATACGTCAAAGATTCGTTACCCAACGGAGAATGGCGAAAGGGGAACCGCCGCCAAACCCGGGGCTGGAGACAAATCTACAGCATTGTCGGGTCGGACATCCCGCGAAGCCCCGAACCAACAACTGGATCAAGCCAGAAGGGGCCAGGCACAATCCCGCGAAAGTGTGGCTAGCCCTACTGGGCGGGCGACAGAGCTAGCACTGGGAACAGGACCAGGCTCTCGATTGCCACGAGCGTCCATTGCAAATGCTCCCTCTGGACCTCCTCCACCGGGCCAGGCACCCACCCCAGGCTCAAGAGCTAACAACCCACCACAAGGAAACAATTTCAGAAGCAAGACTCCGCCGACGAAACAGGACCGTACTTATGGTGGACCACCGATTGACACGGCTCGGGCGATTGCTGGAGAGAGAGAGAGAGAGTCAGCGCCAAGGGACTCTCCAAAAGACTCTAGGAATGTTCAGGAGTCGAATGGCCAGCGGACTCCTACTCAACAGTCGTCTTCGCGTATGTCAGCTAGAGCCATGGAGGCTGGGGAAGCTGCTCCCTTGATTGCACCAGCTCGACAACGCTCTCTTCGCCAGCGACAGCGCAGCTCCATGGATAGCGCCGATGAATCAATCCTCGGCCGCCATGCAAGTGTTGATGGGTCGGTGGACTCGCGGGGCTACAGAAATTCTAAGACAGGAGAGGAACCGCGTTCACCACGACTGACTGCCCACCAGGAAGCTTTGATAAAGGAGCTCGAGGCATTGAAGAGCCGGAATGCATGGTACGCATCGGAACTCGCGTTGGCTAAGAAGGCTGGGTATAGCCCTAATATCTCCACTAATTCTGTCTTGGATGAACGAACGGCGGAAGCTTTCGGGGACGAGGATCGTCCTTTGATCGAGGCGTTCCTAGCAATGAGAGCAGAGTTAGCCAAAATGCAGGCTACTGTTGATAGACAAGCCGCGATCGCATCGAAGCGTGTAGCGGAAGTCGAACAGCAAAGAGATGTAGCAGTGAACGAAGCTGCTTATGCTCGTGCCAAGTTGGCCGCACATGGGGGAAGCCAGCAAAGTACGCCATCCTTGGATGGACAGTCTCACGATCTTGATAAGGCGGCCTCTGAACGCACAACAGATTTGAGCCGGAGATTGGCTTTGGCTCTTGCATCCCAGAATGAGCTTAAGTCGAAACTGGAGGCACTTACCACCGATTTTGACCAGGAGAAGCGTGGTAGGGAGCTGGCAGAAGAGACATCTGAAGCTACTAGAAGGAGACTGGCTGAGCTGGAAATGCAGAATAATGCTTTGGAAACGGAAAGTTTGCGTGCCCAGCTTCACCAAATAGAAGCATCTCTGAGAGAAGAGTCGATGCTACGATCCGAAGCCGAATCTTCCCAGAAGCAATTGATCTTGGATAAAGAAGAGTTGTCAAAGAAGCTTGAAGATTCTTCCGGCCGTCTGAAGGACTTCGGCGATAATATCGGCGGCTTGAGATTAGCCGTAACTGCATCTTCCGAGAAGGCGACGGTTTTGGAGAAGAAATTAGACGAGGAACGCGAACGACGGGAAGGCTTGGAGAGGAAATTGCTGCAGCTTAGGTCCGAGCATGAAGAGCGAACTTCTGAGTTAGAGAACGCCACTCGCCGCCTTCGAGACGCAGAAGAATTGGCCGAAACTCACGCCAGAGAAGCCGAAACCCATAAGAATGCATTCATTTTGGGTCTAGAGCGAGCTTCCTCATTCGACTCCGAGACGTCCGCACGCTCACTTGCGGATCAACGAGTAGCAAGCTCGGAAGCACAGGTGGAGAGAGCGAATAAACTGGCCAAGGCCAGTCAAGCCGCTGCCGATGAAGCGGCCGAAAAACTGCGACGTGCGGAGGAGCGGATCGCAGGTCTGGAAGCCTATCAAGAGCAGGCTAGCAGAGAGGGCCTCCAGCTTCGCCGGCAACTCCAAGCAGCCCTGAAAGATTGCCAAACATATACCGCAGAGAACAGGGAGCTCAAGTCCAAGATTGAGGGTCACCAGAGGGAAGCCGGTGCTCTGTCAGTTCAGCACACCGCGCTGAAGGACCTTCTTGGCGAGCGTGGCGTCAGCTACACTGATAGTAGGCGCTCCCCTCGAATGGAGTCTCCCGGTTCCCGGTTCGGTACTCCTGAACAAAACCGACTTCGAGAATTGGAGCAACAACTTTCGACAAGTTTGAAGGCGCATGATGAGATGAAATCTTCATTTGAAACGCGGGAGCAGGAGGCCGACCGCGCCTACAGGGAGAAACTAGAGCAGCTCGAAAATGACTATCAATCCGCCGTCCACTACGTTAAAGGAACCGAAAAGATGTTGAAGCGGATGAAGGATGAGCTTACTCGGTATAAATCTCAGAATGCGAAGATTCAATCCGAACTTGATGCGGCGCAGAGCAGGGATGTCGAGGACGAGTCAGGCGCATCGTCCGAATGGGAAGCCGAGCGCTCTCAGCTTCAAAAATCAATAGCTGAGCTGCAGCAGAATACGTCGTTCTCCATTACAAACCTCGAGGAACAAGTTACCAGGTTGAAAGACAGCCTGACCTCTACAGAGGCGGAAAAGAAGAAGTCTCACGCAGAATACGAGTCAATGAAGCAGGAACTTCTCGCTGTCACCGAAAAGAGCCGCTCCGAATTGGAACAACTTAAGCAAGAGAACTCATTGCTAGAAACTCGTGCCGTGGATGCGGAACACAAGGTCTCCATGCTCCTGGACCAAGTCGAGGCCTCCGTTGGACAATATCGGCGGCAGTCGCAGCACGGGGCCCTTAATGGAATCTCCCGCACGCACAGTAATGCATCCAGCGGTACAATTGGAGGCGGCACTCGCCGCTCTAGGGCCAACAGCGCGGTGTCGCAGGATGACACTTTCCTAGATAACCGTGGCTCCATGGCTCTCGACTCGCTAGCCAATGAATTGGAAGCCCTACGCACCCACTGGGAGAGTACCAATAGCAACTACCGATTAAGCACCCATTCTGACTTTGATCGCACTCCGACCAAGGAATCGGGGCTGAGCGATAGCCTCGCGGAATGGAGACGACGACTGGACGAAGACGAAGCGAAGAATCCCTCTTCGGAAAAGAGTAAGCCTACTTCTGAAGGACATTCAGCAGCGAATATGATATAAGGAGCTCGGGGAGCACTCATGACTTGTCTTATATCCTATTGGGAGTTATATCATGATGTCTAAACTACGTTGATCGATTGGCCTGCGAGCGTCTTGCGACTGTTCATTTGCTCCACATGCCTGTGTTCATCTTGCTATTGTGTATTACCTGATGATGAGTCAAGACTTGTCATACTATGCTTCTTCTGTTTTTCTTATGTCCTTTCTTTCCTTCTACCCCCTCTTCATTCTTATTTATACCCATTTCATATACTCAGTTGCCTGAAATGTACCATTATTCTACTTTTCTTTGATGATGTCTCTGATCTAGTCGGTTTGATTAGCGGTGACAATGCACGGTATTTACTTTTGTCTTGTTCTTGTGGGCCTTGTCTGTCGACTTGTATGAAAAGAGTACTTAATACTTACTTACTTGCCAGCGTACTGGGCTCACTAACTCACCGTACTGGAATCCACTTTTGTTATTGCCTGGCCTGATATCTAGGTAGCCTTGCTAACTTGACTGCCTAACACACTGGGGTACAAATAACTAATCACCACGTACCTACCAACGTTACTGGCACCCCAACCGCTCGTTTCAGTCAACATGACAAGGAAAGACAACCGCGAGCCACATCAATCCATTTCGACTTTGGGGATCGCAAGGTATTCGTCCACGTTGCTGCTCCCACTTCGGTCGTTGCTTGGGGTGACGTAGGTAAGGAGTTCCTTGCTTTTTCAACGGTCATTTTCGGGGATTTATGCATGGGGTGAGAGGTTCACGTGGAGGGGTTGGAGAGTACTTGTTTACGATGATACTCCGTGTCATAAATATACGCAAGGCATGTATATATTTCGTAATATCAGTATTTATGAATATAGATGCTGTTTGAAATAACCGAAGTATACAAAACTATGCATTCAAATAGTGAGATGATTTCGTCGCTCGATAGATCAAGAAAGTAGAAGTATACACGTTCAAAACACGGTGTTACCTGTCCTTCATCTTCTGACTGCATTAATATGCCTCATTTGCCTCGCTAGGCTAATCACGAAGCGAGGATAGATTCCATTCGATTGGGATCATCATCCACTTCCAGCAGCAGACCAGACCAGCGGTGAGTGTGACCCGGAAACCAGGACACCGAGAATACGATGGATCTCCCTTGTTGGACCGGCGTCGGTTCGTGAACTCGACATGTCTCGAATGCGTGGCTTATAGGCGGGTAGGGTTATTTATAATTATATTCACAGTCGGGATTTGCTAGCTTGCTGGGCGCTGCACTAACCCTGCAATTCTTTGACGCGATAAGTATCTGGGATAAGGCACTACTATCAGTGAGTGAGCTGCTTTGTGCCCAAGCGCGAAGGGCAATGGCTGTAATGGCGGTGTATGGGCGGATAAGAGTATTTACGGTACGCCTGATATTGACCATGGAGGTCGTCTGACCCAGGTTGGATATTTGGACTCGCAGTGGTGGAATGGGGCCAATTTGGTTCTTTAAGCTCAGAAGATCTATAGCTTCTCTCACTGGGATTGTGGATGCGTGGTTAATTATATGGATTGGAGCGAATTCTTGAGACATCCCTCATCTTGAATCAGACTACTCCCGCAGTGCCCAGCTCATTCTGACTAGCTCGTCACGCCTTTTGACATGGGGCTTATTTCCCACGATGCCACCACCAATACGTCGAACTTGGGCCGCAACTGGCGTATTTTGGTTATTTACACATTTGGGGAAAGACATCTGATATGATTATTGTCTAATTCATTGAATTCAGCGTCAAAAATATAGTAAATGAAACTGTAGTATAAATGAATAAGTAGCGCAGCTTGATGTGTTACGATACAATACCGGTATTAATGCTGTATTGCGGCCAATCCAATGGACGCAGTGCTGCTAAACTTATCACTCTTTCCCGCCCCCTCAACTCTTCAACGCCGTCAGATCAATTCTCTCACGCCAGTTCTCTTCACTCCTCCTCCTTCCTTGATCCCCTTCCTCCCTCCCACCTTCCCCGATATCAAGGGCTTTGTCCTTGGTTTTCGACTATTTATCTTCCTCACTTCTTTACTTTCCTCCGTCCCACTGCGTTTTGCAGTCTTTTCGCCTCGGTTTGCCTTTTTAGCCGCTTAAACGCCCTGCTGAATCCCCTTTCCTTTCCTCTCCGCCTTTTTCGGTCGGGACGGTCGACATCACCACTAGCTCATCCATCCTTCTATCAACTCCCCTTGACAAGGTATTTATCTTTTTATAAGCCCCTGATAACCCTGCCCTTTTTTTCATAGCTGCTTCCTTTTCTGCCGGTCTACGGGCATATTTCTTGGGGCCTCAGCCTCGTTTTTCGGCCTTTGCTTGGTCTCATCCGAAAGGCTCAGCCTCGCTTTGTCGTGACATTTATGCCTTGCCCCCCGACAAGTGCCTTTTCACACAGTCTCCGCCTTTTCTTCTTCTCTCGATTGCCGACCGGTGCACTTATCTCATATATTCTAATAACCCTATAGATTTCAGCTCACTGAGCTTACATTCCAGCAAGATGACGACTATGGTAAGCTATTCGTTATATTTTATCCAAATCTCTTCTTTTTTTCTGACCGTTCCCAGGACTTGCGTGTCGGTAATAAGTACCGCATTGGCCGTAAGATCGGAAGTGGTAGTTTCGGTGACATCTATCTTGGTACGTGGATGCTTTTATCGTTCAATAAATATATGGAGGGATGGTCACTGACTTTATATAGGCACCAACATTATCTCCGGCGAGGAAATTGCCATCAAGCTCGAAAGCGTCAAGGCTAAGCACCCTCAACTTGAATATGAAGCACGCGTTTACAAGTCTCTTGCCGGTGGTGTTGGTATTCCGTTCGTTCGCTGGTTCGGTACCGAGTGTGACTACAACGCCATGGTGATCGATCTACTTGGACCTAGTCTCGAGGATCTTTTCAACTTCTGCAACCGCAAGTTCTCGCTTAAGACCGTACTTCTCCTTGCCGACCAACTTATATCCCGCATCGAATACATTCACGCCAAATCCTTCATTCACCGTGATATTAAGCCCGACAACTTCCTGATGGGTATTGGTAAGCGCGGAAACCAGGTCAATGTTATCGATTTTGGCCTGGCCAAGAAATACCGGGACCCCAAGACTCACTTCCACATTCCCTACCGCGAGAACAAGAACCTGACTGGAACGGCCCGTTACGCCAGTATCAACACTCACTTGGGTGTCGAACAGTCTCGCCGTGACGACATGGAGTCTCTGGGTTATGTCATGTTGTACTTCTGCCGTGGCACTCTCCCTTGGCAGGGCTTGAAGGCTGCTACCAAAAAGCAGAAGTACGACCGTATCATGGAGAAGAAGATGACAACCCCCACCGAGGTTCTGTGCCGTGGGTTTCCCAACGAATTTTCCATCTACCTAAACTACACCCGTTCCCTGCGTTTTGATGACAAGCCGGATTATTCCTACCTCCGCAAGATCTTTCGTGACCTGTTCGTTCGCGAGTCATTCCAATACGACTACGTCTTTGACTGGACCGTTTACAAGTACCAGAAGAACGCCGCCATGATCGTGGACGCCAAGAAGGACAAGGAGGCCGAGGAGCAACAGCGTCGCCAAGGAGGAAACATACCCATGTCTGGCGGTGCTGCTAAGCCCGGTGCTATTTCCAGCCAGCGTCGCAAGATCATGGAACGCGGTACCCTTGACAACACCCCCGACACCAACCGTGCTGTGGGAGGGAGCGACAGGATGTGAGTATCTAAAACCTAGGTTCCGTGTAGGGAACTCCCTCCTTTTGCGTTTCGTTCTTCGGTGCGGCCTTGCTTTGCACGTGGAGGTCCTAAATACTTTTTTTGGTTCCTAGAATCTGACTAATCTCATAGTCTTCGGCGTTAGGCTGCGTTCTGCTTCTAAGGTTGCTGCTTCGGGTACTCATGGACCTGGTGCTAGCCGCTCGAAGCGGGACGATGGGCTCGGACCTTCGTGGTATTAAATTGTGCAGCATAGTGGTTTTGAGCTTGACATATCTCTGCTGTCCTCTTCAATCTATGCAGCCTAGCTTCCTGTCTGTTGGCATGATGCTAGCCAAGGAGCCCGGGACTATCCTCGTTCTAGTTACCTTTTTTGCAAGGTGCAGCAAACCGTTCCGAACTTTTACGCATTGGGTCTCCGCTCCTATTTTCATTTATATTTCCTATTGCACTCTCTGTTAGCCATCTACCCGTTTTTTCGATCGTCTTCCGGTTTTCACCGCTTCGATCCGACCGCGTTTTCACCTTTTATTCGCTCGACTATCGGCACCGTTCAATCTCGAACCTTTCAACAATCTCCGAACGTCAATTCGTTCGCTGCGGTTCTTTTAATACCTTTGGAATTGCGAGTTAATGTGGAAGGCCCCGATATCGACTTTGAAACGCTTTTTATTGTGGCTATATTTACGTCTCAGCTAACTGGTTGTCCCAATTATTCGGATCTTTCAACCCTGAAATATGCATCCGTGGACGGCCGGTGTGACTAGGACTGAAGGAGATGCAAAAATCGAACAATTAGTCTTTTGAAGTGTGGCTTAATTTGACGCCGACTACTCGTCAGACCTGCCAGACTTCATAAGGACGGTTTTTTGACCACTGTCTACCCACTTTCCCCTGTTTGTGCATATTATGGCTTTTGCGTTTCTTGTTTTCCCGCTTTCCCGTACCGCACCAGAGCTTTGTTATTTGCATTGTCGAACCGTCCTTGTGGCTTATTGACGTACGATTGGGGACGAAGGAGTATGAAGGAACGACTGGCGAAGGCGTGTTGGGGATGGCTAGTTATGGATGTACTGGAAGGGTCGCTTTTTGGAACGGATGCTTTCGGCTTATCGTCGATTAGCTGAAGGAAACAGAGAGCGATATCCTACGCGAGCACATCTGGTATGGGGTGAATGGCGATGGAAATGGCTAGGGTCGCTTCCGGGGTGGTATTACGTCAATATATGCTGGTTTTTGTCTTTTGTCTTCTTTTTTTTTTAAGTTTTTCCCAACTGTTTACACTCATTGAACCTATTCATATGTGAACGAGACCGAAAGAGAGTTGCGACAATTGTGTTGTAACCAGCCAAGGGGCGCTCCAAGCCGAATCTCTTTGGCCAGTTCTCTCTCGGATAGAGCATCTAATATACATACTTTGCATTCTACAGCCTACTATGATCTATTTTCGTAAGCCAATGTCTAGAACATGAATACGTATTAGCCTTGTAGTATGTTTGAATTGTTTGAGGCCTTTGCTGCCTTGGCCGAACAAACGCGATTTGGCTGCGAGGCACCTTTGTAAGCGTTATGCAATGTAACTTCCACGTCGTATCGGGCGCTGGGCAGAGGCAAACAGAAGCACACAGAAGATGAGTGACAGGACAGTCTGTGAGAGCTGAAAAGATGATAATCACTGACAAAATATCTGTAAACAATTCAAATTGTCTGCATCATACTAGCAGTCCTTTCTTCGATGGATTGCGGGAGACATGGATGAGGGCGGCGAACCAACTCGTTGAGCCGATCTTCTTCCTTCTGGCCCCAGCTTTGGAAGTTCTAGACTTTCAACCCATCCATATATACGCTCAACATTCTCGCCATCTGGGCCTTTTTTTGTTGTAATTTTGGTACAGCATCACTGAATTCACATTGAGACCCCGCGATGGATCAATACCCCTACTACTCCAGCCACCCCGCGCAGCAGCCCTCGTTTTCGCTCTACGGACTCCCCACCCCAAACCAGAACGCCCAAAACGATGATATCCCCAGCTCCTTTGATCCTCTGGTATGTGCTGTTTGTCTACTCAAACCGCCGTTCAAATGGAGATGTTACCGAGTATTGACTGGTTGGCGCAGAGCTATCAACCCGCGTTCGATCCGTCTTTCAATCCCACCTCGCAGCAACCATTCGGTCGCTCTCCGCAGTCCCCGCCGGACTCCTACACGAAACAGTCGGTCTCGAGCGGCGAACACCTTGGTCCCAGTCATTATCCAGGATCGATCGAAGGTCGAGATGAATTCCTCGCCGATCCGGGTCTGATGCGGAGTAGCAGTGAGGAGAAAGACAAGGAGGGGCTGGCCGGCACACCAGCGCAGAGTAAGCGCAAGGCGCAAAATCGAGCTGCGTATGTTTGCCCCACGCCAAACCCAAATGATAGATACCTATCTAGGGAAGACGTCTAACTAATTTCCTTTGTTTATTTTAGTCAACGAGCCTTCCGCGAACGCAAGGAACGACATGTCCGCGACCTCGAAGAAAAAGTCAACAACCTCCAACAAGAATCAAGCACCCTGACAGCCGACAATGACCGCCTAAAGCGCGAACTGGCGCGGTACAGTACTGAGAATGAGATCTTACGTGCGACGGCAAATGGCCCCGGCTCTGGCGGCGATGGTGGTGACGGCCAACGAGGGCCAGCATCGTCTGGCCCAACGCAGACAGGACCAATGATCTACTCACCCACTGACTTCTATTCCGATCTCGTACCGGCGGGACAATCGGTGCGGTTGCACCGGGTGACGTATTGCAAGGTTTCTGGGGAGCGGCTGTACGATGCCGGGGCGGCGTGGGATATGATACAGGAGCATGAGTTGTTTAAGAAGGGGCTTGTTGACATTGCGGGGGTGACAAAGAGGTTAAAAAGTGCTGCGCAGTGTGATGGGCAGGGTCCTGCGTTTCGGGAGTGCCAAATACAAAAGGCCATCGAGGAGAGTGCGTTGGAGGACCGTGATGGATTGTTATGATTTGATGTATGTTATGTTGATTTGGTGTTTTGATTTGTGAGGGACCTGCGTTTATGCTGGTTTATCTTTTCTGCTTGGTTGGATTCGAATTTTGGGCATTATTATATGGATTTAAAGGTTGATTGAGCGGGCGTGATGGTTTGGCTATGATGGATTTGTATTTATTTTCTATGGTATCCTGTGTTAGCTTTTTTGCATTCGCTTTTATTCTATATATTCTCTGGATTGAACTTGGACCATGGCCTTTAATTTGACTTAGTTTCACTTCTATTCGTTTTCTGAATTGTCGTCTTGTACATGGTTGGTTACGTATACAGAAGGCCACCGTTGAACTCCTCAGTGCAAGTACAAATTGAGTTCTCAATGGTTCAAGTTCAACATTCAACGACTCAGACCCGCTGAGTGACCTCAATGTCCGAACCATATGCGCCTCTTTAGGTAGTCTGAACGGAGTTTGCCCACCTTGAAGCATGCGAAGACCAAGCCACGTGGTTGCGACTATGCTTAAAATCCCGTGATAGTCGAGGTCCTCTCAGTTTCTTCACGATGACACATAAGTGAATTAATCCCAATCATCGTCATCGTTATCCACAGTGGCGGTAGTATTCCTAATACTCGACTTCGGCTTCGATGGCCGTTCATCCTCAGAGTCATCATCTCCGCCCTTCTTCAATCGAACATCGCTCTCCTTAAGTGCGCCAACCTCCACAAGCATATTCTCAAGATCTACCCATAGTTAGCACCCGCACCATCACAATAAGCAAATTAAAAGAAGGTAACAAACCATCAACCCTTGTCGATGTTCCTCCAAGCGCCATAAGCGTCACATACTGCTTCGCAATCTCGCCATCCTTATAAACCAGAATTGTCGGTGTGTTGCGGTCTGGATACCCCTCAATACACATGTTCCCACGCATCTCACAGAACTTGATATCGCCATACTTCGCCGCCAATCGCCTCCATATCTCGGATAGAAGCCGCGACTCGACATTGTTGCTCGAGGACGAGGTAAGGTTCAGACAGACAACACAGTTCTTTGACGCCTCGGTGACTTCCCGCGTGAAGTCAGGCTTTTGCAGACCGTAGACTTGGTTGTGCACTGAGGCTTGTGTTATTGTGCTTAGTTCCGCGAGGCGTTTTTGTCTATGGTAAGGCAAGATATATCTGTTAGTACAATTGCGTAACGTAACGTTGGTTAGGTGTGCAACGTATGCGGACGTACCGGTACTGGTTCAGAAATGATTCATCCTCGATATCCTCGAGCTCGTCTAGTTCGTCCAGGTCCTTATCCTCGAGTCGGTTTTCGTGCGCTTTGCGCTCGGCTTCGACGAGCGCTTCCTGGATAAGCGGCTCCGGGTCTTGAGGTTTCTCTGGGATGATTCCGTGTTTACGGAGAATGTCGTTCCTGATACATTATTAGATTGAGGTTGATTTGAGGTGGGTGTCGACTTGTACTGCCGGGGTGGTGGTTTGGTGGGGTGGACGAACCATTCTGTGTCTTCGTTGGGGTTGACTTCGACTTGCATTGTGGGCGGTGGTTTGGATTAGGTCGAGGTTGAAATTTAGATAGCTAGTTGTAATTTTGGATTATTTGGCTTGAATGGTGACGGGGTTTGGTAGGAGAAATATGGCATGGAAATCCCAGGCAGATGCGTAGAGGGGCAGAATTGATAAATCTGGGGTCTTCTTGGCGGCATGTGCGGGCGGTGGTTTTGTCTTATACTAGTATTATGGGATCGACGGACGCCTTAGAGCTTATAGATGGCACTAATTATATCACAATTACGCAGGAACAAGATATATGTTGCCTGATTGGAAATGTTGTTGATTGAAAATCGAACCCGGTTTTGGTCAGGCTTTTCGGTGTTGGTCTAGGCAACTAAGTATGTATTCCAGCTTCTGGTCTAAATTGCTCAGAGACATGATTCTGCACAGTTGCTGGCAAGATGACGTTTCTCATTTATTATGCCTTCAGTAAAAGTAGGAAATATGGTGTGATATCCGCATGAAATGTGCATCATGAATCAGCTTTTTGGCAAAGGCCCAGGTATGAAACGAACCAAACTCCATCGTAAAATAGAAGAAACAAAAGAAAATGTCCAAGTAAAAGTCTAATCCATGTCCATCTCGTCCTGTGTGGTTCCATCCACCAAGACCCTGGTCTTCTTCTTCTGCCGGAGTCTCTCCTCTCCATGGACTTTGCTGGCAACCTTTGCGCCCTCTTCGACGAGCGGTCTTCCCTCCTCTCTCTCGCGGAGTTCCTTGCGAATAAGATGCTCGCCCTCCGCAACAACCTTCCTGTCCGCCTCGCGCTTGCGTTCCCGCGCAAGCTTGCCCGCCAAGCGGCGCTTCGTGAATGCCCGTTCTCTGCGTCCTCTGATCTCCTCCACCCGCTCCATGGCCTTGACCGTTGAAGCGACAAGATTCCGGTCGTACTTGACGGGGACATTTCTCTTCTTTGCGAACTGGGATAGGACAAGCGACGAGTCGACGATCATCTCCTTGCCGTTGGCTGCGCGGCCAGCCTTGGTCCACTTGAGTTTTCGTGGCTGTCTCTTCAGCTTAAAGTTGGAGTGGCATTTTGATCGGCAGAATCGGAAGGCTTTCCCATCCAGTCTAACCATCTGGATACCCTTGGAAGGGTATACCGGGCGAGAGCAGAAGTGGCATGTTTCGACTCTGGAGGGTAGATTAGTTAGTGGGATGGGATGGGCTAGCTAGGTCGTGACCATGGGGTCAGAAAAAAGGTAACTAACCTCATCTTGGCGGACCTTTATAAGTTCCTCCAGAGATTTAAGAAAAGGGTCCGTGATGGGGGTTGTAGGGTGCTATCAAAAAGTCGGGGAGAAATTCGTATCGACAAGCAGAAGTTTTGAAATTCTGCCAACGCTAAACCGAATTAGGTCCCGCGGCGGCGTTCCGAGTTTTTATCCCGACGGCCGCTTCTTCTCCCCAACGTCACCTCAAGAACGGGCACGACCATCTCTTTTTCACTCAGTTCCTACCCGAATCCTCTAATCCGTTTGATTGATATGGCGTCCACTCTCGCGCTCGGTCTTGGTGTCGCTACGGCCGCCTTCTTGGTATGGTCAACGTCAAGGCGCGATTTCCCGCTTGTTCCTGTATACTAATCGGTTTGCTTGCTAGGGTCGTGCTGGTCTGGTTGCCTATCGTCGGTCCCAAGGAGGTGTTAATGCTCTTGGAAAGGCCTTTTACAAAGGGTTTGTAATTTAGATATTGAGGATACGTATAGATTGCTAATGTGGCCGCAGAGGATTTGAACCTCGGATGAACCGTCGCGAAGCCTCCTTGATTCTCGAGCTCCCGTATGGCCGCATTACGCTTATCACACGACTTCTTTGGGTCAATACTGACAGAATTGCAGGGAGCGCACTTTGAACAAGGACAAGGTTCGCAAGAAGCACCGCCAGTTGATGCTGCTCAACCACCCCGATCGCGGTGGTAGCCCCTACCTGGCAACGAAGATCAACGAAGCCAAGGAGTTTTTAGATAAGCATTCTTGAGTTATTCCCGGGATTGATCTATTGCTTGCAGCTACTACTGCTAGTGACTGCAATTTGAGATGAGCGACCGGAAAAGAAATCCGGGTGGGATTTTGGGAATCTGATACGAGCCAGATCATACTCCGTGTATAAAATGCTGTCTTTGGGTGCATAGCGTGGCGTTGGCTGGATTCCGAGGATGGGATGTATATACCCTCATCCTCTTGGATATTTGTACTGTATATATTGGTGAATCGCCACTCTTGAATTAACATTCTGCACATGCTTTGTATATTGAAATCTCGCTGGATTCATCAAAACTGGTAACACTAGGGTCCCAGGGGGGAGTCACGCTACAAAGTGTGGCTGACGTTATCAGATCTTCATATCCCGTCTTCCGGAGTCACGACGTATTCACCAGGAGCTAACTACATGGCTGGAACTCCGATGAGTCACTGTCTCAGTCACTGCCGTGTCTGAGGATGGTCACAGGCCCGCGCAAAAGTCAAATCTCGTCAAGCTCAAATAACAATGGTCGAAGGATCGGCTGGAGTCGGCCGTGCCTTGTCAGGGTCGGCCAATCCACTGCAGAACTGAGCGGAAGGGCTCGGACCCGAAAGAGCTTCCAGGTCCCTCAAGTCTCGGGGCTTCGGGGAGTCGGGTGTCCGGTGGTCGACTCGTATATCGTATTAACCTTCATAACTTCCCTGGCTCGAGATGACACTAAGGAGCTTGGCTGGCCGGGGTTAAGACGTACTGCGCCGTCCAGGCTCCGGCAAAGGCAGCACCGTTACGTTTGCTTGTTTCTTCTCTTCACACCGTCGATTCGTCGGCTGTAGTTGTTACCTCACTGTCTAAGTAGGGCTGCGGCGATAACAGATCGCCTGTTTTTTTCTCTCTTTTGTTTTTACTCTCTTCTTGTTGCTCTTGACGGCCTCAGGATAGTATTAACCCACACTTGCGTTTCCCCTCGTGCTGTACCTTGTGGTCGTGGTCGCCACGTGCCGACAAAGTGCTGATTGAGTAAGCCTGCGATTTTTTGTCCCCATGTCATCATCCACTTTTTGCCTCCGCCATATGCTGACTTGCCCACTCACCCCAGTCACTCCTTTTGACGATTGTCGCCGTGAGAAAAAGAAAAAAGAGTAAGAAAGTCGACGACGACTTCCAATCAAATCAAAAACAACCCCATCCGACACTTCCGCTTGCCTTGAATGGAGGGACCCCGCATTCGACTTCTGACAAACCTACCCGCTGACATTATCGAAAACTCCACCTTCTCACGCATCGGCCAGTGCCTGAACCTCACTAAGCATCTCAGCATCCGTTATCCGGACTAAGATGGATGGCATTGGGGATGGCGCGAATGGCATGGGCTACGATATGCCCATGCTTATGAACCAACAAACTCCCATCTTCGGCGCATACAATCACGATGGCTCTCCGGTCACCGCTGCTCTTCCGAATCCCACCTTTCACGATGAATCGTCGCTGGGCCTTGGGGATGATACAAACGACGCCAAACGGAGGCGAATTGCGAGGGTAGGTATTTCGGATTCTTGGTTGCTCGACGTTCTTGTTTGTCTGATTGCGCCTCCTGCAGGCTTGTGATATGTGCCGGAAGAAGAAAATTAAATGCGACGGCAAGATGCCTAAATGCTCCCACTGCATCAACTACAAAACGGACTGTGTGTTCACTCAAGTTGAAAAGAAGCGGAATCCACCTAAAGGGTACGTTATCTGCTCCTATATTGATGCATTCAAATGCTGACGACGTCCGCATTTTAGTGCCAAATACATTGAAGGCTTGGAAAACCGGCTAGGAAGGATGGAGTCCCTACTTCGTCTCTCCGGCCTGCTTTCTGAAGATGATGGGAAGACGGATCTTGGAACTCTGGAAAAACGACTAGCCGATCGATCTATGTCAACTGGCGGGTTCAATAATAACAATAATAATAATGCCACCAACAGCCCGACGAGATTCAATATGCCCTCTAACACCCAATCTCAGCCGGCTAGCACATCGCGACATTCGACACCAAGGATGGATTCCCAATCTAGCCCACGGACGGCGGCTACATCACCTGATTCGCAGAAGGAGTCTGAAAACGAGGTTGAAGGATTGTCAGATATGATGTGCTCCCTGGTGACGAACAACTGCGGTGAGACGCGTTATATTGGTAAGTGCCTATGTAGCTACACATGATGAATTAGGGCTGACTGGTTCCAAAAAGGGTCCTCGTCAGGTTTTTCGATATTCTCACCCAAAGGTATTCAGTGGGTGAACGAGAAGACAGGGGACACATCCTTCCAAGACATGATTTCATCAGCCTACATCGATGATAACAAATGGATGTACTGGAAACCGGAGATTTTTAGCGACATTTTTGCCCGCCGCGTGTTCAAACCCTTGCCGCCCAAGGAGGAGGCATTATCACTTTTCCGAGACTTTTTCGACAACTTCAATTGCATGTTTCCACTTTTTCACGAGCCGACGTTTATGCACCTGGTTGAAAAGCAATATTCCCGAGATCCTTATGAAGGTTCCGGCTGGTGGGCGAGTATCAACGTGGTGCTTGCTATCTCACACCGCTTACGTGTGATGAGCAACCTCGTCCCTCAAGAAGAAGACAAAAAAGCATGGCTGTATCTGAAAAATGCTATGGGTGTACTAACGGAACTGACAATGCGAAATACGGACTTGTTGAGTGTGCAAGCTCTTTTAGGCATGGTGGGTCTCACATTCTTCGTTGTCAATACTGCATAAATCTAACACTCATTGCAGTCGCTTTTCCTCCAAGGAACCCCGAACCCACAGCCGTCGTTCTTCTTAGTCGCTGCGGCCATCAGGTTGTCCCACAGCATCGGACTCCATAAACGTGGGTCCGGTTTTGGGCTGAACCCCGTAGAAGCAGAGCAACGGAAGAGAGTGTTCTGGATTGCTTATATGTTAGACAAAGAGTATGCTCTCCTGGCCCAATGATGGTTCTTCTTTCTAACTGTATATTAGCATCTGTCTTCGTTCTGGACGTCCGCCTGTTCAAGATGATGATGATATGAACGTCGAGCTCCCAAGTGACGACCCCCCGGACAATATTGGCAATGTTCCATTGTTCGATGGAAAAGGAAAGTTTAACATGTTTCGCATTCTTTGTGAGTTTTCTATCATCGAAAGCAAGGTATATAAACGTCTATACTCGGCCCGAGCTTCAAGACAGTCCGATGGTGAGCTCTTGAATACCATTGGCGAGCTTGATAGAGAACTCGAGGAATGGAAGGACAGTATTCCCATAGATTTCAGGCCCGAGCATGAAATCAAGGCAACGCATACACCTCTGATCCTCCACGTTGTTGTGTTGCATTTTGCTTATTACAATTGCTTGACTACAATTCACCGGATGTCTGTTCACCACGGATATTGGACTAGTCGCCTATCCAACTATGCTATCCAAGGATTGAATGCTCGACCCTTAAATCCGAGAGTTTTCCTATCTGCGGTTCTATGTGTGACCGCCGCTAGAGCATCTATTAACCTCATCAAATACATCCCGCAAGGCGATTTTGCGTGTGTTTGGTAAGTTTCGAAGATTTAAAGGTTTTTGGAGACAGCGTCTAACGTAATTTGTAAATAGGTTGATTCTCTACTATCCGGTTTCGGCGTTGGTGACATTGTTCGCAAATATCCTCCAGAACCCCAACGACGCGAGGGCTCGCTCAGATGTTAAACTAATGAACGTGGTTGTCAATTTCCTTTCTACACTCGTGTCTGACGAGTCAAACGGAAGTATCAAACGCATGCTTGGGGTTTGTGGCGAGTTCGAGCGAATTGCACAAGTAGTCCTTGATAAAGCCGAAAAGGATTCCCATTCGAAGAAGAAGCGGAAGGCTGCTCCAGATGAGCCTAGGAATGTACAGCAAGACATTGCTAAGGAAACAACCACAGCTTCTACCTCGAATCCGAATACAGCCAATGCACCGCCCACTACTATGCCGTTTTCGCCGCCGCAGCAATACGGTGCCGATTCCCAGAACGGTGGCTCCAACGTCATGAATGGGGTGCCAACTTTTACATCAAGCCAAGCAATGCCCGGGAGCAATGGCATTTCCAACGACATGCCGGGGAACATACCTACTATGCCTAGGGTTGGCCAAGATTTTGCGAATATGCTTAGTCCGAATGCCCTGGATGGACTAGACTTTGGAGGTCAGGCGCCTTTGACATCTGGCGGAGACATCCCTATCACACCGTCTTTCCAGCAACCATTTGTTCCACAAGACCTATGGCAGATGCCAATGACAATCGAATGGGACTGGGCCGATATGTCCACGAACTTTCCAGTCTTTGATTCGGGCCCCAGCCACTGATTAGTGTTTACGATGAAACGAACCATTTTTCCAATTCGATTCTCCTCGAAACAACATTTACGATATTTATACACCAGTTGTCGGATACAGATGGCAACGGACGGACATTGTGTTGAACATCTCCCCACTTATTTAATTATCCTCTTACATTCTTATTTGGCGAGGAGTAAAGGAAAGGCGTTCATTTGTGTGTGGGAGCATTCTATATGGTGGGTGTACTCTGTGGGAAGCTCCTAATTTACTCGACACTCCACACTGCGATTTGGGAAAGACAGGAAATACGATTTAGATGTATCTTGAAATATGATTCCCCTCTTATAGCTGTGTCTTATTCCCTTCTAATTTACCGGGCTTAACGGTGGAGCAAGGTGAGCCAAAGTAATGACTGGGAAATGCTAGAGTTGTCTATGCTCTTCTTCACGATCGTGAAACCTGTGTGGTTCAAAGTAATTGTAAACTTGGAGACATCTGCTCCTCCTGGAGATTTCTGGGACAGATAAACAACATTTTCTGATCATAGGGTGGTTTTAGCAGTGGTCTAGTGTGCAAAGCTGGAGTTGACGGTACGACGGAGTTAAGACGATTTCCTTCCTTAGGATTCTGGATGACTCAGCCGAACCCGGAGCGGCGAAAAAACCACGACCGATCCAACCTCCCAAAGGCGGACAGCAGCGGACTGCTTCATCAAGTACCCCCAATCCCAACTGATTGACACGCTTTGCACCTGATCCACCTGGCGTGGGCTTCTATGGATTCTTGTGCTTGATATTAACTTCACATCACACGTTTCCGCTCCATCCGCCCTTCCACCTTTCAGCCTCCGGGCTCACCTTCCTCGACCATGGCCAGCTTACTCCGACGGCCAGGCAACCTTGCTCAATACTCGAGGAGAGCCGCAGACCGCATTTTCCGCGCAGGGCCCCTATATACGCGGATTCCGCAGTCGAGGTTGTCATCCTTGGTCACAGCGCGACGTGTAAGAACATTCGCTACACAGAGCCCCGGTGACCCGAAACCACCGAACGGCGAAGACAACCAGAAGCCACCTACCGGAAACAATGGCGGTGACCAGAAGCCCCCTGAAAAGCCGGAGGGCGAAAAACCTAAGGAACCGCAATCGAAATTAAACCCGGAGGATGAAAAGGATCTTGACCTCTTCGTTCAACATATGAAGGAATGGATTCCGCAATCACAACAGCAAACACTCCAGGATATGCGAGCCACTTTGAAGAGGGATGGTATGTCGTCAGAGGTGCGGGATTTCGTCCAGAAGCATCTCAAAGGCGGTTCCGACCCGTCGATGTTGGATTACATACAGATTACGAGGCATATTCATGCGTTATCGCAGGAGAAGCCCAAGACTGAAGAGGAGCAGAAGGATGGGAAAAAGCAGGGCGAACAGAAACAAAAGGGTAAGGATCAATGGGGCCAATCTCCGAACATGAAGACATTTGAGTTCGGATTTGATCCTGCGTCGTTCCTAATAAGCTCTATCGTTGCCTACTATCTTTATCGCAGTGTTTTCCCTGCCGAAAATACCAAGGAGATCACGTGGCAAGAGTTTAGGAACAACTTCTTCGACAAGGGCCTTGTGGAGAGGTTAACTGTCCTCAACAATAACCGGGTACGTGTCGAGTTGAACCGTGAAGCGGTTGCCCGAACGTATCCGGATGCACAGGCAGGCGCCTACTACTTCAGTATTGGATCAGTTGACAGCTTCGAACGCCATCTTGACGAAGCCCAGAATGAGCTCGGGATCCCTAGCTCTGAGCGTATTCCGGTTTCCTATATTGAAGAAATGCCATGGGCAGCCACATTCTTGTCCTTCGCTCCTACCCTCCTCTTAATGGGTGGTTTCTACTATCTGTCACGTCGTGCTGGTGGTGGCAGAGGCGGCAACAGCGGTATCTTTGGTATCGGAAAGAGCCGAGCTAGGCGCTTTAACCATGAAACGGATATCAAGATCAAGTTCTCTGATGTTGCTGGGATGGACGAAGCTAAGGTTGAGATTATGGAATTCGTTAGCTTCCTCAAGCACCCAGAGAAGTTCCAGAAACTCGGCGCCAAGATACCTCGCGGTGCGATCCTGTCGGGACCTCCTGGTACTGGTAAGACACTGCTTGCCAAGGCCACTGCTGGTGAATCCGGTGTACCTTTCTTCAGTGTCAGTGGTTCTGAGTTCGTGGAGATGTTCGTGGGTGTCGGTCCGTCCCGTGTCCGAGATCTCTTTGCCAATGCACGCAAGAACACGCCTTGTATCATTTTCATTGACGAAATTGATGCTATTGGTAAATCCAGAGCCAAGCAAAGTTTCGGTGGTGGAAATGACGAGCGGGAAAGTACGCTGAACCAAATTTTGACTGAGATGGATGGTTTCAATACTTCTGATCAAGTGGTCGTCTTGGCTGGTACCAACAGACCCGATGTGCTTGACAAGGCTCTTATGCGACCTGGACGATTCGATCGACACATTGGTATTGACCGACCTACAATGGACGGCCGAAAGCAAATTTTCCGTGTTCACTTGAAGAAGATTGTCACTAGCGAGGATATGGAGTACTTGACTGGCAGACTCTCTGCCTTAACCCCTGGCTTTGCTGGTGCTGATATCGCAAACTGTGTCAATGAGGCTGCGTTGGTTGGTATGTAGAACTTCTAAACTTTTTGTTTTTTTGCCGTTTCGTTATGTGGTTCAGTAAGCTAACTTCAACAAAGCTGCCCGTGAGGATGCGGATCGCGTAACAATGAAGCACTTCGAGCGTGCCATCGAACGTGTCGTTGGTGGTTTGGAAAAGAAATCAGTTGTGCTCTCACCGGAGGAGAAGCGTACTGTGGCGTACCATGAAGCCGGCCATGCTATTTGCGGTTGGTATTTCCGCTGGGCTGATCCGTTACTCAAGGTGTCCATTATCCCTCGTGGACAGGGTGCCCTTGGATATGCTCAATACCTTCCGGCTGGTGGCGATACCTACCTGATGACATCAAACCAAATGATGGACCGGATGGCAATGACCCTGGGAGGTCGCGTCAGCGAGGAACTGCACTTCGACACCGTTACTAGCGGAGCTAGCGATGATTTCAACAAGGTTACTCGTTTGGCAACAGCAATGGTAACGAAGTTTGGAATGTCACCGAAGCTGAAATACATTTACTATGAGGAGGACCCATCGCAGCAGATGCACAAGCCTTTCTCCGAAGAAACCGCCAAAGACATCGACGTCGAAGTCCGCCGCATCGTCGGCGAAGCCTACAAGCAATGCCACACTCTCCTAACAGAGAAGAAGAAGGAAATCGAATTAGTCGCTGAAGAGCTTCTTACTAAGGAAGTTCTTAGTCGCGACGATATGATCCGCCTCCTCGGTCCTCGAGAATGGCCGGAATCAGGTGAATTCGCCAAGTACTTCGACAACACGCACGGACAGACCATTGCCCCCCCTGAGCCTGCTGTAGGAGAAGACGCCGAAGGAAAAGACGGCAAAGATGAAACACCTCTGCCGCCAAACCCATCTTCATAGACCGGGAGCAAAGAAAAGAACTTTGACGAATGACCTATCTTTTTTCTGCTGCTCTTATATCTACCTTTCTTGGGAACATACCTGTATTTATCCTCTTTTTTATTTACTCCCCTCCTATTCGTGTCTCTTCTACCTACCTACCCCACCCTCCCTTCACCCCCTCCATACCCTCCATTGACGGTGTTACCGGAATTTAAAGCATATCTTGGTATCTCCCCTTCCGCTACACTTCCTTGTGACACTTTTGTCACCTTATCTATGCACTTTTGCCTGAGAAGCGTCGAGTGTAATGTACCAGTGTATAGTAGGTAGTTATATGGTTGATTTTCACTAGTTCTTTCCTGACCAAGACGTAATCCATTATAGTAATGATACGTGGGTAGAATTATATGTACTATTGAATCAAACTCGGCTGTACAATTTGGCCGTGGCCTAGAAGTAAGAAACGAATATAGCTATTAGTAAACGGTGAATGAAAAACGGAATCTCCAAGACGCGACACAAAACGAAACCCAGGCCCAATATCTACTCCAATCCTAAGATTAAACTGGAAAGGATAGATGAAAAATATAAGACGACGGGTGACCTCTATCAGATCGAAAGAAGTAAAGACCAGCCCGAAATTTTGAACTCCAGAAGTAAGCAGACGGCTAAACCTCAAGGGGAGGGTTTCCCCATCTACTCTTCTTTCTTGTCCTTGGGGTTAGACTGCACAGCCTTCTTCTTGTTCCTGCCCTTGTACTTGGGCGCAACGGACAGACGTGGGATGAACCTTCCAACGCGAGCTTGATATTCACGGTATTCGGGATACTTGCTGGAGCTGATTCCCTCAGTAAGGCGGACGCTGCCTTGGAAGATGAGCAGGAGGCCGATAACACCCGCAGCAGTCCACTGGGCGTATTGCTCCGTACGGTACGCGTTCCAAAGGTACAACGTGAGCCAGATGGCCTGCTCGGCGGCGAAATTGGGGTGCCGGGAGAGCGACCACAGTCCGCTCACAACGAAGCCTCGCTCAAGGTCTTCCGGGTCATACTGATCCTTGAGAGTGCTCGGGATGCGGGCAGAGTTATTGTATTCTGTCTTGGCATTTTGGAACTTCCATTGTTGCTGGTCGGCAAAGAATTCGAGGATAATGAAAAAGAATGCGACGCGGGAGAAGATCAGGTCGGGAAGCTCGAAAGATTCACCGCCAGGAAGGCGCGCGAGGAGCAGAAAGTTGTAGGTTGGGGTTGTAAGGAGTAGTAGCAGGAGTGGCTGAATCACGCTGATAAATGTGACGTTAAAGAGGAAGAATAGGAAACGGTTGTTCACCCTGGAGCGGACGATAGACCAGCGGTAATCTTCCGAACCATAGCTGTAGCCGCCTCTGCGCCAGTAGTTGAAGGTTAAGCGTACAGTCCAGATAAGAGAGATTGCAGCAATGGTATCCAAGTTTAGAGTTCGCAGACCCGAAAGACGTGCCCAGACAGCGAAATGAACATTGAATATAGAAGGCAAAATAGACCAGAAGCGATCGACCTGGGAGTAGTTGCGGGTGATCTCGGAGAAAATGATAAAGAAGCCAGAAATAAAGATAGTAAAAGCAAGCGCAGTCGCAAAGGGGTTGGTCGCGAGATAGATTTCCTTGAGCGCATTTACATCTTTTGCTGCGATTGCAGGTTGGAGCTGTTCTGGGAGCGCAGCGACTTGCGACAGGAATGGTCGCACGGCATGGTTGAAGGAGACGCAGTCTGCGAGAGACTTGACTTCAGGTAGTGGAAGAGTCATTGTTTCAGATAGAGGCGCAGCAGCAGTGGCAGCAGAAGGCACTTGGCTGCGGAGAAAAGATTCCCACATGAGAAAAGCGATAGCAATAATTAAATGGTCAAGACACTGATGGAGGTGAACACAAACAAACAAGAAGTTCACAAAGAGCTTGAGCGGGGACCCACTAAACTATATTAGGAAGTTAGCTGTTGAAAGACGGTCCCGTGACTCGCGTCGTTTTCGCGTTTCTTCACGAGACAGACCGAACCGTAATACTGCATCTTGCAAATTGCCCCAACCAGAAAACGGATTGGACTATGAGGTCTGATACCAGGTAGTATTACTTATCGCCTGACCGGCTGCCATGGCCGTTACGAAAGTCTTGTGCGTGGCAGAAAAGCCTGCAATTGCCAAGGCTGTCGCTCTGCACCTATCTGGAGGTTCGATGCAAACTGTACGTGAATGAGCTCTGATGATAGGTGTTTGGACTGATTACAGAGCAGTTACATATTCCTGGGAACCAATATGTGAAGAACTATGTGTTCGATTTTAATTTCGGCGGTCAATTGGGCGACTGCGCTGTCACCATGACCAGCGTCCTAGGGCACTTGACAAGCTTGGAGTTTGAGCGCCAGTACAAGGGCTGGACGTCTTGTCCGCCGGCGATGCTGTTTGAAGCCCCGGTTTATATATCTGTGGATGATGTTTGTGAATTGAATATCAGTCAACGGTGGTGAATGCTAATCTTTAAACACAGGATAAAAAATCAATCGCAGATAACATCATGAAGCAAGCTAAATTCAATAAGTATTTGATAATTTGGACCGATTGTGATCGAGAAGGAGAGCATATTGGCACAGAGGTGCGTGATCAGGCGAAGGAAGGCAACCAGCGGATCATTGTCAGACGAGCAAAGTTCAATAATACTGAGCGAGCGTACGTGAACAGGACTTCTTCCCCCCCAACTTTGGGGTTTGCTAACTCGCAGAAAGTCACGTTATTAGTGCTGCAAGGTCCCTTATTGATCTTGATGAACGTCAGGCTAGCGCAGTAGCAGCGAGGATAGAGCTCGATCTCCGCATTGGGGCTGCATTTACTCGTCTTCTTACCCTTCAACTACAGAACCTCCATGAGAGTCTGGCACAGCATATAATAAGTTATGGTACACAGCTTCACTTCCTATAATTTGGATCAATAATTGGATCTAATAGATTTGGCATCCAACCAGGGTCTTGTCAATTCCCGACTCTAGGGTTCGTGGTTGATAGATATCTGCGCGTGAAACGATTCAAGCCGGAGACTTTCTGGGGAATTAAGGTCGTGCATATCCGAGATGACATCAAGGTAAACTTTCTTTGGAGTAGAGTCCATCTGTTCGACCGAGCCGCCGTGGTTATGATGCTCGAGCGCTGTTTGAAGGCAAAACAGGCCAAGGTCACCAAGGTGAATCAGAAACCGACGAGCAAATGGAGGCCTTTGCCATTGACAACCGTGGACCTGCAAATGATGGGTACAAGATACTTGCGCATGGACAGTTCAAAGGTCATGAAGGTAAATTGTTTATTGCGTAAAAGTACTATGTATCCAGCGAAGTTACTCATGCATCTCAGACAGCAGAAAATCTATATACTAGAGGTTTCATCAGTTATCCCCGTACAGAAACCGATCAGTTCGATAAGGGGATCGACCTAAAGAAACTGGTTGAGAAACAACTTGAAGACCCGAACTGGGGACAATATGCTCAAGGGTAGAGTAACATCCGCCGTTTATCTATATTACCTACTAAATGCTTTTAATCTCAGTCTTCTAGATGGCAATTTCAGGACTCCTCGAGTTGGTCGACACAATGACCAAGCACATCCGCCTATACATCCTGTTTGCTGGGTTAACCCCACCGTATTGAACGCTGATGAGAAAAAGGTGTACGAGTTTGTTGCCCGACGCTTTCTCGCCTGTTGCTCCGATGACGCCAAAGGACAGTCAACCGATGTTGAACTTCAATATGGAGACGAAACGTTCCACGCTAGAGGATTGATTGTATTGGAGAGAAATTATCTTGACGTTTATGTCTACGACAAGTGGGAAAGCACCCAACAGTTACCCAACTACCGAGTCGGCGAGATATTCGAACCTACGGAGGCCAACATTTTCGACGGCAAAACAACGCCTCCAAATTATTTGACGGAACCAGAGCTTATTGGCCTCATGGATGCCAACGGCATCGGCACAGATGCTACTATGGCTGAGCATATCGAGAAGATAAAAAAACGGTTCTACATCGGCGTCCATGCGCGCGGCGGAGGCCGAAACGCGGTCAAAGTACTTATTCCCACCCGCCTGGGCATCGCCTTGATCCTTGGCTATGACGATGTCTTCGCCGGTCTCGTAGACAGCCCATCCCTAAGCAAGCCCTTTCTGCGAAAGCAGATGGAAGTGGAAATGCGGGATGTTTGCGCTGGCACTAGGTTCCGGGGACACGTAGTCCAGCAGAATTTAGATATGTACCGGGAACTATTCATTCACACTCAAATGCGAATGAATATGCTTAAATCTGCGTTTCGGAGATATATCGTTGAAGAGGCCAATGTGTGAGCTACCCTATCCGCTCCCTTTCAGGCCGTCACACGATATTTTACTTTTCGACAAGTTCATGATCCCTGATGAAGGTGGTATGCGATAACAATGTCATTGAACTAATATTGCGCAATGTAAACATTTACTTGAGGAAGGGCCAACATTGAAAATAATGACTTGATATTGCAGCCACAGGACCATTTCTATCAGAAGATATTCCGCCACGAAGTTCATCTTCGTAAAGAGGGTTGGTTATATATGCTATTATAAAATCTTCTGGCATCCATGCCAACTCGAAGCGCATTTTCCTAGCTCTAGCGGCAAGAACTTGGACTTTCGATAGAGCAGCACCTTTCGGCCACGCCCTACAACCTATCTCGACTGACTTCGATTGAAGTCGTGTGGATCGTTATACATCGCATCGCTCCTCCTCTTGAAGGGTTTCTCGCTGCTTATTATTCTGCTTGACGCCTCTTCCTGCCTGAAAGATGAACTATGGTCTTTCTGACTGGGTTCGGTCATTTGTCGTTGAAAATGAGCCTGGCATGGAGTCGTACCCCAGCGAGCCTGTGTCCGAAAACCGAAACTGACACTGCATCTGTTGACCTTGAGTTTCAAACTTATTAATTAGCTTCCCCAGTTGTGGATCGTCTTTCTCGAAATGTCCTTTTTGCTTCTCGGCGGCGGATTCTTTCTCCTGTTTCTTGAGGATAGATTCTTTTTCTTGTCTCTCGTTGAGAGATTCTATCGAGGAACTCAGGCTATCGAACTTCGTCTCAATCTGTTTGTGTGTCTCATCAAGAGTGTCACAGTTTTCTTTCATCTTGTCAGCAGAATCCCTCATGTGTTTAATATGGCGGTTGATGCTACTTGATTTCGCTACAGTCGCTTCATCCTCTTCGGGTTCCCCAATTAAACCAAGGCCCTCGTTGTGAGTGCTATGAAGGAGAAGCTTCTCACCGGACTGTCCATCAAACTGCCCATCAATTGTCGACTGTCCCGTCCAAACGACAAAGAGCCAAACAAGGGTCGCAAAACAGATCATCATGATAACCACAAGCGCACATACTTGACCTGGTGGCAATTTCGGTGCTTTGTAAAATGGGTTTCCCCAAAAAGGCTTGACCTTGATCGGGGCTGTTGGCTTGACTGCGATGGTTTCGGGGTGAATGCTCGCCGTGGGCACCGTGTACTTGGGCGATTTTGATCTGAGGCTGGTAATGGGGATAAAAATCCTAGCCTCGCGAAGTTTCGAACAAAACGACCATGTCGATGCCACTGCACGATGATCCAGTTTGGGAACCGTTCGCCCTGACCATAGACAGAAGATATAGGCCAATGAAACTGGAGTCATCACTGTGACCAAGCCGCCAATGCGGCTCTCAGCAATAGCAAAACGATTCATTGTGTGTTGTAAGTAGACTTGGTAGAAGTAAAGTGTGAGTGAGAAGTTGAGATCGTAAGATCTGGAAATAATAATCGGATCGAAGTTGTAACTAGCTCGTAAAGTGCCATCAAGGGCGGGAAGCTCGAAATTATGAAGGTCTTTATATAACCACCCCTAGCAAATCGATATACCTTTTTGTGAAGCGAATTATAAGAAGCCTTTGTCTCTTTGTCACCATTGTCCATCCAGGCACTAGAAGCCTACAAGAATAATGACAAAATCATTCCAATGATCCGCAACACATAATGGATTGAGTTTCAATAACCAATCACACAAGAATGGATATGTACATGGCCTTATTTCAGCCGTCGCAGGGCTATTTCAAAAACCCTTTCAAGCCACTACTCAAGCTGCTTGCTAAGAACGACACCATAGAAGATAGTAGCGCCAATGGTGACCAGGTTAATCAAGCTGGACAATCCATGAAGGCGGCCAAACTTCTTGTTCAGAGCCATCATCTCCTTAGAGTGAGGAGGGGGGTCGTAGCTCTTCTTACCGTCGTGGGTTTCTATAATTGGCTCAGTAAGTATTTATCACGTTTCAATGCGGGGTATCCAGTTTAGAAACTGGGTACTACCAATTTACATACCCTGATGCTTCCTCTCCCGCATAGTATCAACGGTAAGCTTGCGCAGGACGGCAAAGTTTACTAAGCCAGTTACAAAGGCCGTCGCGAGTGGGAGAAGGACTTTGTATTGGTTTTCTGGCTCTAGCAGCCCGGAGACACCAAGGGTCTGGCCGCCACGAGAGGCAGTCAACCCGACTACGACCGGAAGAGCGGTCTGAAGAGCGAAGTAGGTAGGGAAGACCTTGGCTTGAAGAGCCGAAAACTGAGGGCGTGGGAGGGCGCGGAAGGCGATGATTCCAGATACAAAGCTCTACATAATTGTTGTTAGAGATATGTCTGTGTTCCTGAAAGGGTGGGATTCGGTAAAGTACCTGATAAAGCTGGACACCAAGGAGTGTGCCATAGCTTCAAACGCAAGTGTCAGTTGGTTGCTCGCGGCTTGAATAGGAGGACGGACCTTAGGATATGAAATGGGCGAGGGTCAAGCATTTTGAAGCAGGTGCTATGATGGCTCTCAACCAATGCTGAAGAGGTGCCTGATGAGTGTTGATGCACGAAGAAGAAGTCAAGCATTATGCGACGGCCGCTGTAATGATTGAGATGCGGGACCATCCGAGGCCCGGCGGCCTGTGGAACCAATAAACACGTCCATATATGCGGAAGTATTGTTATTTCCACTACTTTTAATCTATAATTTTATATTGACACGTATCTAAATTACATGCACGCACCTTTTAATGATGTCATGTGCCGTCGCGTTTAGGCCGTTCCCAATTTGGAAATATCGCGCGTCTGCCTGGACACCAGCTTGTCCATCGCCTGCTGCCTTTTGGCGGTCCCTTATCAGCAAATTCACCATCCGTTGTCTTTTTTTCAATTTATATCTGCCTCTCAAATCCATCATGGCGGAGAAGGAAGCAACGGTCTATATCGTGGACGTGGGAAAGTCCATGGACGAGCGCCGCAATGGCCGAGAGGTGACGGATCTCGAATGGGCCATGCAGTATATCTGGGACCGCATCACAACCACAGTAAATATTGCGAGTCTGCAAAAGAGAAATTTGTTGACTGGTACAGGTTTCTACTGGGCGCAAAACGGCGATGCTGGGCGTAATCGGCCTCAAAACTGATGGTAAGTCACACTACTTGCTGTCTATTCTTGTATACTAAGAGATCGGCAGGTACCTCCAACGAACTGCAAGATGAATCCCATTTCTCACATATCTCTGTTTTCTCGGAGATCAAGCAGTAAGTATTCTAGTTTCTTCCATCATCTCGCCAAATCCCTGACCAGATGCCTAGGTTTCTCATGCCTGATATTCGACAGCTGGCCGAGCAAATCAAACCAAGCAACGGCGACAAAGGGGATGGTATTTACCTCTTACCTTGAATGTTTTCCCGCGCTGATGAACCTAGCTATTTCCGCTCTTATATTGGCAATTCAAATGATCATCACCCACTGCAAGAAGCTGAAGTGGAAACGCAGGATTGTGCTCATCACTAATGGGATGGGGCGGATGAACAGTGAGAACCTTGGCGATATAGTATCGAAAGTTAAGGAAGACAATATCGAACTGGTAGTCCTGTGAGTTTTTTGCCTATTATTCTTCAGCAACGGCTCTAATCTATTGTAGGGGACCCGACTTTGACGATCCCGAATATGGCACTAAGGAAGAAGAAAAAAACTCTCGCAAGGTAGAGTTATGACCCCTTAACATATTTCGAGTCTAACGAGTTTTAGGTCGAGAACGAGGCGCTATTGAGGACCATCTCCGAGCAATGCGATGGGGTGTTTGGAACTCTTGAACAAGCAGTCTCAGAAATGGAGATTCCTCGCGTGAAGGCTGTTCGGCCAATTGCATCCTTCAAAGGCTTCCTGCAACTCGGTAATCCAGAGGAATATGACACTGCTGTTCGAATTCCTGTAGAAAGATACCCTAGAACAATGGTAGCGAAGCCCCCGTCGGCCAGCCATTTTGTTCTGCGCTCCGATCTAGCTGCCGAACAAGAAGGGCCCGAATCAGCGACTGCCGTTCCGGATACACAGCCCGAAGATGGAAGTGCTCTCACATCTGTGAGAAATTTGAGGACTTATCAAGTTAGCGATGAGAGTGCACCTGGTGGGAAGATCGATATTGAACGAGATGATTTGGCCAAGGGATACGAGTATGGACGTACAGCAGTACATATAAGTGAGACTGACGAGAATATCACAACACTTGAAACGACAGCAGCACTGGAGCTGGTTGGTTTCATCCAAAATGAGCGGGTACGTTCAACTCAGAGCTGTGGCGGACTTTGTGCCAGCTAACGACCGCAGTATGCTCGATATATGCACTTATCAAACACCAACATCATCATCTCTCAACGAGCCAACGATAAAGCCTCTCTGGCGCTGTCTTCTTTTATCCATGCTCTTTTCGAGCTAGAGAGCTATGCGGTTGCTCGTCTAGTCGCAAAAGAGAACAAGTCCCCTATTTTGGTTCTTCTCGCCCCTTCTATAGAGCCAGAATACGAGTGCCTCCTAGAGGTCCAGCTGCCATTCGCCGAAGATGTTCGAACATATCGTTTCCCACCTCTCGACAAGGTAATTACCGTATCTGGAAAAGTGATAACGCAGCATCGAAATCTCCCAAACGACGACCTTCTTGATGCCATGGACAAATACGTAGACAGTATGGAGCTGATGGACAAAGACGAGGATGGGTAAGCCTACATAGAAGTATCTACATGACGGACACGCATTGCTAATAAAAACAGGGACTTGGTCGATGCACATTTCCCGCTCGAAGATTCATTCTCGCCGATTTTACATCGCGTAAACGCCGCCATTCGATCCCGTGCCATACACCCCAAAGACCCCATTCCACCCCCCGCAAAGATTCTCACCCAGTTCTCGCAACCACCAGAACACGTACTTCGGAACGCAGAACGCCATCTCAAAAAGCTCATCGAGGTAGCCGATGTCAAAAAAGGTACACCATAAGCTCCCCTTTATAATTAGCCTATATTAACACACAATCAAGTACCACCCAAGGCCAAAGGCCGAAAGCGAGCCCGCGAGCCCGAGAAGCCCCTCTCCGGTCTCGATGTCGACGCTCTCCTTAACCAAGAAAAACGCGTCAAGATTTCACCGAACAACGCCATCCCGGAATTTAAACAGACTCTCGCACAGGCTGAGACTATCGAGACAACAAAGGATGCCGTGAAGCAGATGCGTTCAATCATCGAGGACCAGATAAGACATAGTTTCGGTGATGCAAATTACGACAGGGTCACTGAGGGCCTGGGTACCATCCGCGAGGAACTCATATCATACGAGGAGCCTAGTTTGTATAACGAATTTATGAAACAGCTCAAGGAGCAGATCCTGAAGGAGAAGCTGGGTGGAGACCGCCGGGAACTCTGGTGGTTGATTAAACGGAGTAAACTGGGCCTGATTGATCAAGGACAGTCAGAGCTTTCTGCTGTGACAGAGGAGGAAGCAAAGGCGTTCATGACGGCCCAATGAAGGATAAGATATGTATCACAATTATTCTAGATACCATGTGCTATTTATGAGAATGCGATACAGGCGATTTCTGATATCAGACAAATTTAACTCGCTAAAACGACACAGGAACCATGCAAATCGAAAAGGAACAAGGTGTGATAAAGAGGGCGTACAGCGTACCGCTAAACATATACTGAATGGGCTATGAGATCTTCCCCAGTCTCTTCTTTCCAACGTTGACCTTCTGTTCAAGCCTAAAGATAAGTTAGCACGCAATTCTATAGATAAGGCAGCAAGTAATACATACCTTGTTGCATCTTCATCCACCATCCTGAGCATCTCATTTTGCACCTCCAACTCTTCATTAATCTGAATCCCCAGCTCCTTCTGCCGCTGCACGATTTTCATCAATTCTCCTACGCTCATATCCTGATCCTGCATTATATCCTGCTGTAGTTGCAAGACGCCTTGGTTATCCAACTCGCGAGTCCGCTCCGTCTCTTTTCCAAGAACCCTCCCGGACTTTGCGGGTTTCCTCCCCGCGGCACTAGCACTCCCAACAAGCGCCTCTTTATCCTTGATCGACGCAACGGCATTATCCACCCTGCTCTTCGCCGCCATGGCATTCAATAAATCTTCGAGCCCATCTTTCTCCTTCCGAGCATTGATAAGAAGGTCCTTCCGCCGGCGGATCTCGCCTTCGCCAAGTGAACTAGAAGAGGCAAGACCGTGACGCCCATTGCCATTTCCATTCGTGCTGCTCTTGGATATTCTCTTCAATCCGTCCTCTAGAGCCGAAATCAGCGACCCCGCACGCACAAGAGAGCTCTTCGCCCGCGCCGAACTCTCATGCTGCCTCTGCGGTGTCGTCTCCTGGTCCCGTCTCGTAAGATGGAGTCTTACATCGTGCAGATGCGATTTCAGATCCCGGTAGCAGTCGAGCCATAATGTTGGGTCTGTGATCGGTTCTCCTCCTGTTCCGCCGGGACCTGTTGCTGCAGCGTGGAGACGAGTGGATGAAGCAGTGGTGCTGTCATTGTTCTTGGTGTTACTGGTACCTAGGCTGGGTAGATTTAGGAATGCGCGCCAGGCGGGGGAGTTGCGCCATCGGGGGTCAGATGCTTCGTTGATGGCGCGGAGGTAGGACTCGAGACCCTGGCGTCGGGATTCACGGAGGTCGGTGTTAGATACTGTGTTTGAAAACCAGGATTTGGCAGGAAGGGGATCAGGGGGTGCGCTATTTGTTTGAGACGTTAGGTTGGCGTGGAAGGCAGTGAAGTCGGAATAACGCTTTGAGATCGCGAAAGAGCGAAGCGGGAGGCGGAGGGTTATATTATAGATTGTGTGGGGAGGAGAAGTGGTTGAGGTTGTAGTTGTTGGGATTGATATTTCGAGTGCGGGGGCCATGGCGAGAGGTATAATGTATTGGAAGCTCGGGGGAGCTCCATGGATAAGAAATACCGGGAGAGGATGATGCGGAAGTTGGAGTTGGAGTCATGGGCGATAAGGCATAAGGCAGCTCCAGTCACCAGACTAAACCGGATCTGGACAAAACAATGACGCAGCACAGAATGGTCTGGGTGGGAGATGCGGAGTATATTATTTCTCTGTGTTCTCAGTGAAGAAATTAAAAAATTATGGACAGTCAAATATTTAGATAAACCTTGGTCCTCCCTCGCTCCATAATTCCCGTGCCTCTAACAAATCGCGCTGCCCATAGTGTTCTCCAATTATCGTGATGACCATATCCAACATTGCACGAGTCTGTGTCTCCACGTCAATATCGATACCTTCGTCCTCGAATTCAGCTTCAATTTCCTTGTCTTCTTGGGGTATTGGTTCGACACTAGTCGTTGCGATCCGCGCTTCGAGCCGTGCTTTTGCCTGCTCCAGTTCCTCCGCGCCAGTTCCCTTCTCCGTATCTGGTTGATCGGGGTCCGACATGACAGTATTTATAGGTTCATCCACATTCTCGTTTGTCAGATCATGCTCACCCCGATCATCATCAACGCCAGACTCGTAACCGTCCTCCTCTTCCTCCCCGTTTTGGACGTCCTGCTCCTCGCGAATCTTCTGCAAGATCCTCACAGCCCGTTTCCCCAGCTCCCGAATATCACCAATATCCCGAGCCCCAAGCTGTCCAGCATCTCGACATTTCCCTAAAAGTCCCCAAGCCCAGGCCCCAATGCGTCGAACTAGTATCGCATCCCCATTGCGCACATTCTCTGACATAAGTCGCGCCACGATCACCAGTACTCCCAGGACACTATCCATATCCATGCATGCCAGTTGCACTGTTTGAGGGTCAACCTGAAGCAGCAAGCGCCTCCACTCCTTCTGGGCATTTTTCGATGACCGGGGGAAGCTGATGGGGTGCTTGTCGTCAAGCGCGGAGATGGCTTCGGACGGCGGCGTGCATTTTAGAATCGATCGTAGGAGAAGGAACCGGTGGTGTAGGAGGTTGTAATAGCTAGCTTGCGCTTCCGAGAATGTCTCATCGACAATCGGGTTTGTTGTCGTCCGGCTGATGTAAACGCCATCGGAATAAAATCCTACTGGGATGCGCTTCGCAGTTGTAGTTTCCTCCTTTACAATTTCCTCTTGAAGAGCTTCATCTTGTTCTTCCGTTGCTATTTTCGTCACCTCAGTTGTTTCTGCCAACGGTTCCATCGCGACGGGTGCGTTGAAAAGGGTAGGTAGGGAGTTGGCTTCAGAACTAAAATCCAAAAATTCTAAGTCAGCTTAGAACCAACAAAAACATTCGACTCATCCAGAAAATGCTGATGCACATGAGGGGAAACGAGAAAGATGGGAAAGACAAACCTCGCTCCAGTCGCAAGCTAGACCAACCCAGAATGCAAACTTAGCAAGCACGTCACAACAAAAAACCCCAACTCAACAAAGTAAAGTAGGTAGTAGTAAAAGGAAAGTGCTTACCGGACCATTCTTAAATACTCTAATCCATCATCTGCCGGTCCATAAAAGAGCTCATCTCCACCGACGGTATCGAGGCCCGGAAAGGCGCTTTTCTGTCCGAACACGGGGTGGTTGCGAGGCCGCTCATACGGGGTCACTGAGTATTGTGTCTCGTCGTCGTCTTGATCATCTTCTGCGTACGAGGATCGGACACGCTTGGTATTTGGTGAGGATCCAGGGCCCGAGCTGGGGAAATTTCGTTTTTGTGGCATGCTAGGGTTGGAAATAAGAATGTATTGTGGTGGGTTGAAAGAGTTGCGCAGTCCGTGATGTCAGCTGGAGGGAGCTTTTGGAAGCTTTATTCGGACTAGCTTCCCACCCGCAGATCTCTTCTGGACTTAACGGTCTCGACTGACAACCTACATACATGCAAATTTAATACCCTTAAATACTTGGATACTCTTAATAGTGAAAATTCATTTGCAAATATGGACCTATAATGACATTTTCTCGTTTAAAGGTTTATACAGTGAATCGTTGAATATTCATTACTCTGTTTATCCTCTTTCTAAAATATCTGGAGTCATCGCTTAAGGGCGCAGACGCTGAGGGTCACGAGGGAAGAGAGTCGCCAACCGGACATTTGGCAGTCCGAGGAAGAACATGACGATACGGTTCAGGCCGAGTCCACCACCAGCGTGGGGAGGACAGCCCTGGCGGAAAGCAGCCAAATAGTCCTCGAAACCCTCGTGGTTGGGGTCGACGCCCTTTGCGATCATAGAGGCCTCCAGCTCCTTCACGTCGTGGATACGTTGAGCTCCCGACATGATTTCTTCACCGCGCATAAAGAAGTCATATGAGTTAGAGAATTTGGAGTCCTGCGGGCAAGACTTCGTATAGAAGGGACGAACAGCCATGGGGAATTTGTCCAGCACATAGAAATCGGTGTCGTACTTGTCGCGAATGATTTGGCCCAGTTGCTTCTCCATAGCCGTGGAGAAGTCATTCTCAAAACGCTCCTGCTCTGAAACATCCACACCCGCCTCCTTCAGAAGCGCCACACCGTCCATGTAGTTCAGACGCAGGGCCTTGCCGTCCTTGGGGAGTTTAAAGTCGCCTGCCTTGGGATAAGACTTTTGGATGATGGCGATCTTGTCACTGTATCGCTCCTTCAAACCAGAGAGAATGAAAACGAGAAGGTCCTCAGCAAATTCCAAAACTTCGTGATAGTGGGAACGGAAAGTCTTCTCGAAATCGAGACCCGTGAACTAAAAGTAGATTATGGTCAGCTTCGTCGGAGGGAGTCATGGTCCTAGGAATGGACATACCTCAGTCAGGTGGCGATGAGTGTTGCTATCTTCGGCACGGAACACAGGTGCAATCTCGAAGACATTCTCCATGTCTCCAGCAATGCACATCTGCTTGTACAGCTGAGGGCTTTGCGCCAGATATGCGTTTCTCTTGAAGTATTTGACCTCAAAAACACCGCTGCCACCTTCTGTAGCAGCACCCACAAGCTTCGGTGTAGAGATCCATCGAGAGCCGCTCTTGATCATGTACTCCGCGAAAAGCTCTGCAACACCGCTAGAAATCCAGGTAATAGCCTGGCTGGTCGCTGTTTGAAGGTCGAGAACACGGTTGTCAAGACGGGTCTTAAGAGTGACGATAGGGGCACCGTCAGCGTCAACCTGGAAACCCTCCTCAGTAGCCTCCGGAAGTGGTCGCTCCGCATCCTTAACCTGCATGGGAAGCTGCTGGGATGCTTCGGCAATCATGTAAACCTTGCGGATGTGAACTTCATGGTTGCTCAAAGTCGCAGAAGCAATGGGAACACCGGGTTTCTTGACAACACCAGTAACCTGAACAATGGAGTTGACATTGAGCCCACCAGTGTATTTTATCATCTGTCGTGAGATGGGCTCCGCCGCAGCAATGACAGCCTGCAGCTTCAGACCCTGCTGTCGGAGCATCAAGAATGCCAACTTGGCACTCTGAACGCGGGCATTATCCACACGGGCGACCACTGTGATCTCCTGCTCGTAATGTTCGTCGCCAATCTGGGAGAGTTGCGTGCTAGGAAGGACGTCTTCGGACTCGGGAATGGCGCCGTATAGATGCTTTGCGGTGTCGTTGGCCTCAGCTGCCGCAGCCTGGGCCTGGTCTTGGGCAGCTCGCTGCGCAGCCTTCTCTGCTTTTGCCTTATCTTTTGCAAGCTTCTTCAGCGCGCTCTTGCTCAGCTTGCCGTCTCCGCCCTCGGCGCCTTCAGCACCCTCCGCAGCGGGGGTTTCCTTGGGGCGAGTGGGCAATTCGGAATCCGCCATGATTGCTTCGGAAGGGTTAATAAAGCAGTAGATGGCCCGGGAAATATGGCGAAATATCAAGAATGTTGGAACTTTGAGTCACTTCCTCGGCGCTTCAACTTCTCGTTGACTCAACGTAACAGCTCTTCAGATCACCCCGCCGGGCGGACCAAGCCCTAAGCCCTATGAGGGGCTTTCACGTGACAATATGGCCTGAGGCAGCTTGTATCTATATATGGTTATCACCCATTTACAGAGCGAATATAAACGACATTACGCCATGGCCATAGTATAAGCATTAAAACATTGACGCTCCAGAATGTTGGAAGTTAAAATATAAGTATTTGAATTACCTCGGCAGTCTGCGACGTGCCATCTTCTGTATACATGCAGAAGGCTGAAAAACTGGTCAAGATTATACACGACATGCAGTATGGTCACAGACAACCTGAATCTACCGGGCCTGCCAGCCTGAGTGTTGCAAGCCCCATTCAACGGCCTTTTGGACGTTGTCGGCAATAGTTTTTGGAGCCCATGCAGGTTCGCCACCAAGATATACTCCAGTTCGCACAAGAATAGAGTGCCACTTGCTATCATGCGCACTCCGGTATGAGTTAGCTCCGCGGATATCTGATTCTGGGTTGTCTCCAACCATGTAAACATTTCGCAAAGGTTTCGCTGTTTCCAAGCCAAATGCCCTGGCGCGATTCCGCAAGAGCTGGTTTTCTGCGAATTCATATGTCCCTTGCGAAGGCTTGCCAATGACTGTCTTTTGTAGCTCAACGCCCTTACTGGGCCCACCGGTAATTGCACTCCATGTGCCTTCCAGTGCCTCGCGAAAGCCGCCCTGGCCCAAACGCGGGAGGCTATAGGCTGCGGCCCACCAGAGATCGGGATTCGAAAAATAAAGAGGCGGCTGGCCATCCTGCTGATATCCGCGGTTCGGGAGGTTGGTGAGGCCATTCTTCTCCGATAGTGTCCCTAAGATTCCCTGTGACGAGAGCAGAAGGTCGACGATGACATGGGCGTCCAGCGCCCAGTCTCTCGGATCATTAAAGACGAGAATGGCATCAATCTTGAGGCCCTTAATCGGATCGGTTGGTTCTCCCTTATGGGACAGGGGTTTCGTAAAGGTCTTGTAGTAGTCGCTGAATCCTTTGGAGAAGGGCCAGATTGATGGATTGGCCATGAAGATGTCCCCAGGCGTTACAACATCCCTGAACCCATACCTCTCTGCTACCTGACGACAGCCGTTTCCATCTCCGCCAACTACCAGCACGCGCTTATTCTCCAAGGGGGGTTGCGTCTCCGTCCCGCGTACCATCTCAGCAAAAGGCGAATGGCTCTGAACAATCACATCTGCATCCAATGGAATCTGAAGCTTCTCGCTGATTTCAGCAACGCGCTCTGTTTCATGTTTTCCACCTCCGTTTGTCAAAAGGATAAATGGTATTCCCTCTTTCTTAAGGAGCGACAGTGATTCGGCGGCTCCGGGTATGGGCTTCGAAGATCGGAGGAGGACGCCATCGATGCTGTAAAATGCATTAGTCAAGCCAAAACTAACAATAGGGATGAATTGACTACACTGTATCACCCAACTTACTCGAAAGCAAATGCAAAATCCGGTACTCGCGGTGCAGAGCTGAGATTCCGAATACTTCGGCGCCCTGGACCGGCGGGGATAAAGGCGCGGCTATAAGAGCGTTGGGCCAATCCCAGGGACCGCCAGAGGCCCTGGGGACGCATGTCTAGTTTATGAAAGCAAAAAGAGTGGTTGAAAAAGGGAGCAGGTAAGAGAAGAAAGGAGGGAAGGGAGTCGTGGTCTTGAGAGCAAGAGAATGGGGAGGTTGGAGTTATCAGGAGGGAAACGGCGAGTCATCGGAGCAACGCCGCATTGGAAGACCAAATGATATCATCCCCACACCTATTTCAATCTTCCTTTTTCCTCCTCACACCGAACAACAACCCCATCTGAACGGATTATAATGGAAGCTCCTCCGCCACTCTCCCGCAATGACCTCTGCACCGCCTATCCATCTCCCCACGGAAATCGTCGTTCAGATTTTGAACGAGGTCGCCGCCGATGAGTTTGCCCGCCAGAAAACACTCCACGCCTGCTCTCTGGTCTCGCGGCAGTGGTACACCTGCGCAGTTGCTCTTCTCTGGGAAAAACCACGGATAGATTCTGGCCCAAGTTTCACGAAATTCGCAAATACAATTAGTCCCCCGATTGGAGTGCGGAAGAGCAAATGGAATCTCGGAGCCCTGGTCCGCAAGCTTGATCTGAGCTCACTTGTCCATCACAGCTCTCCTAGCCTGACTGCAAGGCTTCTCGGCCGGGTGAAGGAGAATCTGGAGATTTTCCTTGCTCCTAGGATTTCTTTTGCGGTGAACAGCCTTCCGGCAATTGCAAAATGCTCTAAACTCCGTTACCTAGACCTTTCTCTCGTCGCCACATCCATTCCCTTTAGTGATCTGAAGAGGAGTTTAAGTAACCTCTCCAACCTCCAAACCCTTCGGCTCCCCCAATCTACCTCTATCACGGATTCCGACTCATGCGGAATCCCATGGCCACCTCACCTTCGCCGTATGCAGTTCAGCGGCTACTTCTCCGCCGATTCCATCCGGTCATTCCGCTGGCCAACGTCCCTTACAACCCTTACCCTCAAAAACTGCTCTGATCTTTCACTCCCAAACCTTAGCAGTCTTATGTGCAGTCCAGACCTTAGCCGCAGCCTGAGACGTCTTACTATATCCGGTTTGAACCGGCGTTTAAGTCCGGAATCAATCACCTCTATACTGGCTTTAATACCAGCCCTATCATTTCTCAGCATTCCTGGTGATATGGTAGACCACACGTTTCTCGATTTGCTTTGCCATATCGGTATTCCCACTTTGGAAATACTTGAATTTGGTTATCCTAATATAGACCCAACAATGTACTTCGCTACGGAGGGCTTAACAAAAGCCCTCGAATTCGGTCTTCCAAAAGTATACGCCGTGGGCTTTGCCGAAGTATTTGTTTCCGATGATGGTCTATTGAATGATGACGTGGTTGATGATTTCTTGCTCAATCGCGCAGAAACTGCCAAGTCACTTCCAGGCCCGCCTGGCGTTTATTATATATGAGCGCCGTGGGGAGCATTTGACCTCTGGTGGAAACAATAACTTCCCGCGCAGAGTGGGAATGGGCCCACAATGTTCCTAGCCTGGTGTTAGGATGGGTCTTGGTTGCATGTTGCATGTTATTGCCCGACCGCAGGGTTTTGATGCATATATTTTGGTTCAGCGTGTATATGTTTTGTTCCTTGCCTTCATCCATGAACTTACGAGATACGAGAATAGAAACAACAAAAATCCAGAGAGGGAAGGGGATTGTGCTGACCTAGCTTGATCTAACTTGATGAGCACTAGAGCTAACCGTACTTGAGAAAGCCGTGATCTTATCTAGAAATGGCAGTGATACAGCAAGCATATAAACAACCTGCTAAATCCTACGGTTCAACATTCAATACGTAGCAGCATATATAGCGATATTACTATGACAACATGGGCACATGTGGATATATGGTGTACAACTGGGCGCTACGCCCGGCCGTTAACAGAAGCAAAAAAGGGACATGACGGAAAGAAATAATATTTTATTTGCCAAAATGCAATCATCAGAGTAGGACACAGGAGCGTGCGGAAAGTGAAAGGAAAGGAAAAGGGGAAAATCAATGGGTTTAGACGCCTACACAAATCATTCATCGCATCTAACTCAACACCTGCATTAGAGGGCGAAAGTGTAAAAAGGGTAAAAGAAAAATTGAAAACAGGTCTGATTTCATTATGCAAGACTCGTCGCCGCCTGAATATACCTTCCGCAAAATCACAAGTTACACAATGCAACCGGCTCATGCCAAAGAAGCAATCACAGCAGCCGCCACGCCCTCTTCTTCGGCACGCACTGTGAGTTTGGTCGTCACTCCGGTCTTGCTAGAGTATGCCATCTTGATGAGGGCGGCGACTCGGCCTCCTAACACTGTCTTTCCGAATAATTTCAGGGTATGCGTGCTGTTGCTGAGGGCGACGTCGGTTCCCTCGAGGGGTTGGAGGGAGAGTGCGGAAATTAATTGCTCGGTTGCATCTGTAGCTTAGTTAGTATAGATTTTTTTTTTTTTTTTTTTTTTGTGTCACGTACCTGTAATTCCCTTCAGATTGCTGAGCTGGAGAGTCTCGCTGACTTCCTCGCCATTGGCACCTGTCTGCTCCCAGACGTGGTCGAAGCTGCCAGCAAATGTGGGGATCACATAGTCGCTGCCTGCTAGTTCGAGATCATTGACTTGGTATTCATCCTCGTATCCACTGTCTTCTGGATCCCCGGTCGTAGGGTCGATTTCTTTGCTGGTGAACTTGAGGTTGTTTGTAAATGACACGACAGGGACGCTCTGTTCACCCTCAAGTTTCTTAAATGTGACATATACGACACCGGGCTCGTTGGCATTCAGTTTGGGCGCAGGAACAATGAACTCTTCCTCGAGGACATCCTCTTCTGATGGCGTTGCAACCACAGTAACATCTTCCAAAACAGTGTCCGGAAGGGTGTTTTTGATATCGTACTGCAAAACAATATGCTCCTTGAAAATGTGCTTCACAGCAGTAACAACATACTCTGTCTCGCTCTCGCTGAGTTCGACGGGAACAGAAGACTTGAGTAATGCTCCGTATGCCTTGAGCTCGGGGATTTGCATAAGCTGCTCTGCATACTTCTGAGTAGCCGCTGCGGTGGCAGCCTCGGCAACACCATTTGCCTTGGCACCCTTGGGGGGGCCAGTTGAGGGAGCCTTGAGTGTCGGCGTAGCACTCGTAAGCTTCTTGGTCCGCTCTTCAGCCAACGCTTGTTCCTGGGAAACGACGGGGATCGTAGACACATCGAACGCCGCAGCAAAAGTTTCTTTGTCGCCAGATGTCACATACATAACAAGCTGGTGCTCGAAGGTCGAAAGCGAGTACATCGATTCTAGTTCCGTAAGTAAAGGAAGAAATAAACAATAAAAGCGGTTGAAAATAGGTGACAAATATAAGGAGCTTACCGTTTTTAATGAAAATATCGGCCATTTCATCCTCTTCGGCCATCAACCGGAGGTTAAGAGCAGCACGGTCACGGACCTCGTCATCGGTATCGTCAAGGCAGCGCGTTAGGAGAACAGAAACGCTAGACTTCACCTCAGGATCCTTCTGGCCAACACCAAACTTGGCAAGAGCTGTGACAGCAGAAGCACGGACAATGGCATTTTCGAGAACCACTCGGTTGTAGATGTATCGAATGTACTTTGTGGGCTGCGACGTCTTCGGACCCTCAACACCCAGGAGATGCAGAACTCTAACGGACAGTTTGGTGAACTCGCAGTCCTCGATAAATTCACAAAGGTGGGCGAGGGCTGGTATAGGTTAGCATGTAAAAAAAAAGACAATATAGGGAGAACCACATACCTTCTTCCTTGCTATCAGGAACAAACTTGATGAGGTCGAACATGCTCTCAACAACGCTCCGCTTGAATTCATAGCCACCCTCATCCCGCAGGATGCCGCTGAGGAATGAAAGCATGCCGGCCTGCTTACTTGGGAACTTCAAGCAAAGGGTTCGGATGGCCTCAACAATGGTGATCTTGAACTCATCCGTGATCTCGGCCATGAAACCGGAAATCTGCTTCATCAGACGGTCAACGCTAGTTTCATTGCCGGTCTTCAGAAGGGTGGTAATAGCGAAAGTGGCAATAGAGCGATTGGTATTCGAGATCAATGACTCGATGTCTGGATTACAAACGTTCACCACATGGGGTTTGAATGACGCAAATCGGTGAAGGATGCGGATCGCTGCAAACTTGGTGATAGCACGAGGCGAAGAGAGGAACAGCTGAAGAACATGCACAGCCTGTGAAGCCTCCGCGTCACTGACATCTCTGATGTCGCAGATCGCCTTCGCGGCCTCGAAGTTTACCATCTCGTGCTTGTGCCGGAGCCATCCATCAAGCATCTGCATCATAGGCTTTCTTAACCCGGTATCTTCCTCGGCCAATTTCGCGGCCAGGCGCACGAGAAGAACAAGTGCGGCGGGACTCTTCACGACCCCTGCAGCGCCATACTGTTGGACCATCTTGACAAGAGCCATACGGTCATGAGAGCGCATCTGGTATAGGAGCCCAATTGCATGATACTGGGTCATGAAATTCGACTGCGAGATGGCGTGAGTCTGGTTGCTCCCACCAAATCCAAGGAAACCGGTCGATTGTTTTGACGATGAAGCCGCTTCCTGCGTCTCACTTTGCCATCTTCGGACCACGTCACGCGCAATTGGGAGGAGGTGATATGAGGAAACGAGGGCCGCGGAGGATACCGAAGGGGTCTTGTCAACGATGGCGGTTTTGATCAATCGTTCAATGCCTTGCACGGTAGTAGCCTGTCCAGACGTCAGAAATGTTAATTAGTGGCTTCAAGAGACTCACATCGATAATGCGGCATAGAGCCCGGATGGCATTGGCTCGATACAGGACATCACTTCCAACGGCGGTATCCTTCATAATAATACTCGTAGACATGATGACATCTTCGGCCGTGTTTGCAAGCTCCTTCAGAATGAGATATACCATCTGCCGTAACGAGGGATCCTTGTTCTGAAACAACTTCGAGATACCGAAGAAAAGAGTGGTCGCTTCGTTTGTCGGGAACTGCTCGCCGGTAAAGACGAGGACGGCGATCTTGGTCAGGAGGGTGCGGCATTGTCGAGGGGATATCGGTGATGTATTAAAAAGCCGTGCTATCGTAGAGGAAGAAGTCCGTCAGTAAAAGGGTCTCCAGGCCTTGCTACAGCTCCGGCTGGGGAGCGGTGTCTCACCATCTTGGAAAACAGACGTCCGATCCAGCTTGATCATAGTCTGGTCGGCGTCCTCATCCTTTTTCATGTAACTCATAGTGCTGGCTCGCAGCGATCGCAGCAGAGAGAATCCTCTCTACCTTGCTCTCTGTCTTGAAAGTAAGGTGCTTGCGGGGAGGCGTCAGGGTCAACGAGGGGGAAACCCAATTGATGCGGACTCAGGAGTTGGAATTCGTAGTTCGGTGCGTAACAGGGAATGTGTGAGAGGTAATCAGGTCCTCATTATCCCGTGGGAAACGGAGGAGAAGGAACCAGAAGGAATTGCTGCAAAGGTGACCGGCCCGGACAGACAACAACAGCTTAAGTTGGCTCCGACTTTCAAGTTCCGTCTAGCAATCTCCAGGTGGCCTTCTGGCTGCCGCCTCTTGTGGGTGCCCAGCCACGACCTGTGGCTAAATAAACAAACGCTGCAAACGTGCACCAATGTACCTGCCTGAGGTATCCAGGCACTCCTACCCGCTCGAGGTCCAGATCTTCGAGACTTCAATGTCTATTCATCCGTGTCTTTTGCATTCAATCTCAGGTGATAGATGTGGCTTGTTATTATAGACTAATACTATGGATTCCAATTTCACTACCGATTCATCACTATGGCAAACTGAAGGCAGGATTGATAAATTTCAAATTCTTACCCTGGGATGAATGGACTATTCATGCAGACATAGCAACATTACATTAGTATGCACATCAAAAGTCAAACCTTTCACAATAAAATAATGCGCATAATGATGTTATTGTCCTGCCGCGTAGATAGATTTATTGGGCTGGGCTCTTCATGATGGACCTGTTAGACTACACCTACTTAGGGCCAGGCTATGGTAACAGTAAACTGTCTGCACTCTATAGTTCAGGCTAAGATGGAGTCTGCAGGCTAGCAAACTACTTGAGCCAAAGAATTATCCAGAAATCAAATATCCAGAACACACCTGTGACAAATGACAGGACAAGTCCATCGTGGACAGTAAGGGAGCATTGCAACCAGCAGTGGGAGTTGTGCTCCTCCGCCTTTCGTCCCTCCCGCCCTGCGCAACAAAAGCCAACCAAATCGAACTCTCTTCCTCCCTCGTTTCTTCCTCCACCTTCTCGCTCCTCTCCTCCCCATCGCCAAAACACCTCCACATCCACATCCTCTTCATCTCTTTCCCCGTGTATTTCCCCTTCTTCCTTCTCTCTCCTCCTCCCTTCAACCTCTCTCTTCTACCCCCTCCTCTAAAATCCTCTTCTCTTTTTGTCCCTTGCCATTCTTCTCAACCTCCACCTTCCCCCGCCCGCCGAAACCCCTCTGGATTCGCCCCCCATCCTCGCAGATTTCTCGACCGCGAACTCGTTCTCTGTCTAATCTCTTCATAATTCTCCCTGATCTACTATCTCTTCGACTCAACCTGTAAGTCTCGCTTGTTCGCTGCCCTTTTTTCGGAAGTCTTTTTGGTAGGCATAATAGTGGGACTGAGTTCTCGAACGCCATTTCCATTTGATGCTCGCGAAACAAGCATACAGTCAGCATACTCGTGTACCCTGATCCCTCGCTAACCTTTCAGTACAGCACGATTGTCTGCTTCTCGACTTGTCCTTCTATTCACTATCTTTCCGACTCGAAACCATGGACTCGACCGAGATTCACGATACCCCCATCGCGGACGAGACGATGACCGATGTCAACGTCGGCGACGATGGCGACTTGGAAATCATACCCAAGACCGAAGAAGAGTATGCGCAGTCCATGCTTACTCTTCGCGCCATTGTTTCGTCCAAGGAAGCTGGCGTCATCATCGGCAAGGCGGGTAAGAACGTCGCCGATTTGCGTGATGAGACCGGTGTCAAAGCTGGCGTCAGCAAGGTAGTTCCCGGCGTTCATGATCGCGTTTTGACTGTGACCGGTGCCTTGAACGGCACCGCTAGGGCCTATGCACTCGTCGCCAAGGGGTTGCTGGAAGGCGCCCCGCAGATGGGCATGGGAGGAATCGTCTCCAACAATGGCACCCATCGTAAGTTCTATTTGAAACCTAGATTTTCCGGACTTTGTTTTTGAGCGTGTACTTACCGAGGTTAGCTATTCGACTGTTGATTTCGCACAACCAAATGGGTACTATCATTGGGCGACAGGGATTGAAAATCAAGCACATCCAGGACGCTTCAGGTGTACGTATGGTGGCACAGAAGGAGATGCTTCCTCAATCTACCGAGCGCATTGTTGAAGTGCAGGGCACCCCAGAAGGAATCGAAAAGGCCATCTGGGAGATCGGGAAGTGCCTTATCGATGACTGGCAACGTGGAACCGGCACGATTCTGTACAACCCCGCTGTCCGCTCATCGGTCGGCAGTGGTTCGATCCAGCATAACGGAGGCAATGGCGACAACTACAACAGCCGGCCGTACAACCGTACTGGTAACGGCGCTGATTTTAGTGACCAGTCCGGCGGATATGGTAGACGGTCGAACTCTGATGCTGGAAGCCGTGGTTACCCCCTCGTCACCGAGGATGGCGAGGAGATTCAGACGCAGAACATCAGCATTCCAGCTGATATGGTTGGATGCATCATCGGCAGGGGTGGAACCAAGATTACTGAGATCCGTCGGAGTTCTGGAGCCCGTATCTCGATTGCCAAAGCACCCCATGACGAAACTGGAGAACGCATGTTCACCATCATGGGAAGCGCTCAAGCTAACGAGAAGGCGCTCTATCTTCTCTATGAGAACCTTGAGGCTGAAAAGACCCGCCGCAGTCAGCTACAGGAATGATTTGCTTGTTGACTTGAACGAATGTCCACGATCGACCGATTACGCCATTCACAAAAGACTCTTTCTTCGTTATCAAAAATACCAGAGTCGCTTCAATTTCCTCCTTTCCTAATAACTCTGCCTGTTAACCTCCCTATGTTTCCTCTTTAATATGTCTTCTATTGTGCAGTTTCTCTGGTCTACCAGAATCAAGTATGTGCCGGGGAATTTGCATCATGTAAGAAAGTTCCACAGCTATCCGATCTGCTCCATTAAATTGGACTTGAACTGGTGGGACAGACAAGATGTCAACATGATGCAAATCTTTATCAGAGTATCTCCTCAGTTACTCTAGCCTCTTTCAAAACAAGGGGATGCTTGACTTGTCCGCTGCCTTTGGCCCTCCCTTATCATCATCTTACTCCGATCACCTGTTTTCTCCCTATCAGAATCTGTCCTTTTCCCTTGTTCACCTGTTATCTCCATCTCCTGAAACAATCATGATTCCAAATTGACGAACCTGACTTCAATATCTTTATTCCGTCTACCCCACATTTCCCTTTTCCTCCAATGTGGCACATCTATATCTCTTAAAATGTTTGCACTACGACCGCCCCATGGAGCCAGTGCCAACTTTTCATCCGATTTTCCTTGAATTATCACTTCTAGCGGGAGCCTTTTATCATGTATAGTGATACGAAGAACATCAGTGGACACAAAAGAAGCTAGGGAGGGAAGACTGGAAGAAGCATGTCGAACAAGTTACGTGGGATTCGACAGGCAGACGGCCGCCAGTATCCAAAACCAATGATTATAACCTATCTTCGCCAACTCTTCTCTATTATAGTATACCTGTAGTGTTTGTGTATTTCGATGATGCAGGATTAAAATCAGGTTGCAACACTACTAGTTGAGCATTCTCGAGATCATACTTGTCAACTGATCGCAATAATTTCCGATTTGGACTACGGGACTCATGTCTACGGTATTCTGATGTATATATGTATATATATATATTTCCTTGACCAAACAATTAAGCTTGAGAGCGCCACAAGGATACTTAAAACCCCATCCAACCCTTACGATAAACCAAGCATGCCGGGCAAAGATTGGGCAAGTTGATTTAAAAAAAATCCAAGCAGTACTTAACCACCTGGTATTCATGTACGCACCCATAGCACGCGTATTCGTATAGTAGCGTCAAGGACCGAAAACTTGAGAGAAAGACAGCATTAATTCATTCGTACAAATCAATTAATCATGAATCTATGGATGAGCGAAAAAAAAAAAGCAAACATAAATGCATCAATAAGATAATATATGTACATATGTACTCCGTAGTAAAAAGCCACACCTTCAAGATCATGCTCAGGAGTGCCTCGTACCTAGTTAAAACGAAGCAAACAAGTAAACAGGGATCAAAACACCTGAAGAACATCTAAAACACGTATAAACAAAGCAGCATACAAACAGACAGACAGACAGATAATAGAAAAACAGGAAGAAGACAAATTCAACTCAAAAAGGGTAAAAAAAACAATAACGTTGTGATCTTCTTTTGAAGAAAGCCACCTAGGTAGAGATGATATGATGATGTGATGCCATTGCCATGCCAGTTTTCGCTCAAACGGAATCAACTTCGTATAATACGTATCATATCCAAGTTATGCCATGCATGCGTGCTCAAATCCGATTTAATTCAAGTTAGGTCAGGTCAGGTCAGGTAATAATGCCATTGCTCAGATCTCGTCGTAAAGATAGTTGTTGTATGTCTCACAAGCAAGCATGTGTGTATGTATGTATGTATGTATCCCGGCGCGAAGAGAAGAAAAGCAAAATCATTAGTTTGCGAAAGCGCAAGGTGTGAGAAACGCCGGCTGAAAAATTGTATTGTATCCAAATGATATCGCTGTGTTATTGAATAGTGAGAATTGTCGTGTTCCCGAGGTCCAGCGGAAAGGAAGAATTGAAGAAGTGAATTTATGACGGTATCGACAGTCAGTCAATGCTGTCGTTGAAGGATTTGGATTGTTTTGTGTCAGCTGTTGACGTCGGTCGTGGCCTGAGGCCTAGTCGTCGACCCCCTAGGCTGTTTGTTCTGAATCGATTTTGCGATATAGGCGTGTAGCTAGAGGCTAGCTTGCTCGAGGGCGCAACTATTTTTGTCTGGGGAGTCTGCTGGCGCGGTGAGAGTGGCGTGTCATCCGCAGGACCTTCAGCGTCGGATGGTAAACCGTAGCGACGAGACCCGGCTTGTATATTCGCGCGAGGGATCGCCGGTGTGTATGTCGACGGGGCCATCAAACCTCGGCGCATAGGTATGGCGGACTGTGAGGTTGTTGGGGTGCGGGGTTGAGAAGGCTGCTGAGAGTCGGATATCGGCCGTGACCCTTGGTATCCAAAAGAGTTCTGCTGTCGTGGTGAAGGGATTTGTGTTGAAGAGGCTTGCCCAATATCTGTCATACTTCTAGATATTGTGCGGCTGTGAGGGCTTCGATATTCAGAAGACTCGTCATCCTGCAACCTCTTTGATCGCATAGAAATTGACAATCGGCTCATCCGACTTCCTGTGGCTGGAGATTTCGGTGACTGCGCGAGCTTATGGTTTTGGTTAGAGTTATCAGGCGATGAATACTGCTCGCCATGGTTCGCGAGACTTGCGCGGCGAGACTCAAGCCGACTTGCTGTACGAGGACCGCCGCTTTGTCGCCTAGATATCTCATCCGGCTCTTGACTCAAGCTCTTCCGGTATGGGTTCGTTGTTGGAGTTATTGTTCCTTCATCGGTATTGTTCGATTGAGACATTCGTAATGTTGATTCTCCCGGAGAGGACAGCTGGTTGGCATGCTGTTCATCCGATAGCGCAAGACACAGTTCTGTTAGACTGCGACAGACACTGTCGGCTTTGCGTCGGGATTGCCTCTCTGAAGAGCCGTATCCATTGACTATAGAAACGTTCCCAGAGGGGGTTTTTCCAGTTCCCAAAAGTTGTGAAAGGGACATTGCATCCGTTGCCGTGGCCTCTAATGCCGTGTATACCTCTTTGTTGAGAACGCTCCTCACCTTGACCAAGGCCGATTGTAAAAGTGGATGAACTGAATTTGAAGCAGTAATAGTATCGGATTCACCAGAGAAACTTGTTCTTCGGTGGCGTGGAGAGGAGGACATAGTCGTTACGGTTGTTGTTGCTGTGCGCGGTCGCTCTCCGGAAGCGGAGGAGAGCATGGCTTCCTGAGACGAGGGCGGGAGCTTCCCGGTCAACTCTAATTTCTTAATCCGCGACTTGAGATCCTCCAGCTCATCCCAGACGGTAGAGGGCGCAGTAGTCGAGAGGGTCGATTCAGTTCCATCTTGTCGGGCCCGATCGTTGTCATAGCGCGGCTTTTCGGTGACTTCAGAGCCCGAAACCTGTCGACTGCCTCGAATACTAGAGAGTGTAGAATGGCGGAAGGAGCGCGAATCATGAAGAGAGGATCTTCGCTCTGAGTTGGATTCATTTTCAGGGCTGGTGCGACTTAGACGACTGCGAGGAACCCCGACCGTTGAGCGCGAGCTAGACGCAAAATTTGTCTGCGGAGATCGGCCTGTTTCATCCAGAGGGTGGGCGGAGGCGGAATACGAATAAGGTAAAGAGCTGTATCGTGTGGAAGGAGAACCGTTTTGTTGCGAGTTATGATGCAAGGGGCTTTCAAAGGTATTTGAGCGAGATAATTGTTCGGGCGACGGTGTCAGGTCACTACTGACGCGAGAGATGGAAGAGCGAAATCCATTACCGGACATCCTCAGTCGCGACTACAAAAAAACGAAGAACACAATCTCTGGTCAGCTCACAAAACCATCCACTCAATTGAATAGTTCGGGAAGAAGTCTAATCAACTCCCAGAACCAAGAATTTGCTCACTTACCCGTCTGAAATCAGAGCGACCCAAGGACTCGCGATGACCTGAGTCCGACCTCGCAATGTTCAAGAAAATGTCTTCATTTTTAGACCGAGACTCATCGGCAATTGAGGATCGGAAGCCATCTCGTTGGCTGTACCTCTCTATTCCTTTCGCGGGAGTACCATTCTCGTCGGCATACGAGCGCCCCTGAGTGAAGGTCGCAGTGGACGATGGCATTCTCCTCTTCACATCCGGGGGTGACAGTTGGGAGTATAATGTTGATTTGCGACGCTTCGCTGCATTGGGACTCAGAACGCGAACAGTTGGGCCAGCGTCCAAGGAGAGCGCAGAACTACACTCCTGCGCTGTGGCGGGCTCAACAACAGGATCTGGCAGAGATTCTGAAGCAGGCTGTATTTCAAGGTCGGAAGAACGGAATTCTGGGACGGATTTTCGGTGTTTGTTATATAAAGAGGAGCGCTTGGGTGAAGAAACGGGGTCCGGGGCTGCTGTGCTGTGGTCGATGCTGGCAGACTTGAGGTGCGAGGTCAGGGCGATCTTGCGGAGAGGGGATTGGACCTCGAAACTGAAGCGGCTTTGGGGGAGCCGGGGAATATTGGGCAGAGACGGAGGATGGTGAAGGCGCGACGGCGATGGAGACGAAGGGGAGAGAGGCGAAGAGATCGGCTGAGGACGACTGGCGACGACGGACGGTGATGGCGCCGTTGAAGTGGTGGTGCCGGCGAATGTTAGCGCGCCAGCTTTCCCCGTGTCACGGGGATCTCCCGAAATAGTCAATCTTCGTTCGATCGCAGCAGACCGCAGACGGCCAGATGATTTGCTTTTCACAAGGAAATTCCCTTCTCGCGGGGAATATTGGGACTCCATCGCTGGGCTGCGTGGTTCCATCTGGCGCACCTCAGCCGGGTGCCTTCGTCGCGGGTAAACATCCATCGTCGAGGAGCGCGAGAGATGGGCGGATTCGACGGCCGCGTCGCTTTCGGGTGCATCGGTGTCTGGATGGACGATCGAGACGGTCTTTCGCCGGCGTGGCAGGCCGAAACTCGTCGCTTGTTTCTTTGTTGCTGGCGTGGGAGCGATGGGCGAAGGCATTCGAGTGCCAGCAGATCCTGCGTCGTGGAGCATCTGCAGAGTTGGTCAGGCATCCAAGCGATGCTGCATGCTCAGTCCAATCCAGTCGAGATCATCCAGGTTTATGGAAAGTCTAAGCGATGCATTGAATTGTCATCCCGATAGATCGGTTTGTCTGGAGAAAATTTCGATCTATTGGCTGCAAATTCTATACAGAAGTGAAAGATCGCGTCTATGGTCTACACGCTGTACGCACGTATCACAAATATCGGCACTTCTCACCATCTGATTTGCTAATCATAGAAAAAACGCAAGGTGACACTTTTGCCCTTTTTACAGAAATAGAACAAATGAAGGACCTTTTCCACTATTATGGATACCCTGAGTGGCTGGGAGGTTGGATATGGGATCTCAATAATAGTGGACCTCGTGCTGTTTAGGCCTTATGTGCCGGAGAATAAACGCACTAGATCTAGCTGACAGGTAAGGCTAAAGGAGCCGAGGAAGTTAGGAATATGATAGTTAAGGAATTTATTTGTCTACTGCAAGTTTCCTGTGTCGCCAGAACCCCTGTTTCATGCGTCCAGGTAGGTTAAATGGTCTCGTTTCAATTTTGGGGAACACAGTCAAAGGTCCGAAATTTTGTGCATCACCTTTCATCCCGAGAACCAGGAAAACGCAAGAAACAATGCAGAAAAGCGAGCCAATGCCAAAGCCGAAACCCGGTTTTATCTGTCATGTTTATAGACAGCTCCTAGAGCAATAACAAGCCCCAGTTGGGAACCATGGATCGCGCACCAGATTCCACGGTTCATGTGCCGACAAGCGAGCCATACTTTCGCTGCCAGGGACAAGTACCCCATCCAGTACCTAGTACGTACTCATTCCACTGGAAAAAAAAAAAAAAAAAGACTACTGCGAGACAGATATACGTACGGTTTGGTTGTTTTGCGGTATATATTAAAGACAAGTAGGCAGAGCTCTGTGACCGTCAATCCTCGCACAAACTGTCCGCAGGGACGTTGTTGATCGGTCCTGGGTTTTGGGGAAATCTGCAAGATAATGTCCGAGGATTGGGGGCAAGAGGGGGAAAGGCGTGCTGCAGTGCAGCCAGCAAGTCCCAGGATTTAAATAACCGTTTGAGGCTGCGACCGTTGCTGAATCCATCACGGTGCCTCCCCGAGTGTCTCAAACTTCCCGCAGTCTGGGGCCGTCGACTTCAAGACGGCCCCAATAATATCTTATCGTCAGTACCGTCGAAGACGGTTGACCACGGCAACAGGTTTCATCCTCCAGGAATAATCAGGACAGTCCCGGGTTTCTGCCTCATATCAAAACCCACAATGAAGCGGCTGAGATCACGCGAACGAAATGCTCCCTTGTCATCACTGATAACGAGTGCGACATCTCCATTAACCTGGAGCCGTTGGCCTCCACAGTATGGAGCAAGAAACGCGAGGTAGCGGTTCTGGTATTCGAAACTTGGCTGGTACTGACTCATGTATGGTGAAATCAAACCACCGCATGGGTTGAGGAACAATGTGTCAAAGCTTCGAACCAGTGTTCGAATGAAACAGCCGCAAAGCTTTTAGCTCAAGGCAGACGAGAAGGTCCATGATCGAGAGCCAACCAGCAGAGAAATGCTTCATATAAACGAGGGCCAGACCCCCTCTTGTCTGCTGCAGATGGGATGGATAGTACTGTAGCGTTGAGGAGATAAATGAAATGTCTCGAATGATTCATGAGTCGCTCGAGACGGCCCCCTGCCAGGTACACCAAGGCAATTCGACTCCGAGCACTTTGCAATTAAATATGACCCACCAACATCAGCGAGGCCGAACTGGAGGTCCAAGTTGCCCGGTTCTTCACTGCTTCAGTCGTCGAACGCAGCTGTTGCTATTTCCATCCTTATTAAAGGATTTACCCACGCGGCTCGCCTGACGCGGGTGCGGGTTGGCTTCAAGCGTTGGGTTGAAGCCCCGGTGGTCCAGTGAGCTTGATCGTTGCAAAAGGGCGACAATCAAACAGCGTCAAAGCCAGTGGCAAGAATTGTCAGCGTCAGTTATGATGCCATGATATTCACACAGTGAAACTTGGGAGTGGACGACACCGAGGAAGATCCCCAGGATGGACACGGAACACGTGACCGTGGGGACTGAGGCGCGGGATGCCAATAAAATAGTTCAAGTCTGGTGTGTTTCAGGTTCAGCCAAGTCCACATCGCCTCGTCCGTTTGAACTAGCGCGCGCAGCTCTGTTTCATCGGTGGTGGCCCTCACCGCAGTGTTCGTCCAAATTTGCCTCCTCATGGCACTGCAACAGGAGAGTGCGCGGTTTCCAGGGGCGTCACTGTCTGGGATAGATCGGCACAGTCATCTCCTGTCGACTTGTGTGTTTCACCTTTGCAAGCTCGGCAATGATAGGAGGAGGTTTGCTTTGATGTCGCAATTGCATCCACTGTCTCGTAGAAACAATCAGTGGATCGGACTAGAAAGCCATCACTTCAATTGAACCTCAAAGTCTTTTTTGTCATCTCTCGCTCCTGTTGCTCTTATTGCGGTTGTTGCTTTCTTATCTCTGCTGCATTGTTTTCTCATTTCTAAACTGTATCTTCCCTTCCAATTGTGTTTGATTTTGACCGAGTTATACCTCGACTCGAGCCTCAAACGCTGCGCACAAGCACTCGCCTCAGAAGGAACCGTGCTCACAACCAGAGCGGGTCAAGTACACGAGAGCTCATTGTTGAAACAATTTGTTGCTGTGTCCCTGTCTCGCCGGTAACAGCGACACAATCTTGGTGATATTGGATTTCGCGAGTCCCAGTTCGAGTCAGCATTGAGGCTTTCAGATTGCTTGCGTTGAAGCCGTTATTTTCCGCATTGCTTCTCGAAGGCTTCTTGGAACTTTGGAACATTCAAGGCTGGTGTCGAAAGTTTGGTGCTGGTATTGCGATCGCTGGCCATCGTGACAGAGCCCTGCGGATCTCGTATTGCGGCCGTATCGGACTGAACGACTGTCTTTTTTGCTTGCTTCCAGAAGACTGCAACAACTCAAAAGAATCGACAACCCTTTCTGGACCACTCTGCTGGGTTTGGACCCGTTCCCATTTTTAGAGGGAGGAGGAAAAGAACTGTTATCCAGGTACGTCTGCAGAACATCCAGGTTCAACATTGTTATTTGCCGGTTTCAGCCCATCATTTTGTCTCTGGAATCTTGATTACGGACCCTGCACATGCCCTCCTGCCCCGTTACACGTATCAGAGAGGACTGGAAATAGAGAGGAGCCGGACAAGGGGAGAGTTGCAATTTCATTCCATGCATCGGGATATGCAATTTCTGATGCCCACACAAACTGATTGGAAACTGGACATTGCGAACTCGCGATCTTGTGGCTTTCCCGATTCAGCTCCACCCCTGCGTTGTATAGTTACCCACCCCCCTCTTTCAGATGTTCGTTGCAAATTCCTGCCCATGAAAAGAAGAGTTCCCCTCCTACCAGCTGTTGCCTCCAAACTTGCTCCTCCAACTCCGTCCATCCATCTTGACTGGCTCGCCCGCGCATTGTTGGGAGCAGCTGGCCTGTGATTTGCGTGCATTTAGCGCCCATCTGCAGCTTCCAGCCTCTCGCACCAACCTGGGCGGCTAAATTTAGAGCTCTGGTCCGGCGGTTCTGTGGCTCTGTGGTCTCATTGGCCGCTCGCATCTGGTCGACTGGGGCCTGTTTCCCTGCTGCCCCACCGTGCTCGTACCGGAGATTGGCTTCCCTTGCAAACGCGGGCGGCCACAGCCAATCACCAGCACCACTGCCCATCATTTCCCTTCCCGTCTGCTGCGACTTCAAGTTCGTTTCCAGCACACTGTATCAGAGTAATGCTTATGTATCGGTATTATTCGAGTTTCAGTGCAGCTCTCCAGGCGCTCACTCTGCCACTTCCTGTCCCTCCACTTGATCTGCCTCTCCCCAAAGCCCTCTTCCCTCTTCTCTCCTTCTCACGCATGACGGCCTGGTGTCTGTCTTTTTGACTCGCGACCTGCCTTTTCCCTTCATCCTCTGGCCTGCATCGCTTTCTCCGTCTCTCCCTCGCCTTGCCAGTCCTCTTCCTCTCCTCCCACTGCATTGCCTCGCTCGCCGTGGGCTTCTCACCTTCAACCTGCCTTCCTCGCTTCCTACCTGCTGTGGGCAGTCGTTCTAAGACCATCTTCCTGCATTTCCCTCGAGGTTGACTGAAAGGACCCGACATCATTACTTGGGCAGTTCCTTTCTTCATCCCCAGGGAACGACTGCCCACAACGAAGCACCGGGCGGCAATTCTTCCCTTCAATATCACCTGTGTTTATCACTTCTTGAGCAAGAACACTTTGTTATTGTTCTCCTCATTATTCCGTCACCTTACTCTATTCTTTTTCGTCTTTTTTGACATCGCTCCTTTGACTCCGCAGCGTCCTTGCGCCTTGCAGGAACCTCCACCACGTTCCTTTGTACTGTTTTCTCGCTGACAGTTCCCAATAGCGAGCCCGCTCTTTGGTGACATTTCTTGGTATGTGGCCTTGGTAGAAGCCTATTATTCGATCGTGCTGGTTTCGTCGCTCCTATATGCCCCCGTGTGTCTTCGACAGCTGTGAAGCAAGAGCTTTTCCTACCTATTGTTTCTCAGTCCAATAGCTTTTTGTTGTGATTGCTCTTCTGAACCGTGTCGATCGCCGGCCTGGTTTCACTCTCCTTGCAGCTCTACTTCTTTTTCTTCCGGCCGATTCCTCATATTAACCGCCATCATAAACTGAAACATGGAAACTGATTATCCTCTGTCCAAAAGGTCGTTTGCGCTGGTAGCAAGCACTACTACACTTTCCAGTTTTCCCGGGTCTGCTCACAGGCACAGCCCAGCGGATACAACACCGCCACTATCCGTCGTTATACCGCCCTATAATAGCGGCGGATCCGGAAGATCGTCTTCTTTCAAACGCAGGCGCACTTCACAGCCTGATCTCACCATGCCCGTTCAAACCAGCCCACCGTCGCTGCCGGATTCATTCCCATCGTTTATGTCGGTGTTTGGCGGGGACTCGCCTATATCCTTAGAAAAAGAGGAACCATCAAAGATACATCCGTATAGGTTTCCGGCGAATGCTGCTGGCAACAACCTGCGACGGCCCCTTCCTTTCCAACACCGTGAGAGCATTTCCTCCGTGACGTCTGGGTCAGCCGATTCGTCCCCCACAACTACGGCTTCGACATTCGATTCCCCTATTACCTCAGATACCTCTCCAAATTCGTCCCCGGAGTCGCCAACCTCGATGCCGCTCTCATACTCGAAATTTATGGCCCCGTCGCGCAATATTGAGAACCAAGCGTTATCAACAGCCCAAAACAATTTGTCCAAGATGACATCGGACTCTTCAACGACACAAAAACGACCCGATTCCCCGGGCAGGCGGGACAGAAACCTAAAGAACCTCTCGCTGAGGATGCCGCCACCGCTGAGCTCCTCAAGGCCCTCGATCTCTACTGCCTCCGTTGTCGAGACAAACTCCAAACATCACCTGTCTGCCCCACCCTCGCCAATCAATATCCCACCAAAGGGAATAAGACGAAAACCCGCTGGCTTGACCATTCAAACCCCCAAGTTCGATCGATCCTTCTCCAGTAACATTCCTGAGGTGGTCCCACCAACCCCTCACGGCCGGCTATCATTGCGACACACCGAGTCATCGCCTTCGCTGACCTCTGTGTTCTCTCCGTCATTCGGCCCGAAAGGCGGCATGCAACTACCACGACCAAGCACGCAGCACGGCTATCGACGAACATCCGCCCCATCCGAAGATCATTTATCTCCGGTTCCTTCCGTTGCTGGCGAGGAGTCTATCTCAGAAACGGTTTTGCACGAACTGGTAGAAGAAGATGACGCGCCGCAATCGAGAGAGTCTGCACGTCGCAGTGAGCGTGGCTATCCAAACGGTCCGGTCCAAATCTACGATTCGGGTGTTTTTCTGTACCTGGAGCCGACTGCGGATGAAGCTTCGCGGTTCGACGTTGTTGTGAACGTGGCCAAGGAAGTAGTGAATCCGTTCAGCAAATCGGGCGACAATTCGCAAACCGTGATGAGTGTTTTACGCGGTGGAAACGCCGATCCCAGGCGCCAGTCTTGTTCAACGCCCTTCACGGCGCTTTCAGATATATCTTTTAAATCGGCTTTTGAATACCTCCCTAGTGACGAGTCATCACCCGCTACACCACGCAATGAACGGACCGGACCGGAATATGTGCATGTAGGCTGGGATCACAATTCTGAGATTCTCGATGATCTATATCCGCTATGTGAGCTGATCGATTCCCGGATCTCCCAGGGGAAGAAGGTCCTCATTCACTGCCAGCTCGGTGCAAGTCGATCCGCTTCCCTGGTAATCGCCTACGGGCTGTACAAAAACCCGCACTTGGATTTCAACTCGATGTATGAGACTGTTAAGGAACGCAGTCGTTGGGTTTCACCGAACATGAGCTTAATCTATCAGTTGACGGATTTCCGTTCCCGTTTAATACGTGGTTCCCGGCCATCCTCGGGAGATTGGTCGTGCAGAGGGTCTGCACCACCGACGCCGCTTTCTGGGGCTCTTCCGCCGTCGTCGTCCCAGACGGACGTGTCAAGGGGTCCAGCTAGCACTGATACGGAACCAACTTCGTCTAATCCGCTATCCCAGGGTTCACTGAGCTCCGCTTCGCTATCTGTGCCATCAACCAACCGCACAACACCTGTTTCGGCCAACAGCTTGGGGTTTCCTAAATCGCTCTCACACAAGCGGAGTATTTCACCGCGTCCTCTAGCTTTACGCCAAAGTTTCTTCAATACGGATAACGAAGGCCGATCCACCCAGAGAGAGACCGACGGTGACTCCTCGAAGGCCGCGTCCAGAAATGCTTTTATGAAGAACACCGAGGATCCTTCTGCTGCCCTGTTCTCGCCTCGTACAACGGGATTCTTAGCAGTGGCTCGGCCTCGCCCATTGTCAGGTATTCTTGAAGATGGGCAACCAAACCAAGTTCCAGTCGCGGATCCCCGGTCCCCTCCACAGGGCCACGAGCGACTAATTATGAGAAGCATTGATGAGTTTTTGTGATTTCTTCCCACCTTTAGTCACACTCGTGATGATTCCATGACTCTTCGCACTCTCGCTATTGACCAGGTTTTATTATGGTCATATTCCATTTTCCTTTTTAATTCACTTCGGATGACCGCACGACCGGGAGCAGGCTTCACGGTCGCTAATTTGTATCGCATTCGCTTTTTCCACCCATTCTTTCTTATCGCAGCTTTTGATCGAACCAAAGCTAGCATGGCATGCTTCACATTGGCGTCCTGGGCGTTCAAAAGAGGTAAAGGTTCGGATTCTCGTTCCTGTTAACTTGTAATATTATTGATGTGTTGTTGGTTTTGTGGGCAATTCGGTCTACTTCCCACCATATACATTCGCTCTGTCTACTGTCTATTTTTTAATATGTGATGGCTGTCAAATACCCAAGGGCTCTCTGAACACAGTTATGAATGCGAATTCCAATTACAGAATATCCAATACTCTAATCAATAGTAAACTCGTAGCAAAGTATCTAAAGGGGGTGTTGTTGGGAGCATTTCCGAATGCGCGTGCGGGACCATCCCGCGAGAGAAATCTCAACTCCAGATCTTTTTTTTAGACAGCTTCTGATACTTTCACTACCTACAATTCCTCCGCCAACCGATTCTATCGACAATTGAGCTGTTCAATATGGCAAACACGTCAGACGAAGCACACCCAACCCATCTCTCACCTAGCGAACTAGGCACAAAGGAATAGTGAGCTCAGACTTCCACCCGTTGAAAACTTTCCTTCCCTCGCACCTTACCCCGCTACCCCTCCCTCTATATACAGCACATTACCAACCTACGCGATGAACGCACCATACGCATAAATCTAAACCAAGATGTATTGTATTTCAAAATAAATAACTAACCAAATCCGCAATTAAAAAAAATAGCTGGGAAACCTTCTACTCCAGAACCCTAACGCATATCTCGACGAAACACAACGCAACGGGCGAGAAAAACCTTGACGGCAGTAACAAAAACCTAGAGGGAGAAGGCTCCGGTGACGATACCGGAGATGAAGAGGATGAGGATGATGATTACAACGGCGACTCGGACCCCGGCACCTCCTGGTTCTCGGAGCACAATGCGCCCCAGAAAGTCCTTGAATTTTTGACCCGGGAGGAGTTTCCCCTTGCGCCGTGTAATACGCTTGGGTCTCGATGGGGAGGGGGAGGGAAAGGGGGAAAGAAGGGAGCAAAGAAGACAGCGCTTAGTGCAGAGGATAAGAAAAAGCAGCCGAGTGTGTTGGATCTTGGGACGGGCAATGGGAGTATGTTGGCGTTGCTGAGGAAGCGCGGCGGGTTTGCAGGGGATATGGTGGGGATTGATTATTCGGGGAAGAGCGTCCAGTTGGCCAGGGAATTGCAGGTTACGAGGAGGCATGAGGCTTATCAGAGTGATTCGGAGGATGAGGGTGGGTTTGGGTCCGATGATGGTGACGAGGAGGAGGCTGCCGAGGAGGGAGAAGAAGGAGAAGTATGGGACGAGATTCAGTTTGAAGAGTGGGATATCCTCGGCTCTGAGGATGAGTTACGTGCTGGGAACGTAGGCTGGTTTCCGTATGACAAGGGAGGGTTTGATATTGTTCTAGACAAGGGGACGTTCGATGCTGTTTCCCTGATGGCTGAGAAGAGTCAGTGTGAGCGGTATCCTGGAATTTCGGGGGGGTTGGTCCGGAAGGGCGGGTTCCTGGTTGTGACAAGTTGTAATTGGACTGAGGAGGAGGTTGTTAAGTGGTTTACTTCTGCCTCCATTGGGCTTGAAGCTGGTGGCTCTGGCTCTGGAAAGTTGGTTGTCTGGGGTAGAGTCCAATATCCCCGGTTCAGGTTCGGTGGGCAAGAAGGACAGGGAGTCTGCACAGTGTGTTTTCAGCGTGTCTAATGTCTATATATATCATAATTCATATCACATGGCCCTCTATAAAGCTAGGTAGAAGAAGGGGAAGAGGCATGCTTCAAGACAGCAATGACGCACCACCTCCTCCTATTCTCCACGCCCTCGCCCTCTCTTTCATTAACCCACTCCCTCCTCAGTTCGCCCTCTTCCAAACTCGAGTTCAAGTCCCGCTCATAGATCTTCTCGACCTCTAACCCCATTTTCACCGCCGTCTGAAAAAATTCCGCCACAATCGCTCTTCCTGTATGAAACCCCGCAACAACGCAGACCTTTCCCGTTGGCGCAAGGAACCACTTCATTGTGCGCACAAGGTTCTTGTGCTGAGAGCTCATCCAGTAGCAATCTGCGGCTATAATGCGTGTGTAGAGGCCCTTATTGGAGACAGCCCAGGGATCGGAGGTGAGAGTTGTTCCCCATTCATGTGGCCTGATGTCAATTTCGGCGCCGCATTCTGGGCGAGAAAGATTACACTTGACGTTGAAGGATATTGCACCTGATGGTCCTAGCGCTGTGGATGATGGATGGTCTGTGATTGTTACTGCCGACGCCTTTGCTAGCGCGGCTGTTATAGATGGGAGTGCGGCGCCTGTGTATGGTTAATCAGTACGTTCCCAAATGCGACTTCTTGCGCAGGTGGCATATGAGAAATTGCGGAAAAGGGGGAAGAGGGAGAACAAACCAGCGCCTAATTCCAATACTTTCTCCCCTCGTACCTTCCACATCTCCAGCTCTTCATCGCCAGAATTGCTCTCCGAATCGGCGTGCTCAATCCCCTCCGCAACAACCATACCCGAACTCCAGAGAAAATGCGCCTGCAGTTTCCGGTCTTCCTCTAGGTGCGCCGTTTCGTCATCAACGGGGCCAACTGCAATAACTTCCTCTGACTTGTTCTCACTTTGACCCGGGTAGGACGGGACCATTATCTGTATATCTCCATATCGTGGGGAAGAGTAGATGAGGTGTTGACCAGAGTCTCCGTGGATGTGAGGGATGTCGTCAGGAAAGAGGTGTGGTATTTGGATGAATGAGGCAAAGAGGTCCTCTGGATCCTCATCGAATTCCTCATCGCAGCCCGGCGTTGCGCCAGAAAGGGAAGAAGCGCTAGGATGGCCCGCAACACGGGGAAGAGGGCGAAGTCGAGTATGGAGCATCTTAGTCGAATGGTGAAGACTGGAGACTGAAGGTAAACTTGGGAATGACGGAGGAAGTGAAGAAAACGGGGGCGATCTTTTCGGGGGGAGCAAAAATTGTGTGGACCCAGTACGGTACCGTACCCACCGCTATATACTAAGACGATGCCTGAAGAATCAAACCAGGCGGGAGCATCGAGATAAAATTTTCCAGGTTGGTCCTGTTTCCCATTTCTGAGTCTTCAGGACAACCATTCTACTGGAGATACCATTATCGTTTTAGCAATGAGAACAGTCCATGGAACAATTTTCCATCCAATCAATTACTTTAGATCTTCATACTGCCGATATCTTGAATTCAGTTACCCAAGGTGCCCCGAGACTTGGCGGCCACCATTAACCATACCTTGTGGGGGACGAAAGCCATCTTCAGTTCTTCACTGGCCGGGCTCTATGATCGGTATCGCGGAGCAAAGTTGATACTAATTCTATCGGTTGATTGTCCAAAAATGCCTAGAATCAGGATCAAGGTTCCTGAGCGAGGAATGGCATTGTCTGGGTGGAGCCATCCATATCCGGAGCCTTGGATTTGAGCCGCATGGAGTGAAGAAACCCCCTATCAAAGGTATCAGTTAGACCCAAATTGCTATACTGGCTGTTGACTTTCGAGTTTCAAGTCTGAACTTTCGTCCGAGCCAGCGAATTGAAGAATGAAGACCCATTCAAGCCCCGGGGGCCCGATACGCATCCGCCAGAATGTTACTTCCGCAAAGTGGCACCGATTGGAATACCTATCCTCAGCCCCGGCATCATGGATCCGCACCTAACCTTAGCTTGTGATGATAAAGGCCGGATTTTCCTCGGAGATAGCAGCCTTGAGAACGTGGAAGTGAGGCCGCAGACCCTCGAGCTGTTGTGTGCACATGCTGGCCTTCAATCGGGGCTGGCTCCATGTCAGCACGACTTGTGGTCTCCATCAATTCGTCATATCTGACACGTCTTTCGAATTGCATGGGCTGTTCTGGATTTTGTGGGAGCATTTGGCGGTCTGGAAAGGGGAGTACTTGGTACTGTAGTAGCGGCGAGCATCAGAAAGAGGTCAGAATGGACCGAAATACTAATTGCCAACTTGGAAGATATAAGAAATATCGTATCATGGACACTCTACAAAGTACGCCTGTGGTGGCTTCAGATAATGCAAGCGCCTGGCTTTGTCCCCAGCCGCCCAATAATATGGGGTTATAGTCGGAACTATAGGTAACTTAACCAAGCGTCTAGAGACTTATCATGGATGGCTCAGAAGATCAAGGCTTATGGAATAACGGATTAAAGGCTGGTTCTTATTATCAAAGAACAGTGGTAGTAAGTTATAAAGCGGCGGCAGTCCTAATAATGGCTCTGATGACACTGTTTGCATAGTCTGATCTGGGGGTTCAATCTTTTATCCATGATGACTCGTTATGCTGAGCGATTTTCCGGCCTTGGAGGACCCTGCCGATGATTTACTGTCTTTAGTGGTCTGTTGAATTAGGATGGTAATATGAGAAGGGTCGCTTTCTGATATTTGAAGCTAGTATGTATTATTTCTTTAATGTTCCTATTGATCGTAATGTGACAGCACATCAGTGTTTGCTTCTTTGGGCGGAGTAATAGTGCGGGAGAGCGAGCAGCTGCTTTTGTGCTCGGATTGCGCCAGCCCAAAATAGCAGCAAATGGTCTCGGAAGTCGGAATCAGGGATGAGCTCGGAAATATATAACCGGGACTGCAGGGGCGCAGAAGACTATGTACAGGCATTCATAGTTCATACCTAGTACAGCTGTTTTGGCATGGAAATGTTGCCCAATATTAGTATGAATATCCGGAGTATGTGCCTAGCGGGCGATTAATGATTATCATCAATTATTGACTATCAATTGTGGGTTGATTCCGAGAATGTTGAGATAAGGCGTGATCAGTGTGATTGATAGGAGCTCCGGTGAGAAAGCACTTTGCGACCAGGGAGCGATATCGGATCAGCCAGCATGAGTCAACTCGGTCGAACAGACAATCTGGTCTCAAGCAGAATATTATTATCCATCGCTGTTCGGCTGATCGAAGACCAATAATTATTATTTAGCAGGAAAATTAAATCTTGGGGAAAAAAAAAGTTGAAACCTTGAAGGTCGGAGCTGGGCCAGCTGGCACATGACGTCGGACAGCACTGGCCTCTTCAATGAACCTCAGTCCGTCCACCTGGCCATCTGATCGCCTGTGATAGGTGGTAATCTGGCCGCGGTCTCGTCAGGGCCTGGAGGGATTGTATTGGTATTCGGAGGGCTCGGAGGATGTGCCGACGTGAAGGATAGCCAGGTTCTTGAGATGATTTACGGATACCCGTATTGTTATTTCTGACATGCAGCAATCGCCCCCAGGGCTCAGACACTGGAATGGATCGTATCTGAGGTGATATCAAATTATCGACTGAGGGACAGGGTCGGGCTGGCATTTCCCCAGTCCGGCAGCCAATCGCCGACTGAGGGTGGAGCGGACATATGATGTCATTCCCCACCGGCCAGGCCTGAGACCGTCAGACAGACCGTCACAAGCGTGTTTTGGGCGGTTCATCCTCACCTGAGGCCACAGCCACATCATGTTACCCTTGTTACCTTGGTACGGGTTAAATGCCTCAATCTGGTTATTTTACAGCTTTGAGTTTGGCCAGCCCTGCTGTTCCTCGGTTCGCTGTCAGAAGACGTGGGAGTCGCTTGGGTCTGGGGAACAAGCCCTAAAACCGAATTATTCGTCCCGAGTGTGTGCAATCAAAGCTTCATACCGGGGAACGAGAGGTGTTGGTGGTGTCAGTCTGCCAATGGTTGGGATGGGCCCAAGGGGGTTGCTGACTACAGGGGACTGGCTGGCCGGTCGGCTCCCAGATGCGGGTGGAGCGAGTCACATCATCGTCTCTGCCTTGCTGTTCGCCCGTTAGTCAGGAACCAGCTGAAGATAATCGCCCTCGATGAATTGTAAGCGCGCACGAGGCCGTCGTTTGTAGCAGCAAAAGGCCCGACAAGAGCATTATTTGGGCTTGCCATGCGCGATTATTATTATTGTTGTTCGCAACGCGGAAAAGGAGAGTGTCTGATCGCCAGTCCCCGCATTACTGAATGCATTTGACTACCAAAGCAGCCAGAGAACCCCCGCAAAGTCCAGGCGCCAAAAATATTCCACTTGTAAGGGGCCTGTATCGGCGGTGTAATATTCCGTGCTTCCCCCAGTTCCACCGGTATTGGGGTGTTCGCAATACCGTTCTCCTCGTGGTGTGCCTCTTTCTGGCTCCCTCTGCTTCCATTGCTTCTCGACTGCCTCCTGCTGCGACTTTCTTTCTCTCTCCCACACTTCTCTCCCTCTCGCTATCCCCTCAGCTCCTCGACTTCGTCCTCCTTTCTCTCTGTTCTCTTTTCTTTCCTTCTCATCCCTCTCGCTCGCCCCCTTTTTCATTGCATTTCCTTCTCAATTCCTGCTCGCCCAATTGCTTATCATCTGCGCCCTGAGCCCAGTCTTCCGCCGCCCACAGGTACCCTGCGCACCCCCCCCGTCATTTCCCTCCCCCCAACTCGACTTTCTGCACTGATCTTCAGCTCCTTGATTCCTTTTCAGACAGCCACTGACTGCGAAAAATAGACAGTTGTTTTGACTCCCATCTCTTGAAGGGCTTTCTGGGATTGACTTTCCAGGAGTCCACGTACCCACCATGGCCTCATTCAAGGTAACTTTCTCTTTTTGTGTCTTTGTTAGGCGTGTCTCTTTTGCCGCCTCTGGCATTCCAACAACTTTTTTCCCCCCTAAACTTGAAAAAAATAAATAATTTTTTGCTAATGCCGCTCTCTTTTCCTAGGAATTATCTCTTTCTCGTCCCTTCTCTCACTCCACGCCTCGTCACCACTCCCATTCTATCTCGCTTGGTGCCGTGAACTCAAACCACCGGGTCACTCGCCGAAAGAGCGTGACCACCACAGCCGCCGCCAACGCCGCCGCTGCAGTTGCTGCCTCCTTAGGAGACTCTCCAGACTCCACAGGAATCGCCATGCCCGCCCATCGTCGAGGAAGTCGCAAAGGCTTGGAATCTAGCTCGGTCGGAGCTACCTCTGCCTTTGGCTCATACCTTTCCCGCAGTGTAAACAGCCCCAACCGGGACTCGCCGGTTGCTCGCAAGGCGTCACCAAACCAAGCTCAGGACGGCTCTCCGATGGCCCATACCGCGGTGGATGGAAGTGTTTCCTCTGACAAGCCGGTTAGCACCAAGAACCGAAACCGTCGGGCTAGCGAAGGGGGCCATCTGGTCAAGGGCGAAGGAAAAGGCACCAGGCCCGAACTTCGCTGCGATCGTTGTGGGAAGGGGTACAAGCATGGCAGTTGCTTGTCCAAGCATATGTGTGTAACCTCCCCCCTCTGCCATCCTGCCGCCCGGCCCGGTTTGGAGCATTGCATCATGTCGGCTCTGCAACGGTCGCCTTCGTGGTCAACTAGCTCCCTATTTACTCTCTCGTCCCCCCTTCTCCCATCTCGTAATGGAGTTTCAGTCGGTTGACATATTATCGCAACACAGGTGGGAGCATGACCCTGCATGGGCGATCACGTCGAAACTTCTGATCTCGAAGCACCAACAGGTGCAATTATTGGAGGCAGCGTCTGTCCTCGTCACCATGAATGTTGATGACCCGACTTCCGAGAATCCTGACGCCGAATCGGAGATTTCTTCGGCTTCACCAGGCGCTTCGTCCGAACTCCGAGACGGGCTCAGCTCGGCGGAGACTACACCGCCGCCGATGGACGAGGATAACAGTGATGACGATATGTCCGTTGAGCCTGAGAAACCTTTTGGTGGTATCAACAACGCGGGGCCCCAGTACTCCCACTCTTTCCAGTCTGTTCCCTCAAGCTCGTTCACGGGGAGCGCCCCCTGGCCCTCCCCTGCCTTCTCTCACTTCCGCCACTCAAGCATTGACACTCGGCCTTCTACTGCCGAGGCGAAGTTGCCCGATGAAGATGAGGCGGATTTGGCTGCCGCCATCGGACTCTGCAATTTTGGGACTCCCCGAATGGGCCCGACATCTGTGTCTCCTGGTGTTCCACCAGTGCCCCCGCTTCCGTCTCGCTTCCTCGACCAGGCCAACTCTGCGGAGAATCAAAACCTAGGCCGCCCAGGAACCAGTGTCACTGATATTGCCCTGCCCAACTCCCACCAGGATGTGTTCCCGTCGCTGTCGTACAACCCGTCGATGTCGTACAAGGTGTCAGACGAGCGCGAAGTTAGGCTGGGGAAGACGGAACGTAGCAGCCGTCAAACCCGTAACGCTGATGTTGATTTTGGCAGCCGCCCCGCCCAGGCCGACGATGATGACGACGGTGTTTTTGGACGGATGGAGGAGTAAAATCCTCTTATATCCGTCAAGTTTTCCTGGGTGACTTGATCCCCTCGGAACTGCCCCAAACTTTATACCTCTCACGATATGTACGAGACCCTGCGTGAACTTTGCGAATGTTGTTGTGCTTTGACTAGTTGGAGTTGGAGACCCCTTTTGCGTGTATGACCATTTCAGGGACTGTAACTGTCCCGTCTACTTGGCTGGGACACCCTGCTGCATGATGGAATTCAAGGGTATATTATATCATATGTTTCCTTTTGTCCTAACCGCCTACCCCTTACTTTGACCATTTTTCCTATTTTGCATTTTTTTTTTCTTGCCGACCCAGTCCTTCCATCCATTTGTTCCCCTTTCTTCTTTTTTTTTTTTTTTCACCATACAACGCCACTTTTGCATGGCACCTATACCACATTACATGTATAAATCCCAACGGAGAGCATTCTAGAATTATTCACATTTTCTTGGGTTGATTTCGTCAACCAAGTAATGGTGCTATATATAGATACCACTTCTCATTTCTAGATTCTAGAGTACCCCTCCACTACATGTCCTAGCAATCTATTTCCTCTGTGCCTTGATTTCCATCTACCCTTAGCTTAAGTTCCTCGGCAGATGATCCACTCACGCAATCGTACCACCTGCGAGTCCGGGAATATCCAATAAGCTCCTTCCTTCCCCGCACTGCAACCACCAGCCACACCTGCAGCACAATTGCTTTTGCTTTTCTCCGCAATAAAGCAGCCTGGAAACTTCATCCTTCCTTACGGAGTACATACTCCTACTCAGTAAGACAGGGATATATGTACCGTCCCGCGTCTGTGATCTCCACGTATCCCAGCCGTGCGCACGTGCTTATCATCGTGCTCCGTACGGGAATATAGACATTAACTGCTGAAGAAGTATCTCCTGTTCCTGGAGCTGCCACCCTAGTGGACAATGGGTCGTGAACAGCTCATCAGCCTATGCCCACGCCACAATCACAGGGGTGTGTGGATCTCTCTCCAGCCCTGCCTTATCTATCTATTGGAGTGAGGACGGCTCAACTCGGCCTGTTGCACCTTTCGACCCAGGAGGAAAAGTAGACTACAACAAGTTCAAAGTGGTAAGGCAGAGAGAGGGTCCCGGCACGGGGGTCAGCTTTGCTGGCAAGGGCTGATTGGCGTGCCTTTTGGTTTATGTTGGATTATGTATTTTATTTTATCTTTTTTTTCTTAATTGGGTTTTGGCTTCTTTGGATACAACGTGGCTATTGATAAGGTCCTTATATGTACCTAATTATGCTTTCGGTCCAATGTTGGGTTGTTACGAATCTTGGAAGGTTATTCGGGTTTCGGACACCACGCTTATCCATTTATCTATATGCACTCTATGCTTCTATACTTCTGCGAACGAAATATTGACGGAAAAGGACTCCACTTCAGTCTATTTCGCTGCCTCAAAAATCACTTTCTGCACCTTCATCGCATTGAACAAATCATATGCCTCGACAGCTTGCGAAAGAGGCATGATGTGATCCGCCATGAATCTGGTGATACACATTAGCACTATGACCAATACGGCAAACAGAAAAGGCCTACCCAAGTAAATGTTGGTTCCTCTTCAGCACCTCTAGCGCCGCATCCGAAACAGACCGCACGGGGCATCGGCCCATCTGCAAAGTCAAGTTCTTCCCATACGCCTCGTTTCCATTCCACGGTATCTGCAGATCATTAGTAGATGCTCCAATCTGGATGGCCATAGAAGCAGGAGTCAATAGGTATAGCTTACCTCTCCATTATGAACTCCAACGCTACTAACAACACCCCATGGTCTGAGGAGATCAAACCCCATCCTCAGTGCCGGACTCAGACCTACAACCTCAATAACAGCATCTGCTCCACGACCCTCGGTCAGCTCTAGCACCCTCTTGCCGAGACCTTCCCTGTCTTTCTGAAAGTTCCACGGCTCTGCACCGAGGGAACGGGCCAGCTCGAGTCTAGATGGGACGGAGTCAACAGCAAGGATATGCTTGGGCTTGTATTCGAGGGCATTAACCAGTGCGCAGAGACCAACGGGTCCACAGCCGATAAGCACAACAGTCTGCTGGGCGATTTGCTCTGCGGTGGCATTTTTGAATGCATTTAGAGCGGCGAAGTATCCAGTTGGGAAGATGTCGCCCATTAGAACGAGGTACTTTTCCTCGATTCCCTGTGGTGCCTTGATAACTGTTCCGTCTGCGTTTGGGATCCGGATCTTCATGGCGTTTAATTTAGTTGGTTATGTATTCATATACCTCGGGGATAGTCGAGTTTGACTAGACACATACGTATTCAGCTTGGGCACCATCTAGATTGTCGCACCCGAGAAGTGCATTCTTGTCACATCTAGACGAGAACCCTGCTTTGCAATAGAAACACGTGCCGCTTTGCGTTATCTCGATGTATCAGCATACTTTCTCCATACTACGGTATACCCATTCGTAGCAGACCAAGCGAGTAACATACCACGATGTTGTAAAAGCCGAAACAATAGAGTCCCCCTTCTGCACGGTCTTCACCGCATCACCAACCTCAACAACTTCGCCCGTTACTTCGTGGCCCATGATAAACCCTGTTCCGGCAGGTTCAATGCCACGATATACATGGAGGTCACTAGAGCCAACCAACAGTTAACCCGCGCGGGTAAATTAAAGACGAGGGCGGGGGTTCCAGTTACCTTCCGCAAAGCGCAGTATATGTGGCCTTGATAACAATGTCCTCCGGGTGCTGGACCTGGGGAATGGGACGGTCCTCGACGGCAACTTTGTGTAGGCCATTGAAGACGACGGCGCGCATTGTCTTGTTGGACATGTTCCCTTTGTTTCTTTCTCCTAGCTCTTGATGAATGGAATAATATGGATTTTTTTGTTGTCCCACGAAATTGTTGTTGAGCGCGGGGGAGGGACAAATCTCGGCTTCATGTCCGATAAAGGGCCACTCTGTCGGCAGGTGGTGGGGCCGTCATATTGACTGATTTCATGGTTCCCGATCCGGTAGCAGATAACCCAGTTTCAAAGTTCTAGAATGATTTGAGTCTGTAAATGGGGGAGAGAGATGAGGTCTTTGATGTCTCTATAAATGCAGAATTGCGCTGAGAATGTTGAGTGGATTGGTTGTAGTTGAGGACCATTTAACGGCCTGTTGAATATCCACAATGAGGGGACCTTGCTCGACTCTGAAAATACAGCTGAGCAGCTATCATCCTAACTAGATGCAGTGTTGTTATAGAATAGGAATAGAAAGAAATAATAAGAATAAATCCAATCTGAACCACTGGGAATCGGCACCTCCCTTGATAAGGTCCGCAGTGCCATATGGAAGACATAGACTCCCAGCCTGAACCTGACCAAAAATAGACTATGGGGTACACCCGATTAAACGCCGTTCCCTTTGCGCCAATCCAAATATGCTCATTGAAACATTCGTCCGGCTTGTGCAGGTAGGGCCGTGCGAGCCTTACTCGGGACCCTCCAACAAGACCAGATCGCGTCAAACTGTTGATTTAGCTCTTGAGCACGCGTTAAGCCGAGATGGAACTCTAGCACACCACGCATAGGAGCTCCTCCTCCAAGATGAATTTCCCTTCCTTGTATTTCTCGCTGTTCTCGTACGCTTTGTCGTACTTCCACCCTACCGTTTCTTTACATTGTCTGCATGCGATGTCGCGTACAATATGCCTCCCCGTAGTCATACCACGCTCCACGGCCTCCGACTGGGTGATGTTCACAACGTTGTTGAAGAGATACGCTTTCCCATGCTGGCCCCGGAAACTCTGAAAAACAGACGGCCAGTTAGCAGTAGCTCCTTAAACCATATTGTCAACTCGACAGGGGGATGACGATACTAACCCGACTGATAATGTCTTCATAGTCCGCAAGATGGGTTTTGCATTTCTTGCAGCCGAATATCTTGGCAGATGTAAGGTAGACGTTATAAGAGAGACCCATTCTGTCCTATTGTTCCTGCCGGTTCTTCTCCGGGTACCGCTGGTCAGGAGAGACCCTTTGAAATTCCTGGAGTGTAAGCTGCACAAGAGCTGGGCAAGTAAATACGAAATGGTGTCAGTTTGTAGCAGAGAGAAGGAATATATGCTCGAACAAAGAGGCACTCTCTGCCTGGGGAGGTCCCGCCTTGCGGTAAGCGGAGTTACAAGGCGGGGAATGCTGTGAAGTGTAGGGCTAGGCTGGATTCACTGAACTCCTGCGGTGGCCTGGTAGGGAAACAATTTGACCACAGCGATAGACGGAGTTTCGACTAATTGTGAACACCTCTGGAATCAATAGGTTGTCGCGGATTGACTGAGAAGTTGAGCTGGTCTGAGATCAGGAGTCGGATGGAAGGTGTGGAGTCAGTCGGAAGCCAACTTAAGGCAGCCCGATAAGTCACGGGTGCCGGCGGTAGGATGCAGTCAAACGAAACAAGCAAGCTGAACGAATGTTCCGTTGGGGGGTGTCAGCCGCACAAGGATGAATTTATGCTGGCACTGATGCAAGCGTGGTCGGCCGATCACTAGGTGGGCAAATAAGGCTGCCATTCAGTTGAAGTTGTACTCGCATCGTTCACTCCCTGATCATCGGGTACGAACCAGCCACTCACTACAATTAGGCACCTTCCCGCAAGTTACAGTTACTCTTTGGTGTCGACTGGACATGTTCAATCCTCTAGTATTGTAAAAGCTATGGAGTATGCCTTTCTGCCAACTACTATGGTGACTATTTCTCCAATCTATTCTCTGCCATCCGAGCCGGGAGTGCCGATTGCTTATCTGTTATCGCCGATTAGGCATACGACAAGTAGCTACACCATGACGTAGCTCATAGAGCTGAATGGAACTCCGCATGCCGTCACGATATAAACCCTGAATATGTCGCTTCCATGAAGTGGAAGAGGGCCTGTAGGTATTGTATGTCGTGTCACAAATTTGGCGGATGATGCCTTTTGGATCGTGCAACCTCAAGGTAAGCCGCCTGACATGAACAAATGCCGAACATGTCAAGCGGATTACCACGATGGCAGTCTCATCGTTGTCCAAGGAGGCCCATATTGTCCTCCCAGAATTGTCTGCACTCAGTGTGGCCCCAATGCTCCGTCCACCACTCACCGAAGCTGTCCTCTACATTTTCGTCGATCTTGGGTATTCTTTCGTCTCGCTTCAATCCACAAAGCGCGCATGCGTGCGGGGCTTTTATAGCTCCCTGACTGGCCATGGCGGTTGTTACGCGGGTGTTCTCGAGAACAACTTGCACCGGACGCTTCCCTGCGGCCTGAATAACGGAGTTAAATAGTGCAGCACGATCTCGCCACATATTTATGACATCGACGGTCTCTTGTTGCTCTTTAATATCCTCGTTCTTATTCACGGTACTCAGTTTCATCCCTCCTGTCTTGCCTGAGCGTGCAGGACCGATTCGCATGCTCTGACTCAAAATCGCATCCCTTTTCCATCGCAAAGTACGGCCCGCGATAACTCTTGCGATGGTTTTTAGAGTGTTAATGATGGATAGAGAAACTGATTCGAGAATTTCCCTTTGTTGCAAATTCCTCTTTGCCTCCGCACCATCCTGTCGTAGGCGCTCAAAAAGTTGAGGGAACAACTCTAGTAAGATTGACGGAGGGGGGATATTTGTGGGACGCACATGGCCAGCAGGAGGAGACTGTGCCATTGATTTGGGCATTTTGGTTGCTTCTGGTTTTGCAGTAGGCTTCAACGTTTGCGGCGAGTCTTCCTCTTGTCTGGGCACTCCTTGGTGGTCCGCAACCTTTGAGTTAGAACTTTGGGTGGCCTCTATCGGTCCATCTGTAAAATCACCCCATTCCTCGAGCGGCTCTTCTTGCACGGGGAGTTTCGGTTTTGCATTTTGTATGCGGCCAACCTTCGTTGCTGGGCTATCATCGACCAGTATATCTGAGGAATGATGATAACTAGCTGCCGGCTTATTTTGGAATGAAAGCGAGTCCAATGAGTCTAATAGATCCACCGACCCCGAAGGTCCCGACGGTGATCGAGTACTTTGTAAAGCGCTGGCCGCCGGCTTATTTATGGTCTTCTGCCTCTCGGCGGGCTTTTCGGCATGGTATTGATTGATATGGCCTACTGAGGGCTCTGCAGTTTCAAACTCACCCCAATCATCACTGCCATCGTCTGAAAATCTCTCGAGCGCGGCATCGAAAAGCACATCGTTGTTGTTACCAGCCTGCGGTAGTTCAAACTCTCCAAAGTCATCATATTGTATCGAGTGCTTGCGAGTTCCAGATAGAGGCGCGGGCTCGCTGAGATGGCGAGGAGTAGATTGGGCGAGTGTAGCATTTTCGAATGCATCGAGACCGTCGATTAGAGAGCCCGCCTGAGGTGCGGGCGCTTGCTGGCGGGCAGCATTTGAAGGCTGCCTAGTGGATGGCCCATTTCCGAACTCTGCGAACAGATCTGCCGACATCGAAGCCTGCACCACGCACCATCAAGAGAATTGAGGGATTGGGAGGGGAGGGGAGGGGAGGTTTGGTGGTGACTGGTGAGTCGTTGCTAGTTGAATTGCGTTGGCGGGGAAAAGGCCTCGGCGAGGATGACGATCGCCCCATCAGGAACGTCATTTGTTCCTCTGCGACAGTTTACCTCTCTCCATGTTTCCACCATTCACTCCTTAACTCGTCGGAAATCCCAGAAAATCACACATGGGGAAATGAGGGGTATAGAAGACTCTAGGTAAACTTCCCCGCTGTTCAAGCTGTTCAAGCCGGCCATGTCCCTTCTGTGATCTTTCTTGCTAACAATATCTCTAGACAGCGATGGAATATCCTGTTTCACTCCCGCGATACACCCTCGGACCTTCGAGAGGCGCTCAAGTCGGAGCAAGATGATAGCATATGTGACGATGGATTGAGGTCGATATGTTGGAAGGTATGCGCCGTGAGTATGCACTTAAGACCCTATGCTAACTCAGGGACAGGCATTCCTGCTTTTCGAGAACCTCAGTCATGTACAATGGCCAAGCAAAATCACCGATGCGCGCAGCACTTATGTCGCACTGAAGGAACATTTTCTGAAATATATCGAGCACCCTGACGATCTTCAGTCCAGTGTCGACCCCCTCGCCGATGATGAACAGGTATACAAACCCTCATTCTGACAATTCCTTTGCTTGACTGATTTGTTTCTGCAAGTCTCCTTGGCAAACTCTGCGGCAAGATGAACGGTTGAGAGCAGATATACTGCAAGACGTGGATCGGTGCTTGCAGGAGAACTATTTCTTCCACGAGCCCGCAACGAAGGCTAAGATGGTTGATATCTTATTTATCTATTCGAAACTCAACCCTGATCTAGGATATCGTCAAGGCATGCATGAGATATTAGCGCCTATTCTATGGGTTGTTGATAGGGATGCTATCGAGCCGAAATCTCGCGAAAATTCCAAGCCTACAGGGCAAGATGATGACTGCATGTTTCAACTTTTGGACGCGGATTACATCGAACATGACGCATTTAGCTTGTTCTGCTCAGTAATGCAGACAACCAGGATATACTATGAGCACAATACACACAGATCAGCGAACGGCCAGGCGGATGCGATTCCAATTGTCCTTCAGTGCGAACACATTCATAACGATCTGCTGGTAGCTGCGGACTTGGAGCTGGCCGACCACCTACAGGTACTCGATATCTTGCCGCAGATTTTCCTAACGTAAGTTACGCCTTCTCGTGTTATTGAGGGCGGATTGGCTGATTCATCAACCAAGTCGATGGATGCGTCTCCTATTTGGGCGCGAGTTCCCCTTTCAGGATATGCTGGTAGTTTGGGATCTCCTTTTTGCAGAGGGGCTTCGATCGGAACTGGTTGATTTTGTGTGTGTGGCTATGTTACTTCGCATACGTTGGCAATGTTAGTTCTCTTACCGACCTTTTGGGAATTCTGACGCTGATAGATATAGTGTTGAACTCCGACTCGTCAACGGCCCTGACTACATTGCTTCGCTATCCGTCACCTCACCCAAGTGCTCCAGTGAGTTTTGTTCAAGATGGACTATACCTGGAGCAGAACCCGACATCTGAGAGGGGAGCGTTCATTATTTCCAAATATTCGGGAAAACCCCCCGAATTATCGAAGACGGCCGAATCAACAGGTAGACTTCGTCCGGGTCGGAAATTTCAGTTCCGCAGCGATTTCATGAACAGTAGCGAGGGAAGCACTCCATCAAGGTCGCCAGCAAGGAACAGCCCGTTGAGTTTTGAGGGTCTCTTCCAGGATGTGTCAGAGGGCATACAGCGGCGAACGGAGACCTGGGGCGTGGCAAAGGCTGTACGTGGAGCCGTGAATGAAGCGAAGAAGAATATGCAGTCAATCCAGGCTGAGCAGGCTTCACGACTGACGAGACCTGAAGATGTGGCTCCAATTCGTGGATCAGATTCGATATTGGACCGCGAATCTGAAGCTACCACCAAGTTAAAAGCCCAGCTTGAAAGCCTGTGGGAGAGGAACCGGGCGCTCGCTCAGACGTTAGGCGAGGCAGTGAATGATATACATTCGCAAGTGACAAAAGAAGAGACTTTTGATGCTGATACCACGAGCTCAATAAAACAATCTCTTGCAAAAATTGAGTCTGTTCGGAGCAGCCTGGAAACACCGAACCCAGTTTTGAAGGTGACGACATCCTCTCCAGTCAGCAGCACCGCGAACAAAGCAAAGGCACCCGAGAACCTAGCAGCCGCTAGGAAAAAAGGTTCTATATCGGAAAATGGCAAACCGTCACGCTCCTCGGCCGATTCTACCCCATCCAACCCAACTCCCGCCATGTCTCCCGTTGGAAGTGAAGGAGGACAACGGAGTGTCCTATCCCCGAAACCAGTACACAATGCTAGGCCTCTACGACAAGCTACTCGACCATCGCTGGCAAATTCAGAATTTTCGTGGATGCTAGGAGGTGACCGGCATCTTTCCAGCTTTGTTAGCCCGGCATCGGTCCCGCCTGAGCAGACTAGGCAGGGCGAATCGCGAAATAAGCAAAATGCCCTCTTCGGCAATGGTGATGTCGAGCAGAAGCCTAACGTGGAGCCTGATGGGATGGCAATGAAAAGCCTGAGGGGTGATAAGAGAGTAGAATAGAAAGCTGGCTTTCCGTATGAATCTCACTTAATATACCCCTGGCTATGGACATATGCCTAAGTAGCCGGCTATGTCGAGCATTTCATTGCCCCGTATTCCTCGCATTTGTTCTTTTGTTGGAGCCCAGATTGAGCCCTCGGATCTTGCGACACAGGAGCTTGGACATTAAAGAGTCACGCCTACGTGGAGCTTTTACGCATGATGGCCTCATCTGGCTGTCCTATCAGCTGCCCTTGGCTTAAACGGCTTTACTCCTGCCAGGGAGTGCAGAATCAAGTAAGTAGTTATAGTGTACTCGGAATTAAAAGAGATAATAAGCTAGATATTAGTAAATCGTGGAATATGAAAACGTGGTTGGTGATAATGAGACACTGAGTAAGACTGCCAGCTTTGTGACAGCGTGGGGAGGAATTATAGAACGTCGATGGGTTCAGGAACGATCGACTGCGATGTGACGATATTACATCACCACCTCGATATTTGATGGCCAACTAACGCCGGGAGCAATGTCTCGAGGCCGCTCTGGCCTATCGCAGTGCGCTTTGACCAAGCGTGACAGTGGTCGAGCCTGAGATGCTAACTATACTAGAGACGAAAGGCAGCGCGGTCGCATTCAAGTCTCCCCCGACCGCAGCACCGCGCTCTCCCACTTGGACCTCATACGGATTTGAGTTCGGTCTTCGTCTACTGGCTCGCTGAATATTAATATCTCGAAGGCTTTGCTTCTTCATAGTGTCTGTTCGTGTAACAATAAAAAAAAAACTGAGGGAAAAGCTAGCAACGTCATCATCTGTCTGCGGGCCCGTTCTTTCTATTAGCCTTTTTACGCCGGACGACCTTCAATTCAGCTTCACCATTTCCTCCCCACTTTCCCTCCACCTAACCACAGCTACGGGATATCCTGCGCATCTCCCAACCATTTACCTCCTTGTCGCTCTACGGCCACCTGCCTTGTCCCTCCGCAGCGTTGGTACGGAGCTCGACTCTCTTTCCCCCTGCAGTCTTCTCGCGGAAGCCCGTCCCGACGATAGGCAGCCTTTCTTTTTCTCACTACTGCTGCAGCCGGTTTGCAGAAAATTTTGACCAGCGTTTCAGTTTTGCTGCTTATTATCGGAGGAGGATACACATATCTGACCTTTATCCTCCCTTCCCCGCGTGCTCCTCGCCACTGGCACAGTGCCTGTGACTTACTGGGCCAGCTGCTCACGTCGGCCTCCGCCAGCCACCAGCCCTCTGACCTTGCGTCTTTCACAATTCACTGTTCTCTCAGCACTGATAGTATAGCTAAAACCCGCCCTCCCCTTTTCAATCGAACCCCTCCGACCACGTCAGGTCGCCCTTTCGACTCCCTTGCCTACCCGGACGCAGGATCGACCGTCTGCATCTACTCGTCAAAACGAAACTGCTCGGCGAAAACGCGAGAGGAACGATTTCCTATGTCCACGGCCACCGCCCCTCAATGATATTTGGCCGTCTCATGTAGCACGATATCGTCATTTCTTGAGCTTGCATTCGCCTTGTACCCGACATTGCGCCGTCTAAAGCACACGCTCTCGAACGGCCCGACTGGTACTGGCCACAGGGCCGTTGATCGCTTGGCAAATTATGGGGTCTGCTTCATATAATCCTGATGGTTAGTCTGACGCCGCCATTCTTTCCTTGGGACTCCCATTTTTTCATTGCGACGGGAGACAAATACCGTGGGGTCGTGTACCGGAGCGGGGATACCTTAAAAAAAAAAAGGAACTTACAGTGTAGATTGGATTGGAAAAGGAAGGGATGAAAAGAAACATTGCCCGCCTCGTTTTCTTTGCATAAAGCTTGCATTTTCACCTGCTCGTTGATTTCAAAGTCGAATTTCTAGCCACCACATTGCATATTCCGCGATTTGGATGAGACGAACTTGGTGCTAATGATATCGTAAATTCCAGGCGAACCAAGTCCTTTATCGTCCCCATTGGGCCCTCTCTCAGAATCACCAGAGGATGATTCCTTTATGACAGATGTCTCGGGCAACCAGGTTGATCCATCAAAATACCCGGTTGGAACTCCTACAAGTGGAATTGATTCCTTCCCAAGGTGGGTAAATCGCCAACGGCAGCTTCCCCTTGCATTTGCCTGCAACATGATACCGTTGTACAAGTGGACAATCAAAACTGAAAACAATTATTTTATACTCCCCCTAGGTCTCCACTTCTTGAACAGCATGAACATGGACTTGGCCCATCCGGTCTAGATCGTATCCGCTCGCAGCCGCCCTCTCGGGTCTTTACACTCCCGAACATGTCTGCCTCTTCTATAGGCGGCGCTCTTAGTCCTCGGACTCTCTCTCCTTCACCGCGCTCCCTTTCATCGTCGAGAGCCAATTCCATGGCTGTTGCATCCAGTCAAGATGTGAATACGTTGGAAGACCTTCATCGATTCCCATCAGAATCACTCCATTCTTTTTCGTTCGCGCAACAATCCGAGGAGCTATTACACAACCGCCAGAACATCTTGAAAAGGTCTATAGATTTTATGCGTGACCGTTT